CAGGTCAGGATTCAGGCTGGGTAACTTGTCTTAATAATACAGGCCACTGGCTACTATCTCTCAGCAACTGCCCCCAGAATAGCTGCTTTAAGGGGGTCAATACACTGACTTGGGATGAATCCACACATAAGCCTAGAGTGAAGTTTTGGGGATGAGTGGTCAGAATCGCCTGGGGGTTGTTGCCTTTAAACTAGTGGGCCATCAGCTTATTTTCTTTTCTGAAAGAAAACCACACATTCTTTGGGGCATAAATTTCCTTGTCAACTTTTTTTTCTGTCTGACGCCAGTTAATATTTTGCATTCAAAGGCAGAAACAAAGATGAAAAGCAACGACCATTAAGGAACAGTTTTCATTGTTTTGAGAACGAACATATTGGCTCTTCTAAATACGTATGAAATGCTTAATAATCTCACCCCCTAAAAAAAAAATCACTGCACTTCCACACCCAATTGAGGGACTGGTCGAGGAAGCAAAAAACCTCAACAAAATCCCCAAGCAGGCACTGCATTGTGCTACAGTGATAAAGAGGAACAAACCAGAGTAGTAGGGTTAGAACAAAAAGCACCTCACAGGACCGGCTGGCCGGCCGGCTACTCAGCTCACTGCCCCTTCATTTGGGCCAATTTTTGGAGGTGCCTCCACGTGTCCTTCGGGCCTTTGCAACCACCCAGGTCCAACCTGCAGGCCTGGAAGCCCCAGGCCCACGACTGCCGGCGGAGGGAGACGCGCAATCCCGCCTCCCTCGCAGTGGGAAAGCAGACCGCGCCGCTCCTCCCGCCGCCCCCCGCAGCCCCCCACAGGCTGCATGTGTCTGAGCCCGGTCCCGGATGCAAGTCCCACAGCTCAGGGAAGTGCACCGCGCGAGGACCCGCTCCATTGCTCTCCCTGCGTCTAGAGCCTCGCCCTTGGCCCCCAAGAAACCCGCGGCTGACAGAGCCCAACTCTTCGCGGCGGCAATGGGCACCTCCGGAGAAGCCCCAGGCCGACCGCGGCCTCCGGGCGGGTGCGGGGGCTGGGCGGGCGAGCACCGCAGGCTCCCGGGACGGGTGAGAGAGCCAGACGCTGGCATTTTTTTTTTTTTTCTGTCTAAACTGGATGGTGGACGGCGGTAGGCCGAGGCTTTTCCGCTCGCTGAAAACCAGCGAGAAAAACAGCGCGCAGAGGACAAAAGCACCGCGCCTACGCCCTACTCAATTAGGGTTAGATAAAATCCGGCCGTCACCCGACCCGGGCCCACCCGCCTCAGCCCGCAATGCGCCGGGCCGCCTCTCCTTTTAAAGGAGCGGCCTGCGCCTGCGCCATTGGCCGAGGCCCATCCGGCACAGCTCTCGCGAGATCCGGCCTCGCAACACCCCCCCCCCCTTCGAAGTTCTATTTCCGGTTGTGAAGTTAGTGGCCGCAGATCCTCACGTTCATTTAAGGGAAAGACTTGGATCTTTTCTTCAGATTTACTTTAAAAGTGAAAATTAATGTGTGCATCAGAGTGCCGTTTTCCATCCGCTGTGGACCAGGCGCGGTGCACTCGACTACCTTAATAAAACCAGAGTTCACAGAAAATCTTGAAGGCGGGAGAGAAGAGAACAGTGACTTTCAACTCTGATGGTCACATGTAGAGAATTTAGATTCCCAGGCAGCACTGACCAGGTCAGACTCTAGGCTGGGTTCCGTGGGTTGCCTCCGACTTCCTGCTCTGACCCCTTCTTTGAATGAATTCTCTACAACATCTTGAGCAGAGGATGGGTTATATTCAGTATAACTACTTCATTCTTAAGCTTCACAGTAAAGACTGAACCTACTTTTTGTTAGGAAGGGTTTTCAAGCATTGATTTTGCTTTAATGTATCGTGATTAGGTTTTTAAAAAGGAACAATCCACCATAAATAGCATGGGGGGGGCGGTTATAATGACCAGTATAATGATGTTTTATGAGTAACTGGCTTAGTTAGTTAGTTAGTTAGTTAGTTAGTTAGTTAGTACTGGCTAATCTTAATTGTTGTTTACTCGTGTTCAGTTGGGTGAACTCTGTGGAATTGCTACCGGTGCTTAAATCAGAGAAAAGTTAAATGTTAGGGGGGTCAGTGCCAAATGATTGTAAAGGTAGGGAATATATAAACGGAGTTTTCACATTTTATTCCCTATTCCTAGATTATGGGACAAGGATCATTTATGACCTGGAGTCTACAGAATATTCCAGACTGGCTGTTGGGTTAACTACCTAAGACACTAGGGTTAAGGACTTGGTACCTGTCTAACATGGCAAGCTGCTTTGGGATCACTTTAAACTTAAATCTTTTAACCTGTTCAGATCTCAGTTTCTTAATTTATAAAATGGAAATACTTGTCTTTCTGGGATGGTGAAGTTTAAATTAGATAAACATATGATTAGCCCTATTTCCTTTAGTTTGAAAAAAGCACTTTAAGAATTCTAAAGTGAGCAATTTCGATCTCTCTCTCTTCAGTGCTTGTGAATTTATTGAGTGCAGTGTTAGTTGTTCGAACTGCCCTCAGTTTCTACACCTTATCTGATCTAGTCTTGCTTATAGTCACTAAAATGGGAGACACATGCCAACAATTGAAATGTACTTCTTCACAAATGCTTGACTCAGTCAAACTGAGCAACTGCTACTTGTACATGGCTATGCTTTTTTTTTTTGTTACAGATGTTTCTCCTTTTTTACCCCATTGACACCTCCCGAACCCCCCCCCCCACCCCATCCCCGGCTTTGTTGTCCATGTCCATTGGTTATGCGTACATGCATATAAGTTCTGTGGCTTATCTCTTCCCTCCCCCCACCACCTCCTCTTCTGAGGGTTGTCAGTCTGTACCCTACTTCCACGTCTCTGAGTCTACCCTATTCCGCAGACTGTTATGTTTATTATATTCCACAAATAAGTGAGATCATGTGGTATTTGTCTTTTTCTGCTTGGGTTGTTTCACTTAGGATAATACTTTCCAAGGTCCCTCCATGTTGTCTCAAAGGATAAGAGATCTTTCTTTTTTACAGCTACATAGTACTCCATTGTGTATATGTACCACTGCTTTTTTATCCATTCGTCTACTGATGGACACTTGGGCTGTTTCCAGATCTTAGCTATTGTAAATAGTGCTGCTATGAACATGGGGGTACACATATTCTTACTGATTGGTGTTTCAGGCTTCTTAGGGTATATTCCTAGAAGTAGGATCACTGGGTCAAATGGCAGTTCAATTTTTAATTTTTTGAGGTAACACCATATTGTTTTCCATAGTGGCTGCACCAGTCTGCATTCCCACCAGCAGTGTAATAGAGTCCCATTTTCTCTACACCCTCGCATGGCTATGCTTTTTATACATTGGCGTCTTTGTCCTAATGTGCCCTTTGCCAGGAATGTACTCCTGGTCAATTTCTATATCTGCACAACTACTTGGAGTCCACCATAGAAGGAGGAAAGGGGACAGCGATGAAAAGGGAAAATTCTCAATCCCTGTCTTCTAACAACATATCTAGTAAGGAAGATAGATAAGCAAACCAAACAATAAGACTGCATAAATAAAATGGTCAATGAACGGAAATGTGATATAATGGGCTGGAGGATAGACATAATCAATTTAGATTCCAGGGAGAAAGTAGCATCTGAACTGGACCTATAAATTATCTAAATCTCTGAGCAAAAATTTCCTTTAGGGACATTATCTCATTTGAACCTCACCATGATTCTGTGAGACAGATTGGGATTAGCAAACCCACTTTATGGATGAGGAACTTGATCTTCAAGGTGTTTAAACAATTTAAGTCGCACAGCTGGTAGGTGGCAGGGCCTGGACCCAAACCAACATATGCTGCCCCTGACTTCTGAGGGAAGGGTTCTCCATTAGGTTTAAATACCAACTCTCCTTCAAGCCCAGCCCCAAAGCCAAGTCTACAAGAAAGTCTTCCTTGAGCTCTCAAGGTATTTTCCCTCCTATGAAACCCCAGAGCAATTTTATACTTCTCTTAGGACGCCAAATCACTTTCTCCCTTGTATTATTATAATTAAGGTGTGGATATTTCTCATAATAGACTGCTGGCTTCCTTGGGACAGGATCTGACTCCTGATTTGCATCGAACATATACTAAATACTTTTAGTTATGTCAATACTGCCATCATTCTTTCTGCTATACAGATCATTTCAGACCTTCCTTTCCCCTTCACACTTATCTAATTAGGTACCAAGACTTGTATGTTTTTCTTAATTTCTTCTTTTTATTTCCTATTGCCTATAATCTTGAGTACAAGGCTTTACTTTATTTCTACTTTTTAACTGATCATCAAATCTCCAGGGCCTTCCCAGTATAATTTATCCTCCAAATTATTGCCCCATTTGTCTTAATTCCCTTATGTCTTCTGCTTTTAAATCTTTAATTGTTCCCCTTTGCTTATACAACATTTAACACAAAGTCTTCCGGTCTCTGGCCTTAATTTACCTTTCTAGTGTTGCTCTTATTCTGCTCCATATGAGCTTCATTTTAACAAAACCATTCTACTGAACATGCCTTGAATATGCATGCTTAGTTCATTTTTATCTCTAGCCCCTTGCTCATTTCCATTTTACTTTTCTGGATATCGACCCTCTTTCCCTCTCCCCCTACCCGTCCTAATGCCACCCCATCCATGATGGCATACCTCTGCTATGAAATCTTTCATTATAGCAAGCAACCTTCTTTCCTTAAACTTCATCAAATTAAATCTATATCACTCATTTGGCACATAACGTGTTGCACCACAAGTTGTTCTCTTTCCAAGGAAAAGGTAAGATCTCCAAAGTCAAGAATAGTTTCCTCTTGCATTTAATTTGGTTCTACTCGATAAACATCTGTTGTCTGACTATTTCATCATTATTTTCCCCCATTATAGAAATGCAACAGAGACATGGACATACCAATAATGGAAATATTTTGTTCTCCTGGAAACATAATATCCAAAGTTTTCTGTCCCACACACTCAAAACATTTTCTTGTAAGTATTTATTTGATCTGTCTTCAGAAGCATCTCTGGTGTACTATGTTGGGACCAACTTCTTTAAATTCTGCAGCAGTGATCCACATGTCCTGGAAGGCAGACAGGGATGCAAGAATAGAGCCCCCCATCCATACCAATATTTTCCTTTCTCGGGGAGCTATAACCTGCACAGGGGTATTAGCAGGTGCCACATTTGCAATATCTTTAATTAGCCGCTTGTCTAAACCAGGGAACAAGGTTGATCCCCCAGCAAGGATAATGTTGGAGAAAAAGGAATTCCTCAGATCCATATCACATTTCATTATACTGCTGAAGCACATCTTATCAATACCAGGAGTCTCAAGGTTCATGAGAGATGGAGAGAAGAGGGCCTCTGGACATTTGAAAAGCTGGTCATAGAGCTTGATCATCTTCCCATCAGGTAATTGGTAAACTTTCTCTATACTACCAGGTTTCTTGGCCATTTCCTCTTCATAGTTCATTGCCACATAGCAAGAGGTTTCCTTAATGTCTGCGACGATCTTTCTGTCTGCAGCACTAAGCAGCATGATGCCATGGTCCTTCAGCAGCATCATGAGGTAGTTGGTGAGGTCAAGGCCAGCAAGATGTAGCTGGTTGACACCATGAGGCAGACAGTAACCTTCAAAAATAGGCACACACTGAGTAACCCCAGCACCTGAATTCATCACAAATCCAGTTGTGAAGCCAGCAGCAAAGAGAGCCAGCACCCCCTGGATGGACATATAGAAGGCAGGAACCCCCAAATGCTCAAAAAACACTTCAGTGATTTGTTGTCGGTTGGCCAGTGGGTTCAGTGCTGGCTCAGTAATCAAAACTGGGCCATCACAGGGCTTTAGCTTCAGGTTATGGTCATAGATATGTTTCCATGTGATCTCCATGTCCCCCCAGGAAGTAATGAGACCACGTTCCACTGGGTAGCTGTAGAAAAAACAATAGCATAAATGGCAGTTTCTACCCTTTAAACCTGAGTTAATCCCCCTATTTATCACCAGTATCCCTTTATAGGCAATAACTGCCACAGTTTCTCAGAGAAGGTAACTATCAGCAAAAGTAGAACAGTAGAACAACTCTTTTCCTTTACAATTTCTGTTGCTTTCCATTCCCTACACCATCTTTGGAAAACTCTTTGTGACTTAAAAATGTTGGAGAGTTAGGGGTCTTCACATAATAGTAGTTTTACTATCAATTAATCTAAGAAAATAACCCAAATGACAAATGTACCATGAATTAAGTGAACTTGTATTTAATGAATGATAACGTTATACTCTGAGTACATTTGTATAGATCCAGAGAGCAAGTAATATTCACTCATTAGATGCTTGGTATCTTCGGAGATTTGTGGCCCGTGCATTTGCAGTAACGCTGGCTGGCTGAAACTCTCGGGCTTCCTTACCTTTTCTCTCACCCTTGCGCACCTTATCTGGTCTGGGCTCTCCCTCCTTCCCCTCTCCGCGGGTCCTGCCCGCCAGAAAAGGCGGTACCTGATGGACAGCGAGGTTCTCCGGTCCTGCGCTTCATCACCCACGAACAGCTCCCGCGCGCCCTCGGCCGCCAAGCCGTGGCCTTTGACACGTCCGATAATGTTAGGGTAGATGAACTGGGGCTCCCGGGACCCAGCCAAGCCCGCCTTGATCACATCCGAGCCGTTGTCGATTACCACCGGTGGCTGGGCGTTGCTCATGCTGCTGACGCCGCCGACGCCTCTGGTCGTCTGGCGGCTCCCACTGGCCTGGCTGCTGCCCGCCCGAGGAGGTCAGAAAGTGCGGGGCGCAGCCCCTGCCGGCCTTTCCAGGTTCCAATGATGCGTGGGAGCCGAGAGCCTGGGACGTTGCGTCACAAAGACCCCACAGTGCCTGAGGCCCGCACTGGCTGGGAACAGGGACATCCACGGGCCCATAGACTCTTCGGAGGCACAGTGTGCTCCAAACGACTGCTCTCCCCGTGGCTTCTCTCTCTAACCCCTGGAATCTCGGAATACCATTATCGGGAAAACCTGATTTTCTCCCCCCAAGATACAATCTAACCCTTCGCAGGTGGCTTTCCCTAATACCAGGATGAGCTATAGAAACAATTTTATTTCCAAAAGTCATTGAATTCCAGTTAATAAGTGTCCGTCCAGGGGCCTGGGGAAAACTAGAATACGTTGTTGAAACTGGAAAGAGGTGGAGAGAGATTTGAAGAGAAAACTGTCCCAGCAGGGAGGGCATGGTCCCTGTTTTTGAAACCCAGTCAACTTCTGTAAAAAGAGTGGGGAAGAAAATGCTAGGATTTCAAGTGGGTTTTAACAAGCCCTGACTGGGTAGCTCTCAGTTGGTTAGAACGTCCAACCAATACTCCAAGGTTGTGGGTTGGATCCCTGGTCAGGGTACACACAAAAATTAATAAGTGCATAAATAAGTAGAACACCAAACCTGCTTCTCCCTTCCCCTCTCTAAATTCAATAAATAAAAATTTAAAGTGGATTTTAACATGATTTTACTGATATATGGAATCTAATGAACAAAATGAACTAACAAGCAAAATAGAGACAGAATCATAGGTTGAGAGCAAGCTGACAGCAGTCAGGAGGTGGATGGATGAGTGGGGGAGATGAGTGGAGAGATTGAGTAAAAAGGAAAAATTAAAGAGAAGAAAAGTAAAGTGGGTTTTAAAAACTTTTAGTAGAATCTTACTATTTATTTATTTGGGCAATCTCATCAGGTTACCTCCCAGGATAATATGGAAGCTAAATTCTTATTCTGAAAAATTCTGGATTTTTTAGGCTTAAGGGTGTGTCTGCCTCTTTGCAGTATGTGATATTTCTTTAGTCATATGAAGCTCAGACTTAGAAACATTTAAGTACCTTGCATGCCAAAAAGTGCATCTTGGTGTTTGATTTTCCCTGCCTGGCCTTAATTTTGCACACCCTAGACTCTCGGCCCATCCCTAGAGGATTTTAAATTAAGTATGCAAATTAGAGGCCCTGGTCTACAGAAACAGGGGAGGAAATTCAAAAGCTATGTATCCATCCCTCCACTAGGGGTTTAGAAGAGTCGCTTTCTCCTTGTTAAATCCCAGCCTTGGGGTTTGGTGCGGCGCGCCGCTGGGGGAGCGGAAACTCTGGGATGGGTGAGGGCGCGTCCTTCCAGGCCAGCGAAGCGGGGAAACTCAGCAACGCGACACTGGGGAGAGAGACCTAATAAACAATTCTTTCCCATAGAAGAAAGGGTACCCCAAAGAAGGGCAACTAGCGGGTGCTGCGGGGGCGGCTTTTTAAAAAGTGCACGCAAATTTCAATTTTTGAAATAACAGTACTGTTCAATTGGACATATGGTTATTATCCCTTTTCTGTCTTTCTGTTAAAAGTGACATTAGTTTTTCTTAGCTTTAAGAATAAATGAACTACACATTACAATACCTATATCTAGGCTACTCTGAGGACAAAGTAGCATGTAGGTTTCCGTAGTGTAGTGGTTATCACGTTCGCCTAACACGCGAAAGGTCCCCGGTTCGAAACCGGGCGGAAACAACTTTTCCCTAAAAATTACGTGTTTATTAATGGTGTAACATGTACACAAAGGACTCCAGACTTAAAACACCTTTTTTTTTTTTTTTTTAGTTTTTACTAATGCTGTAACTTGTACAAGAAGGGCTCTAGACTTAAAAAAAATTTTTTAAGTTCAACTCACAACCTGATACTGGAAAAATAATGTACAGCCTAGAAGGGGAGATCAGTGTGAGAAAACAGCCTTCTCGGCTCCTTCCTCCACTGTTGCCCAGTGTGCCCTACAGCTTTGCTCCGCTACAGCACTCTTTGTAGAAGTCATTTGGTTTTCCATTCGTTTTCCCGTTAACAATTCAGATTTTTCTAAATGCCAGACACCATGCTTTAGTCTTAGTCTATATACTTAGTCTCATGCATGGCACCTAGGAGAGACTCATAAATATTTCTGAATTAATAAATCAAAAAGGGTTCCAACAAAAAAGTGAAATCAGAAAGAAAAGTGTACTAAGATAAAATTGTTAGATAGGACAAGGGTCTCACGTCTGGGTCATTCTTACTAAATGTTATTCTTGCTAAGTGTTAAAATGTAGCACAGTGTTTTACATACCAGCTGTAAACAGGATGGGCTTGACAGGAACTAGAATAGGTAAGTGTAGCCAACTGCAAGAACGGAATCAGCAGTGTACTTGACCAAATAGTGTATATAAGCAATAGTTAAGTCTTTCTTCTGGGAGAGTGCAAGTAAATAAAACTACCTTGCAACGATCACCTCTTGATTTTTAATACAGAACCCCAAGCAGCAAATCCCTTGTTCAGTAACAAAAGCAAGAACCAGCCTCACTTTTCCCCTTACAAACATAACAGTTACGGTTTTATGCACAAATGTAATTTTTACTGAGTAGACAAAAATAAGTTACAAAAAAGCAAACAGAATCTGGTTGGAAAAATCTTAGGAGAGAAGAAACGAATACATTCAGTTGAGACTATATTTTAGAATAAAGTTGTAAGCACATTTCCTATGGTCCTGACACAACTTTTAACAATAAAAAATGTTTAAGTTTTGGTTTTCTGAGATTTATGATATCTGCGGGTACTAGGAAAGAATCCGCCATACCATAACATGACTTATCTTACTGTTTCTGCCCTTTTTGGATATTATGAAAACTGGCATCCCTTTCCTTAACCACACAAAATCTGAATTCGAGGTAAATAATTATATTAAAATATTTTCAACCCCGGCTCAGAACCTTTTCCGGTATAACGCCCACCTTCCTCCACTGTTGCGCATGCCCAGTGTGCCCTACAGCTTTGCTCCGCTTTCGCGCATCAGACTTCTGTCTCCAGGTAAGGGTTTCCTGGAAACTGGGCTACAGTTGGCTGATGCAAACAAAACCCAGGAGGTCCCAAGAGCTTTCGGGTATGTAAACTGAAAAGGGGCGATCAGTCTCAGCTCAAAAATTCCCCATGGCTGCAAGCCCAGTGCACAAAGCAGTTGTTCACCAGAAAGGGAAGGATGATGAGAGAAGACAAGCAACTACAAGCCCCAGCATGCAGTGCGCAGTCTGGCTCCTGGAAAGAGGTGTGCGGTGTAGCTCTGCCGGGCCTCGGCCCAGATGCGGGCCCAGCGCGAGACGCCTGCTGTCGGCCGACCAGAATGCTGAGAATGAAGAAGATAGGCGGGGCGCTGTGAGCGATCCCAGAGGTCTCCTGTCTTTGACGCTCGCTATTTGGGGAGGGGGTATCCCTGGCATGTGAGGTGTGTGTTGGGGGGCGGGGGTGCATCTTTGTGGTCCAGCCAGTTCAGCCTAGGCTGGTATTGGACGTCCGCAGTCCTAGAGCCTCCGGTGTTGCCGAGGGACTCCGGAGCCGGATGTGACGTTGCCGTGGAGGGAGAAGGGAGAGGCGGAGCGTGGCGTGGTGACGTCCTCCCAAGATGGCGGAGAGAGAGTGAAGAAACAGTGTCCCGGTTGGGTTGCTATAGGTGAGTTCTGTCTTTACCTCCAGCCCAATAACCCCGCTCTTTCCAGATCCTGGGCCACTGTGGGCAGGCACCTGGGAGTTCGGGCTCCAGTAGGGACGAAACTGTTAACGTGGGAAGTTGGTCGAGGCAGTCCGGTGTTGGCCTTGGCTACAACCTCTGCTGTGGGAATTTGGGGAAGTGGGAGCTGGGCGAAGGGCAGGGCAGCAGAAGCCGGGAGAGACCGGCTTTGGTTGTCACTCTGGATGCCCCCTTGAGTGGAGAAGGGGGACGTGTGGGGGTGTGGCCCCTTCCCGGTGAGGGACGGAACCTTTGACAACTCTTGGCCCTGCTCATTCTCCACCCGCTGGGCACGCGCCTTGCGTTTTGAAGCAACTGTGTACCGCGGACGCTAACAGGTTTCGGTGATTTGAGAGCAGTTTAAAAGAACGGGTACCGTGGCTTTTCCTCAGGAATTAGTTTTTAATGGTTTAATTTTATCCTGACATATGTATGGCTACTGAGCTTAAATGTCTGAAGGGTCATCTGGTGCAAAAGTGAGAAATTTTGTAGTGCTTTTTTTTTTTTTTTTCCCAGCTTGTGGAAGTGTTTTCACTCATTGCCATTTGTTGATGTGTCCAAAGGATTGTGTTTGTTGGCCAAGATGAAACAAAAAGAACTTATCCCTTCAAAAATTTTTTACCATATCTGTTTGATAAGAATTTTCTGGTGGGATAAAATGAGAACTGACTTTTTTCCTGTTCATGTTATATCCTGTGTCCCTTCACCCCTTAACCAATTGCTTGGGTGAATCGTTTGATGAAAATTTAGGATTACTGATTTACTATTTCTTTTTGTCTTTTAGAACAAGGGTAAAATTCCACTCAGATATCAAAATGCAGTATTCGCATCACTGTGAGCACCTTTTAGAGAGACTGAACAAACAACGAGAAGCAGGTTTTCTTTGTGACTGCACCATAGTGATTGGGGATTTCCAGTTTAAAGCCCATAGGAATGTGCTTGCCTCCTTTAGTGAGTATTTTGGTGCCATCTACAGAAGCACTTCTGAGAACAATGTCTTTCTTGATCAGAGTCAGGTGAAGGCAGATGGATTTAAGAAACTGTTGGAGTTTATATACACAGGAACTTTAAACCTTGACAGGTAAAGTACATATTTTATTTCATTTGTAAAAGCTAATCCATAGTCTTAAGAGGAAAAGTACATTTGTATTGTTTACATTCAGCCCCTGAACCCGGAATCTTCAAATATTGATATGCACAATGTTGTTTTCCTTTTTTGTTTTTTAAAGAAGCCAATACCACTGATATTGATGAACAGACTACATTTTAAGCACAAAAAAGCACAGATGTTAATGTGATTAAAGCCTTGTTTCTGTTACATTTGATTTACCTACTGAAACAAAGCCTGTGATTTTATTTATTTATTTATTTATTTATTTATTTATTTATTTTAACCTCACCCGAGGACATTTTTGCATTTTTTGTTCAGACAGAGCAGGAGGGAGAGAGAGGAAGAGAGAGAGAACATCGATGTGAAGGGACACATCGAGTGGCCGCCACCCGCACAACCCAACCAGGGCCGGGGACAAACTGCAACCGAGGTACATGCCCTTAGCGGGAACCGAACCCGGGTCTCTCTGTACCGCAGGCCGACGCTCTAACCGCTGAGCCAAACCGGCCAGGGCAAGCCTGTGATTTTAGTTAAGTAAATTTGAAGATTAAACACAGTGAATTCTAGTTTCCCCTTGCTTTTTGGTCTTTATGTTCCTCTGGTCTCTCTCCCCCACTTTCTGTCCCCTGCCTCTTAAGTTGTTGGGGTGAGAGAGTAGATGGAGAAAGAAGGAAGAACCTCTGTGTTCTTTTAATAGTGCTCCCATCTCCAACTATGAATAGCAATGTGCAGCATCATGTCCTGATATTGATTCAGGAAAATAACTTCATTGCAGTATAAATGGCAGTGACTCCTGTTATCTCTGTAAAGTTATCAATACTAATGATAGGTCCAAGGTACTCAAATGGTTCTCTAACATGCACAATGCTGTCACTGTACTAACAAATGTAGGTACTGAGAACTTTGATAATGAAGGCACTGTCTGTTTCCCATATACAGTGATATGTGTAATTAGCATAATACCAATGCATTCATTAGTTTGTGGGGGGGAATGGTGGAGTGGATAATAAAGGAAGGAAAATCCAAATTACCCTTGTCGTCTTTCCTCCATCTCTTATGAAAGTGTGAACATGAATAGGTCATAATCTTATGCAATAGAAAGATTATGGGCTTTAGAATTAGATATTGCCTGTCAGTCACTATGTCTCTTTGAGCAAGATGCAACCTCTCGGCCTCAGTTTTCCCATCTGTAAAAATGAGATGGTAATAACTACCTTGGTGTTACTATGAAGATTAAAGATTTACTTGAAAGCCCATCTACCAATGAACATTAGTTTCCTTGGTTTTTCTCTTCTCTACCTTCCTCTCCCCTTTTAATTTCACATTTCTTGGGGGGGAAAAATGAGGGGGGACAAAAAAACATGAACCAGCTGGAATTCTGCCACCCACTGATAACCACTGTTAACACTTTGAAAAATATTTTATTCTTTTCCAGATCATCTTTGTAGATATATGCATATACACATTAAGCAAAATCCTTCCTTCTCTTTTACATTGCAGCTTATCATGAAAATATACCTCTTTAAAGAGTTAGAATCATGATGTTTATTCATACTTTTGAAAAAGAAACATACTGTTTTGGAATTACTTTTTAAATGTTGGTATAATGAAATCTTTGAGTCAGTTCTGTATAAGTGAGTAAAGGAACAGAGCAGTGTCCCTACATTAACCTCATGATAAATTATTTAAATTTACTAAGTAGACTGACTATAGAAATGCCTTTAATTAAAAATTCAGAGTATTTAATATAACTACAAAACCAGTGCATCTTGGTTGCTCTTCAATTTACTGTTTTCCCTCTCTCAAATAACTTTGCCGGGAAAATCTTGAGTGGATCTGAACATGCTGAAGAGCATCTGACTTTGCCCTTTCATGCAAAGAACCAATAGAAAGAAAAGCCAGATGTTTTGCTCAATCTTTCTTGGTACATATCTTTCCCGAGGATCTAATTGTTTGAGCCCAGCCAAAAATATAAGAGAAGACTTTACCAAAAAAAGAAAATCTATAATTTAATGACTAAGAAAACAGAAGAGCCTGGCCGAGGTAGATTGGTTAATTGGAGCATCATCCCTTACACCAAGAGGTGACAGGTTCAATTCCCGGTCAAGGCAAATACTCAGGTTGTGGGTTTGATCCCCAGTCAGGGTGTATATGGGAGGCAACTGATCAATGTTTCTCTCTCCTTCCCTCTCTCTGAAATCAATTTTTAAAAAATTAGAAAGAAAGAAAACAACTGTAAAAGAAAACAGGATAGCAGAGAATTAAGTAGACTTGGGAGCTCAATTACCTTGTTCAAATTTTAGTTCTAACACTGTTATCTTGGAAAAATTACTCCAGTTATTTTGGACCTTTGATCCTTCATTTGTATGTAAAATGGAGATTATAATAGATTTCTCAGCCATGTCCTGAGGATTAATTACTCATATAAAATATTTAGGCAGATCCCTGCAATATGTAATTAAATGACTTTAAATAACTGTTCAAAAGGTAAAAGCAAATTTTCAAGCACTGTAACTTCATGTTTAAACAAAAGCACATCAGTTACTGACATAAACAAATGCTAATTGGTTCTCTTAACTGTAACTGAAATTATAGGCCATATATGAAATAGATAATTTATATTAATGTTTTAACGTGTGAGTCAATGCTAGTTCACATTGGTCTTAAAGACTGTCTGACTTTGTTACCTGTTTGGTGGTTCATTTTATGGAGCACTAAGCACAATTATGAGACCAAAGTATAAGAAGTGATAAAGTAAATTTGGCTTTCATTCTAGTGGTATCTCTTACTTAAATAATTTAATAATAGATTATGTACCAAAATCAGTAAAAATGCTTAAGAAGAAATATAATGTTTTTAGAGAATGACAATGCTATGTACATGGAAAAAAATATTTTGTATAAAAGATGAATAAGGTTATATTTATATTTGGGGCATTTGTGCTGTATCTTTGTGAATAGAGAATTAACTTGATTTCAAAGATCATTGATTATATATATGTTCCAAAATTATAGCCAAGAGCCATAAGAAAAGAATATCTTAAATAATGTTTTCTTATTTAGGGGAAAGACCCAATTTGCAAACAGATTATGTTCCAAAGTGTATTTGTAATGTTTAGGGACTTGTGATGGGTGTTCTCAGAGAATAAAGTGTTCCTTAAACTGGTGATTAGGTTTCCAAACTAGCCTATAAATCTAGTCTATAATCAGCTGAAAAATGATTATGTATATAATAAAAGACAGAACTTCAAAAGCTGTTGTAATGCTAAATTTAAAAAGGAAACATACAGGTGGCACTTGAGGCAAAGCAGGTTTAATTCGGTTATGAGAAAATGAATAAAGATTTGTAGATACTGTAGTCCATATACTTTCAATGATCTGAGAGGTTCATGACACTAGTTATTTTTTATTTCATTTCACGTTTTACTCTTTTCTGGTTCATATATATAATAGGGAAAAGAGTTATTTTTTCCTGGAGAATTAAATATTTGGAGGAAATGGCAAGTAGAAAGGTTACTTGAGGGAGGCGTTGTGTGTGTGTCCATGTCCTCAAATAATTAGAAGGGTCACATTTTTAGTGTTAATACCACTCAACTCTGATTTTACAGCTGAGAAAATTGAAGCACCCAAAGATACTAACTTACTCTAATTAATTCAGTTAGTAATTTCAGAGCCAGTACTGGAGTAATCAACCTTTTACTACATTGTAAACTTCTGGAGAGCAGAGACTATGAGATGTTTCCGTTTTTTTTTGTTGTTGTTTTTTTTATCCTTATCCAAGGACATTTTTCCATATTTTATTCGGATAGAGTGGAAGGGAAAGAGAGAGAAACATTGACGTGAAAGGGACACATCCAGTGGTTGCCACCTGCACGACCAACCAGGGCCGGGGACAAACTGCAACCAAGGTACGCGCTCTTAGCGGGAATCGAACCCAGGTCTCTCTGGACCGCAGGCCTGTGCTCACGCTCTAACCGCTGAGCCAAACTGGCCAGGGCAATTTGATGTTTCTAAATGTCACTCATAGTAACCACCCATAGTGGATGATCAGTAAATATTGACTAGAATGTTGAACAAGGTGACTTAAGTTTTTGTATATAATTTTAATATGACAGACTTGCTGGCTATCTTGGGTTGATATCTCACACACACATACACACACACAAGTGGAAGGGTTACAAGAGGGAGCACATTCTAAAACCTGTTTCTTCACGTGTGATCCATGGACCAGCAGCATTGGCATCACCAGGGAGTGTGTTAGAAATGCAGCCACCCAGGCACAGACCTACTGAATCTGATTCTACATTTAACAAGCTTCCTTGGTGATTAACATGCATAGGAAAATTTGAAAAGCACCATTAAAGTCCTTCAGAAGGAGGAGAGCAGAAGAAGGTAATAGGAAACAATTTTTTTAGACTTTCTGTTGTCAATCCAGAAAAGTTGGTTACTATCTGAAGAGGCCTCAGGATGAATGGGAGAAGGCAGTAAGTTGCCAACAGCTACTTTTATGTTCCAAGTGTTTTTAAAATGGGTAGAAATTTTGCCTTGGCCAGTGTGGCTTAGTTGGTTGAGCGCTGTCCTGTGCACCAAGAGGCCACAATTTGGTTGGATTCCCAGGTTGCCGGCTCCATCCCCAGTAAGGAGCGTGCAGAAGGCAGCTGACTGATGTTTCTCTCTCCATCTCTCTCTCAAATCAATAAAAACATTTTTTAAACAGGTAGAAATTTGAATATTTAATTTTTCTGTAGTGGTACATAGGTAGCTGTGAATCACCAGTATTTTTCATCTTTTCCGGTTCTATAAAGCTGGAAATTTTTGTCTAAATATTACTCTGAGTGAATGAATGAATGAATTTTGTAGATTTGTTTTCATCATTCTGCTTCATTAGGTCTTTAAAAAACATTGAAATATACATGCAGCTGTTTCAAAAACAGTTTTTCTTTGATCAGAATGTTGTCATTTAGCCTTGTTTCCTTACAGTTGGAATGTTAAAGAAATTCATCAGGCTGCTGACTATCTCAAAGTGGAAGAGGTGGTCACTAAATGTAAAATAAAGATGGAAGATTTTGCTTTTATTGCTAATCCCTCTTCTACAGAGATATCTAGTATTACTGGAAACATTGAATTGAATCAACAGACTTGTCTTCTTACTCTACGAGATTATAATAGTCGGGAGAAATCAGAAGTGTCTACAGATTTAGTTCAGGCAAACCCTAAACAAGGGGCTTTAGCAAAGAAGTCGTCTCAAACTAAAAAGAAGAAGAAGACCTTCAACTCCCAGAAAACAGGGCAGAATAAAACAGTGCAATATCCCAGTGACATTTTAGAGACGGCATCAGTTGAATTATTTCTAGATGCAAATAAATTGTCCACACCTATAATAGAACAGGTTGCACAAAGAAATGATAATTCAGAACTTGAGTTGACATCAGTTGTGGAAAATACTTTTCCAGCACAAGATATTGTGCAAACTGTTGCAGTGAAACGGAAACGTGGAAAATCACAGCCAAATTGTGCTCTGAAAGAGCACTCTATGTCTAATATAGCCAGTGTCAAGAACTCTTATGAGGTGGAGAGCTCTGGCGAAGAGCTGGATCAGAGGTATTCCAAGGCCAAGCCAATGTGTAACACTTGTGGGAAAGTATTTTCAGAAGCCAGCAGCTTGAGAAGGCACATGAGAATACATAAAGGAGTCAAACCTTATGTTTGCCATTTGTGTGGAAAGGCATTTACCCAGTGTAACCAGCTGAAAACGCATGTAAGAACTCATACAGGTAAGACTGATTTGTGGGAGATATAATTGCTTGTATACTGTGACTGAAATAATACTTTTTATAGGGAACTTATTAATATACAGTGTTGACTATGATCAAAATTTGATATATACTTGTATTCATAAAAGTATTTAGGATGTTAAACTGCTGAAAATTTCTTTGTCATTGTGAGCAAGTGTTTAATGGCTATTTGTTTTATTGTAACTGATACTCTGTAGTCCTAATACAGAAGCTCTTTATACCATTTTTCCTCATAGTTAAAATAAACATAAATGTATCTAGCTTAGTAAGTATTTAACACAAAGATAGACAAAGATATTAAAACTGATAAAGAGAAAAAAGTAATTACAACTCGGGCCAATTCTCAGATTTTGCCAACACATCTCTTCACCTGCTTCCTAGACTTTGTCAATCTCTGAACATTTATTAGCATTGCACAGTATTCGTTCCTCAGCTTCTATATTTGTCTTTATTGGTACACTTAGATGTAAGATGTAATATGTATTTCTCTTATTGATCACCTTTCACTGTTATGAATTAAGAAACACTAACTTCTTTTAACTCCACTGTTGTTTTCAATAAATCTAGAAGAAGAGATCCTATTTGTTTTTTTACTTCTAACAATTAACATTTTCTGAATACTGAAACGAGTACTGTTGATGGACTCTTGAAAGCTTATATGACTTAAGCAACTAAGACAATATTTCTTTCTAAATACAGATTTTATTTACTTCTGTTAGGTGAGAAGCCATACAAATGTGAATTGTGTGATAAAGGATTTGCTCAGAAATGCCAGCTAGTCTTCCATAGTCGCATGCATCATGGTGAGGAAAAACCCTATAAATGTGATGTATGCAATTTACAATTTGCAACTTCTAGCAATCTCAAGATTCATGCAAGGTAAAAAATAAAACCAAAAAAAAGTTGTCTGATCTTTGAGTCTGTCATTCACCATACCCTTATGAATTGACTACTGTATTAGAATTCAGGACAGTAGAGTTCCAATTGTGGTTCACCATACAATATTCTTAGCACATTCAAGGAAGCTGTGGTGGGTGGAGGGAAATAAGTGTGGGAGGGAAATAAGATCAGAATGGTAATAAGGTGTTCAGATGGTGTGCAGTTTTATAGGCTGTTATAAAGCTTTTATTCTTGAGATTGAGAAATAAGTGATGTGATGCTGCTTGCCTTTGAAGAGGACCACTCTGGCTGCTATATTTGGAAAAGATTATAGGACTGCAAGAGTAGAGGCAAATTTACCAGTTAGGAAGCCCTAGTTGTAAAACCCAAGTGAGACTGATTTTGGTTCAGCTAGCATGGTAGCAGTGGGAAAGATAAGTAGCAGATTCTGGATGTATATAAATGTAGAACAAACAGAATTTGCTGCAGATTTGATATGGGGTATGAAAAGAAAGAAGGAAGGTAGGTCAAAGATGATTTTGACGTTTGAGCCTGACCACCTGAAAAGATGGAATTACTATTAACTGAAATAGAGAAAATTTGTGGATAGAGCATTTTAAACAGGAGTACAGGAGTTGTTGGAATAGAATTCTGAATGAGTTAAATTGTAGATGACTATTAGACATCTGAAAGGAGATACTCAATACACAGTTGGCTATCTAAGTCAAATTCAGAGGACTGGTTTGATCCGAATATAAGAATTTGGGAGTCATCAACATATAGATAGTACTTAAAGCCATAACACAGAGAATGAACATGCATAGAAAAGGGAAAAAAGGACTGAAGTCATGAGACAGACACTAAGAGTTCTGGGAGATGGGCAAGAAACAGAAAAGGTGTCTAGGAAGGAGCAGTCAGTATAGGAAAAACACCAAAAGAGTGGGCTGCCCCAGAATCCAAGTGAAGAAAATGATTCCACAAGGGAGTGATCAGCTTTGTCCAATTCTAATAATAGAGAAATGAAGACAGAATTGATCTGGATTTAACCAAGTGAGAGGTCAGCAATTGTTTTTAACGAAAGCAGTGTTAGTAGAGGCTAATTGGGAAGAGATTAGTAGGGAACCGATGTAAGTAAACAATTTGGAGGCTCAAGTTTTTGGTAAGTGGGAGCAAAGAAGTGGAGGTCAAGGGTCTCTTTTAAGATGGGAGACGTTAAATTTGTATGTTACAATTCAATGGGGTGGGGAAAGGGCATGATGTAAGATGGAGAAGAAAATGTGGGAGTGATATCATTGAGTAAGACAAGGGGAATAGTATCGTAAGTATACCAATGGGAGTAGTTGGATTCAGATGAACTCTCATCCTCTGAGTTAAGGAAAACAATGTCCATAGGTGGAGAGTTGTGATGGTGGAAATTTTCAGATTGCTTAAATTTTTCTCAGTGAAAGAGGAAGCAAAGAAATCAGCTAAGGGTGAGGAGGTTCTGAAGGTTTGAGGAAAGAGTTTTGAAGAATGAGTGGATGGACAAGCAAAAATAATTGCCTGCAGAATTAGGGGCATACTTGATAACCCTGAAAAGATGATGGCAAAACTTTTTGACCTGATCTCAGAACTACTGTTTTGATAACAACCTATTGGTTTTAAATACATATAATTGGTCTGTTAAGATGAAATAAAATACTGTATGAAAAGTGCTTGCTATATAAATTGACCTCCAAATTATTTTACTTAGCATATAACTTTATTTATTTACTAATAGGAAGCATAGTGGAGAGAAGCCATATGTCTGTGATAGGTGTGGACAGAGATTTGCCCAAGCCAGCACACTGACCTATCATGTTCGTAGGCATACTGGAGAAAAGCCTTATGTGTGTGATACTTGTGGGAAGGCATTTGCTGTCTCTAGTTCTCTTATCACTCATTCTCGAAAACATACAGGTAAGAATTTGATGTGGAGAGACTGCTTAAAATAAGGAAAGTTGTAAATAAAAGGGGAAGTTGAGCCTTTTCAGAAAGTAGATTATAGACGGTGTTAGTTATATATCTGTTGTGTTTGTGTTTTTTGAAGCTTTTTATGTTTATAATTTTTAGATAATAGATATAAAAACACCTATTTTCTAGAATAATACATAGTGGATGAAATTTCTATCATGGAACATATACATTAAAAGCAGATGATTTTGACAATCTTGAGTTGAGACATATTTTATGACCTTAGAAAAACTCCTTAGCCTTTTGAAGTTTCTTTTCCCTTGGATAAAACTATAGAGTGAAATTAAGGGGTAGGGGTGGGTTTGGGTAGAACACTGATTTTATAATTTTTAGGGCTTTTTTTACACAGACATTCTTATTGCAAATTAAACAAATACTTTAAATGCAAAGTATCAGTTCTGAAAAAAATTTTATTCAGAGGTTTTCTTTTTTTTTATATGTTTTTATTGATTGTTTTTTTTTTTTAGAAAGGAAAGGAGAGAGAGACATTGATGTGAGAGATACATTGATCGGCTGCCTCCTGCACGCCCCCCACAACCTGGGCACGTGCCCTGACCAGGAATCAAACTAGGACCTCTCAGTCCATGGGACGATGCTCAATCCATTGAGCCACACAGCCGGACAGGTTTACCCTTTTTATAGGGTACATTTTTAATATATTTTTTCTAAATAATTTTATTCCTCTTTAATACTATAGTAGATAACAAGAATTGAAATATGGATTGATGAATTTACAATTATATAAAATTTTTTAATTATATAAATTTAATTTACCCAACTCTAGCCTAGAAGGACATTTACAGAAATAAAGTTTTATTATATGAAAAGCATCAGGTTACATGAATAGTATAAAATTACTAATATTTATTTCAGTTAGATCACACTGAAAATACCTCTAAAATAAAATATAAAGAGGCTTTAATTTAAATGATATTTTAGAACAGCTTACTTTAGATTATTGTAATTGATAAATATTATGTTGGTATAGTACACCACTTCGCTATCTTTTATTTCCATCTAGGTGAAAAACCATACATATGTGGTATTTGTGGGAAAAGTTTTATTTCCTCAGGAGAGCTCAACAAACACTTTCGATCCCATACAGGTCTGTGTTTAGGGAGAACGTATTATTTTTTGTTCTCTCTAATTTCTTTTTATGTAAACCTTGGCTTCTAAACCACTATGGACTATATGGTATCTATTTATACTTTCAGTAATATTTTAATGCATAAATATCACCTTTTCATTTACTTATTTTGTTGGGTTTTTTTTTAGTTATTTGTAGTGTGAATTAAATTTGGTAGAGAATTGTATAGATTCTCTCAGAGGTATGCCAGAAAATCAATAGTTTTTTTAATGATTTTGATTTAATTGCACAGATGTACCAAGAAATGAAAAGGAATCAGTAACAAGATAATAGATTTTCTTATTAAAGAATATTCAGTATACAACTTCTAGGTATACATTTTTATATTGGCATATGTTTATTGTAAGAGGTATTATGTAAGTAGTATGAAGAAAGTATTGAATGTAAAGAAATTTTTAAAGGATAAGGCCACTTTGAAAATGTGCTGTTCCAACTTTAAAAAAACAAATTATCCCTCATAATTCTAGAATAGTGTGAGCACCTAGGAAACATTTGATAAATGTATTGTCAACTTAAAGCATTCAACAGTTCTTATTTCAAAAGAATTAGAATTTTGTATCATTTTGTCAGTTTTTAAAAGGATTTTACCATTTGTAAGCTTTCACAGAACAGAAACCATAATTATGTATTTTTAGCCCCACTATATCTCTTAGTCAGGTCTGTCATATAATTGTACTCATTAAATGTCTGATAGAAATAAAAAAAGTTTTTGTTTTTTTTTTAGTTTAAAATTTCTGTTCATGAAAATGCTCAGTCTTTCCCAAAATGGGGATGCTATGTGTATAGAAATTTTTATTTCATTGTATTAGAGCCAAGTGATTAAAATGGTAATTTGAAACTAAATTTGAAGTGTAGTTACTTTTGCTTTATATTCATAAACATTGATATTTTTGTCTTAGCCTCTAAAATATTACGGTTTTAAACTTTTAACTTATTTTTCAGGAGAAAGACCATTTATCTGCGAATTATGTGGAAATTCTTACACAGATATTAAAAATTTAAAGAAGCACAAAACAAAAGTTCATTCTGGTAAATGCTTATGTTTTTTAAAAATTTGGTGCCTTCATATTGGTACTATCTCTTAAAATGTTGAGATGAACATTATAACAGTTCAGATTTTTTTAAACTAGGTACAAGGAGGAAGGTAGCTTTATAATTTGCACCTAAGTTTACTCTGAATTTCTTTTCATATTAACCTAATACATAATATTGAAACATTTTCTCCTTTAAAAATCTGATTTGTGAACAATTTCAAAAATGAAGGAATATATGAGCAAACTATACTAGAGTCTGGGGCCTAGAGTTTACTCTAGTTATATGAAGAGAGGGCCATCATGAACACTAATCCATATGTATATATGGAAATAATGAAATAAGGAAGCCCAAAACTGTTACATAAAAAAAGAAAGCAAGAGTTAAAAAATGTAAGTCTTTTGCTTAAAATTTATACTTGAAAAAGCTTCACTGTGCTTAACATTTTCTTCATGATTAGAATCAAAACAAAACACCAGGCTTCTTCAGTGTATAGAAATGACAGTGAGTCTTTGATAATAAACATAAACATAAGGATTTAATTAGTAACACCTAAAGAATGCATTGAGCCAATAATTCAACAAAAATTTATTAAATACCTCTAAAGTACACATAAATACAGGGTATATGAAGTTGAACAAGGCATAGTCTAATCTTCAAAGAACTTAAAATTTGGTGTGGGAGACCAGAAATCTAAATATGATTACAAGAGAAAATGTAGGCTATACTAGAGACACAGAAGTGCTGAAGATGAGATTAAGCACTTCTGAGGTATTGGAAAGGCATAATCCTGGGGAACTTGCAGGATTGAGAAGAGTTCAGAGGATACAAATGGGAAAGGAAGGATTTATTCCAGGCAACAAGGTGCAGGCTATATTCTTAGCTGGTTGAACTGAAGAACCGAGTTAAATTTTATAAAAGCAAATACACAGTTTTGTCTAACGAGGATAGTGAGACTGGAATCATGTTAGTACTTTGGATTGTCAGGAGCATGGTAAAGCTACTGGAAAATTTGAAGGCAAAATGTATCTTCAGTTGATGTGATAATTATTCCCTTGAGTAGAGCAGAATTTCTCACTTCTGAAAATATATGAAAGTGCCCTATTTCTGAACTTGAATTTACAGAATAGTATGAATGACTCATTAATATAGTTAGTGAACAAATAGAGTACAATTGGCCCTCGTTTATCACAGTTAATAGTTCCAGACTACTGTGATAAATGAATTTCTGTGAAGTAGGATTCTTTATTTATATACAGTTGTCCCTCACCACTTCGGGCTTCAATGACTTCACTCTATTGCGGTTTTTTCAAATATAAAAAGCCACGACCATTGAAGCGTGAAGTGGTGAGGGACGACTGTATTATTATGTGTATAGTAGTACTGTTAGGTACTTTAGTTTAGGATTCAAGACATACCTAAGTTGAGTGTTAAGTAGCAATAAGAGATACATGTCACAAACCAGTATATAAACATTGACAAATGACTGATAAAATAGATAAGAAACAACTCACCCTGGACTAGAACAATTAAGTCCATTTTTATCATGGAGTTGGTGTTTGGGCCTCGTCTTGAAGCCCATGTTGGAATTGTATAGATAATGAGGGGAATTCAGCAAAAGAGAAGTAGCCTGAGTAAAGGTGTGGTGGTTGGAATGCAAGTTCTGGGAATGGTAAGAGTTTTTGTTTTGTTTTTAAAGATAGTATAATTTTTTTCCCCTTCCATTTCAGGGGCAGATAAAATTCTAGATTCTAGTATAGAGGATCATACTTTAAGTGAACAAGATTCCATACAAAAAAGCCCTGTATCAGAAACTTTGGATGTGAAGCCTTCTGATATGACTTTACCACTGGCCCTTCCACTTGGGACTGAGGACCACCACATGCTTCTGCCTGTCACAGATAATCAGTCTCCTACATCAGATACATTGTTGAGGTCAACTGTGAATGGGTATTCAGAACCACAGTTGATTTTTTTACAACAATTATATTGACTTTAAGAGAAATGTGGAATTGCTAAGACATCTCTGGTAAGGTGCATATATTCATGTTAAATTACCATTCTTTTGAGTTGTGGCCATTATTCATTCATTGAAGTAAAGGCACCTGATGCTGCATCATAACTGCAATTCCTATTTTGAGTTTTGGCTTTTATGTCCAGATTATACACACAGCTTTTTAAAAAATGAAGTATACTACAGTAGCACTATTGTGGATGGTTAAGTTTCATTTTCTTTTAGAGCTGCCTTAATTCCATTTTTATTTTGCATTTTAGAACTGCCTTTCATTTACTGAAGTGTCAGTTTATATGATTCAGTTTTGACCTGTGGGATTTAAAATTTTTCTTCCCCTCAATATTTAAGCAAAATCCATGATGGTATCAGCTCAAGAGTGTTGTTGTTACTAAGCTCCATAGCCAATACATAAAAACTGAGGGAAAAAATAAAATTTTATATTTCTGCCTAAGAAAATTTAGGTATTGAATAAGAATTGTGCTATTTATTAATATATTCCATTGGAGGTAACTTTTCTAATGAAACAAAAAAAAGTGTTTCTCTTAAGAGCTAGAAAAACTGAATATAAATTTTTGTTCATTTTAGAACTCAGTTTTCTGGAGAAAACCAGTGGTCAATACTTTTGATTTGAGTTGCCTGAGACTACAGTTTCAAAATAAATTTTAATAGCTATTTGGTGTTTTTACCTTGTTACAAGACAGTTTCAAATTTTGATTCAGGTTATGTTTTAATAAGTTTACAGATTACTGAAGATGAGGAAAATATACTGAGTTTTAAAATTTTTTGACAAGCCTCTCTTATACCTGTTATGCACTTTTTAAAATATTAAATTCTAAAAGGAATTTTCTAAATATAAACTTAATACATACTATAAATCACTTGGCTTCTGAATTTGATACATTATATTACATAGATTTAAGAAATTAACTTCAATTATAAGTAAGCATTTGAATGATCAGAAAGCCAGTTTATTAAACATTTTATATTTGAGTATTCTATAAGTTTTGAGTTTTAAAATTTTATAATAAACCACAACATTTGGTGGTGGTTTGTAGTTTCACAGTAGCCTTTTTCCTTCCTAATGAACGTAGAAAATCCAATATTCTGATATTTGCTACCACTGTTCCCCATCCTACTTTTCCCACATACTGATTTATTTTACTGCCTGATCTTTGGACATTAAATTATCAGTTTCACAAAGTCGGTTCCTTTACTGCTGATCGAACACCATGGTGACATTTATTTCTGCCATGCATTAGTTGTGGCTTGTTTTTGGTCTTAAACTACACCTATAATAAAGTTAATGTATTTTCTGTTGGTATTGATTCTTTAATTGTATTTTCTCTGGGGTCCTGGGTCATAGGAACCAACTGGAGGACATAATAAAATTAGTTCTTTTTTGTGAACTGTAGAAATCGTCACCATTTCGCAACACATTCAGCATTTTTGCAATAAATTGCCACCAGTGGAATTGACTTAATTGAATAGAGTTTGAAATATCGCCTTCTTTGTTCATCAAACATAGTATTTAATTATTTAAGAAATCTAGTTATTCACATCTACAGTACTACCTTAATACACTGGGTTTAAAAACAATTTATAGAGTTATAAAATGTTCTACTAATCTATTATGGCTTAAATTCAGTAGGAATTTATTGGGATGGGAAGATTTTAAAGAAAATTAAATGGCTCAGCCTCTTTAAGAAGTCTGCTGAAATAGAGAGGTTATATTTAATTCACACATTCATTAATCCAAGCATCTAGTGAACAAACTTTCTTTTAAAACACACTACAGTGATGTCATAATTCTATAAGGGCAGTAGTTACCCAATTTTCTCTAATGTAATTAGCATTTTATTTTTGCATAGATTAGCCCTCAGATTTATTATTTTTAGTATTATTGGACTGGAGTGGCTATAGTTGATTTTCTTTGCTTTTTTCCCATCACATCTGCTTTTAAATAATTTTATTTTAAATGGGATGGCTTGATGCTCTTCTAGAATGACAGTTAAAGAAAGATTGAAGACTGAATATCCCGTCTTGTCATTCTCATAATACCTATATATTTTCATTGTATCATTCTAACACTCATCATTTTAGTTAAGCTCATCTTTAAATATATTTCTTATAATGTGGTGTTCTGAGAAAGGTCTGTTCTTAATTATTACTAAGTTTTTTTTAAGTGTTTATAGGATGCTGAAGATCTTACTGGCAAATAAATTTTCTAAATTTTGTTTTATATTTATATTAGATTTTTCCTACTTCATTTTTAGAGATTAGACTTTTTACAAAAAGCCATACATTACATATAAATGATTTCTTTTGTGTTTTTAAACGGTACTTGTTTTATGTTTAATTTCATAGGATTTTGATAAAATTTAGATTTTTTTTTTTCAAAAAAGGTTCTACCATATCCATTGTAACAGTAGTTTATCACTTTTTGTATGTTTTAATTCTACAGAAATTTTGCAAATGAGTTGCTGAAACATACTCATAAAGACAATATACATGTATTCATGTTTTAAAATATCTAAGAATAATAGTTTTAACATTTGATGCACATCAGAAACATATTTATAGAATACTGATATCCAAGCCCCCACCCTTACCTTAGGCCAACTGAATCAGACCATTTTCATGTGTATGTGCTGGCAAAGTCCCACAGATTATTTTTATGTGTACTACACATTGTGAACTATTATCCTAAATATTTCTTTATGTTCTTCCTTTAAGAAGCATTTATAAATGATATAACTTTCCATCTTTTAGTCAGAGATTTTGAATCTATAGAACTTAGCTAGAAATACCAGCAAGTAAAACATTTTAATGCAATACCTGTAAATTCTACATTTTTATTCATTATTTATGAACATTATTGAGATTTACTTATTGAGCATTAATTTCTTTATTTTAAAATATGTTTTCATTGATTTTTTGGAGAGAGAGAGAAACATTGATCAGCTGCCTCCCCCCCCCCCCCCCCCCCACTGGAGATTCACCCTATAACCTGGGCATGTGCCCTGACCAGGAATCAAACTGAGACCTCTCAGTCCATGTGCTGAAGCTCAATTCACTGAGCCACACCAGCCGGGCAGAGCATTAATTTCTTGAGACAATAATATGGTTTATTCTTCTGTTTTCTGCAACCCCTTCATTCAAGAGAGATTTGGTGTATTTAAGAATTTAAAAATTATCATATAAATATAGTAATCATGCAGCAATAGGGTATTCCATTTCAAGAAGAATAGACTAAACTAAACACCGTGGATCTGAACAGATATTTGGATTAAAATAGTGTTTGAAATGATGGAAAATTAATGAAATCAAACACATAAACTTACAGTGGTAAATATGATCAATTCCATCCTTAAGTTCACAGTCACGTGGGAAAGACAAGCCTGAATATAACTACCATAAGACAAGTCAGAATGTCCAGCACTATAGGGGAGGAAGGCAAGAAAGGAAATGCTGAGCAGTCAAAGGGAGTTGAATGGACAGAGGAAGAGCCATTGTTACCCTGGATCTGCAAAGGAGAGGAGATGGCTGAAGAGAGCCATTTACATACAGCTGACTGAAATAGGCAGAATGGAGAGAAAGTATGACATGGGGAGGAGATAGAAGTCCAAGACATGTCTACCTCTATACCTGTACCATCTTACTTGCAATAGACCTCTGCCCTTAGCCTGGGCTGAAGAAATGGGATTAGATAGCCGAATTCATACCCCTTGTTCTCACAAACCACAGTTGACTGCTGAAGGTCAGGGGTTAGGCAGCCACATTTGTAACACATGATTCCACACTTAGGACAACAGCTGACTGAACACCTTACCAGGCAAAAACAATTCTTACGCCAAACTGGACTAGTTAGGATCTGTCTTATAAATTTGAACTGTGAAATTCTAAGACAGTTAAATATACATGTAAATGAAAAGATCATTTACAACTGGCTCCAGGTCAGTGAAGCAAGCCAATGTCTAAAGGAAACTGAGTAAGCAGAGAAAGTTGATTTGTAGAGCAAAGCGAGGGGATGGAATAGGTTTGCACAACCAAGGCCCTGTGAGGAGAGAGGAGTGGCCTCGGTGTCTAGCTCTCCAGTCCCATTCTTGAGGTGGTACAACTGTGCTTCATTTCCTTGTCTGGATACTAGTGATTTTTGCCTGTTATGTCCTTACAGTAAATCCCCTTTTTCTTAAACAGGCTTGAGTCAGTTTCTGTTCCTTGCAGTTAGCCCAACTTAGACACCTAAGTTTCGATCCTTAGTGACAGAGGTGGTGCCAAGGACATTTATGAAAGAGAAGACTTGTCAATGTACTGAATTTGGTGGTGAGATATCCGTGTGAAACTATCTGGCAGTAGTTGGAAATGGGGCCTGAAACCCAGGAGAGGTTAAAACGAGAGAGAGATCTTTTAGAATAAGACTAATTACTGTGATAGAAATGATTAAGGAAGCCCTGGGAGATGGTACAGAACAAACGATGACAAAATCTTGGGGAAATGCATTTAAGAATGAGCCAAACACAGGAAAAGAGGTGGAAAGTAGTAACAGGAAAAAACAGGGTGGTGCAAGTTTGACAAAGACAAAAATGGCTTTATACTGATCACATGGTACAGAGAAATTAAGTAGGATACCAGTCAAAGACCACATTGGGTTGGGTAATTGGGAATAGAAGCCAGGTGGATGTGGTTTGAGTAGTAGGTAACATAATAAATACTATTTAGTTTGAAAATCAGAGCTTGTAGCACAAACAAGATCATTTCACCAAATATCTAAAATGTATAAGTCGCTGTTTCTTGCTTTTTTGCTTTCAAATTTGAAACACTACAAAATGAGCATATAATTTGCAGCACTAATATGAGGCTGTGTCTGAGCTGGGTCTTAAAGGATTGCTAAGAGGAAAATGGAAGGAAACGTAAAACATAGTTGCAGATTTACTCATTACAATTCACATGTACAGAGTAAGTGGAGTTTTCCTACAGAATTTACATTTCCTTCCTTTGAGCTCCCACTAGTGTGAAATCTGGAAGAAAATTAACTTTTAGTTCTAACCATTTAAAAACCTAGCCTTATATAAAGGGGATGTAATTGATGGTATCTTAAAGTAATGCTTACACTCTTGGAATATTGCTTTCTTACTTCTGCCCTTTGTCTTCTCTTTAAAATGATGTCCAGCCCTGGCCGGTTTGGCTCAGCGGTTAGAGCATCAGCCTGCGGTACAGAGAGACCCAGGTTCGGTTCCTGCTAAGGGCATGTACTTCAGTTGCAGTTTGTTCCCAGCCCTGGTTGGTCGTGCGGGTGGCAGCCACTCGATGTGTCCCTTTCACGTCGATGTTTCTCTCTCTCTCTCTCTTCCTCTCTCTCCCTCCCACTCTATCTGTGCAAAAAATGGAAAAAATAAAATAAAATAAAATGTCCAGATATATGGAGGGAGGGGGCTTACATGGCACAGTGGCATCAAGGAGGTCAGTGTCTTCAGCTCTTCCATTCTCTGGGCATCTTACTGGCCTCTGGTGCACTAGGCAACATCTTGTAAAATATGTGATCAGGTTTTTCCTAACCTGGCCAGAGCCCCAGGTTGGCTACACTGGCCTCACCTTGGTTCTCTTAAGTGTGGAGCTCTGAGGCTTCTGCAACTCTGTCTCCAGCAGTCCAGTGTAGGTCAAGTTGCAGGTTTAGCACATACCACCTCACTGCAGGCTCCATCCAGGTAAACCTACCTGCTTCCCGAGCTTCCCAATCAGCTACCTTCTGAGTCTCCACTTGGGAAAGAGCACAGAGGAACAGAGAGAGGCCTGGAAAAGCAGACCGGATCACTTACTAAGGTTTACTTTGATGTGACTGTCCTAACCTGAGAAGCTGTTCTTTCCAGAATGCTGTAGACTCCTCTATTACCCAGCATATTTCAACACAATGAAGGATAGACTATTGCTACATTAAACAGCATAAATGAATCACACACTGTTTGATATATAAAATCTGAAAACAGGCAAAACTACTCTGGTGTTAGAAGTCAGGATAGGGGTTGTCTATTGGAGGGCTGGACAAGTTTCAGGGAAGCTTGTGGTGTTTACTGCCTTTGTCTATGTCGTAGTTAACATAGGTGGGTAACTTTGTGGTAATTCACTAGCTGTTCACTTAAGGTTTTTGTACTTTTTTTATATGATTGCTATGCTTCGATTTAAAAGAAGTGTGTGTGTGTGTGTTTGTGTACACTTTTTGTTGTTGTTAAGAATGAGAAAACCAGAGCATTGGTTTTTAAACTTGAATGAAATGAAAGGTGACCTGGATTGTAAAAATGCAGATTCCAGACTGCCAAGAAATTGTGATTTAGTAGGTCTAAGAATCTGTATTTTAAACCTTTGCCCCAGGTGATTCTGATGCTCCACACTAAAAAATGCTGATTTAGTATCTGTAGTTTGACAAACTATGCTGACTCTCTGGAAGAATGTTCAAGTATAAGAAGTTTGTCATATTGTCATTCAAGCTTGGGTTTATTGGGTCTTTTAATTGTTAGGAATAGTATTTCCTCACCAGCTTAATGTTTTTCAAATGTAATGACAATTGTTTAAAATGTTTATATTTTTCCTATAGTATAGTTTTATTGTATCCATTGAATTCTGCAGTTTAACAAAAATTTTATTCACTTCCTATTGCATTTTTTTTTTTAATCCTCACCCCGAGGACAATTTTGAATGTATCTTCAGGTAGAGCAGGAAAGAGAGAGGGAGGAAGAGAGAGAGAGAGACACATTGACTGGCTGCCACCCACGCAACCCCATGGGGATGGGGACAAACTGCAACCGAGGTACGTGCCCTTAGCGGAAACCGAACCCAGAACTCTCTGGTCTGCCAGGTCAACATTCTAACCACTGAGCCAAACCGGCCAGGGCCCTATTGCATTTTTAATTATTACAGAGTCACTTGGCTTTCCTGGGACGTACAGCTTTTTAGGTACAGATATTTAGTTCTAGATATATTCAGCATGTAATAATATAAAAGAACTTTGTAAAAAACCAACTGTCTTTATACCTGCAGAGGAGAGATCTTAAAATGGAAAGAAAAGATTTGAAACATGCAGAGAACAACATTGCCACATAAGGTTTGAAAAACTTGATAACAAAGAGTAAAATCAATAACTAGTGAAATCAGTCAGTATAAATGTCAGGATAATTTCTGTGGTCTATGCAGTTTTATTCCATTGTAAACATTTCTTGACAGCAAATCTTCAGTGTATTTTTGCATCAGTGGAAGGTCATATATATCTAAAATTCCATTACCAGATATGGTAGTTTTCTTTAATGTAATATATAAACAATATCTATCTTAAACAAAAAACAACCTTGAAACGCATATCACACGTTTTGTTACTAACACAAACTACTGAGTGTATATTTTTCAATCAATTCCAGATGTTTTAATATTTTTTCAGCATAGAGTCAACCCTATAGCAACCATCTGTCCTGGATGATTCAAATTCATCTCTGAAAGCATGAGAATGAATTTGTTAAGGCATTTAGGTTTTTTCTGGTTGACTCTATAACATTAAATGAAAATGATGCCTGATACAATTTATTCAGATGTGCACCACCACCACCATCTTCACCCCTCTCCACTGCCTCTCCTTCCCAGAGAATATGGAAAGGTGGTATTAGGTGTTGAATATAAGGACAGACCTGTTAAACTTAAAAAATAATGAAATAGTGAGTAGGGGATATTTATCTTGTTTAATCTACTAAAGGAATGGGCAGTGGCAGATTGGATTGTTGTTGTTTTTTAATGTTAGACTGCAGAACCTCAGCTTAATTTAAAAACTGTTCACATTGCCCTGGCTAGTTTGGCTCAGCGGTTAGAGCGTCGGCCTGCGGTCCGGAGAGACCCGGGTTCGGTTCCCGCTAAGGGCACGTACTTCGGTTGCAGTTTGTCCCCGGCCCTGGTTGGTCGTGCGGGTGGCAGCCACTCGATGTGTCCCTTCATGTCGATGTTTCTCTCTCTCCCTTCTTCTCTTTCCCTCCCACTCTATCTGTACAAAAAATGGAAAAATATCCTCGGGTGAAGATAAAAAAAAAAACAAAAAACTGTTCACATACTTTTTTCACTCTTTGCCCGACTTGAGCAGTAATAAGTCATTCAGAATAAGCAGCCTCTTCTTGGTATGTATGAATTCATAAATTTGTGAATATAGGTCTCTAATCAAAGGATCATAGTGTCAGTTGCCTCTTTGTAGGAATCTTAATTAATCTTCCTAGGAAAACAAGATTGCCTACAGGCAATCTTTATATATAATGCCAACAGTTGTTATTTGCCAATCATTAAAATGTTACTGTCATCCTCCAAAAGAGAACTCTTTTAAAAAGCTCACTGGCGCCCTGGCCGGTTTGGCTTAGCGGTTAGAGCATCAGCCTGCGGTCCCGAGAGACCCGGGTTCGGTTCCCGCTAAGGGCATGTACCTCGGTTGCAGTTTGTCCCCGGCCCTGGTCGGTCGCGCGGGTGGCAGCCACTCGATGTGTCCCTTTCACATTGATGTTTCTCTCTCTCTCTCTCTCTTCCCCTCTCTCTCTCTCACTCTACCTGAACAAAAAAATGTCCTCGGGTGAGGATAAAAAAAAAAAAAAAAAGCTCACTGGCAGCACTGACTTGTTTGGAGAGTATACTTTTATATGCATTTGTATGTGTATGTTTACATATACTTGCCTGTGTTTGTGCGATTGTATCAACACCCATCTGTAATACCTAAATAAGACTATAAAATACTTTTTAAAACCCTAAACCCCTTGGAATTCCCTGAGAACCTGCCACCTGAAGCCTTTTTACCACTTCCTGACAACTTCCAGTTAGCATGCCTATAATGACCTTTCCTTGAATGCTATTTTACTATACTTGGTTATATTTTCTTTATAAAAATAGTTCCTTGATTTCTTTCTCCAGGGTGTAAAAATTTTAGTCTATATTTTGTAAAGTTTCTTTTTAAAAAGTACACTACTCAGTTTTTATAATGGATAGTTACACAAAGTTTAATATAATCATATCTTTTACATATTGGACAAGAGTAATTTATTATAATTTATGAAAGAAATAGGCAATAAAATATTAATCTCTGTGAACGTAATAAAAAAAATGTGTGAAAATTACTTTAGAGCTGTTTTCATAGCTGTTGACCTACTGGTACAAGACTAAAACCGGCATTAGATGAGTGACAGAGAGCATTTCCATAAGTTGGTGTCCAGTAATAGTGCTTTTTAAGGCCATTGGAGACTTCAGCAAGATACACATGTCCATCCACCACAAATGGTTCCACGTCTGTATTGTCTGGTTTTAGACGGCCCATTTGAATTAAGCCTGCATATGCCTAAGATTTTTAAGGAAAAAAAACGAGTACCATTAAGAAAATAGTTTATTCATTTTACAAAGGTATTTTCCAGGTATTGTGATTAGGTTTTTATTCATTTAATTTCACACAATGAAATTAAAATTTTGTAAAACTTATTTCTAATATATTAGGCAATTTCTTTTATGACTTCCAGAGTTAACAATTCTTTGTATACAAATTTTGTGCACTGAAGGTGCCATGGTCAAAAATGTCAAGTCCCACAGAGGTTCTTTTTTTTATTTTTTTTTATCCTCACCCGAGGATATTTTTCCATTTTTTGTTCAGGTAGAGTGGGAGGGAGAGAGAGGAAAGAGAGAGAGAAACATCGATGTGAAAGGAACACATCGAGTGGCTGCCACCCACACGACCAACCAGGGCCAGGGACAAACTGCAACCGAGATACACGCCCTTAGCGGGAACCGAACCCAGGTCTCTCAGGACCGCAGGCCGACGCTCTAACCGCTGAACCAAACCGGCCAGGGCGCCACAGAGGTTCTTAAATGAGGGGGAAAGGGCTATTGTATATGCCCTTGAAGATCTAATGATAGCTAGGACCCCATTTCTCAGAAAAGTAAACCAGCAAGATCATAGAACTAACTATAGGGCGTTCATGAACCTGCTAAAGCTAATCAACAGATTTAGACTGAGAGAGATAATCCCCATAGTATTAGCTGCTGGCCTGGCTGGCTGCCTAATTATTTCTTCACTGTAGAAATTACTTTGTATATCTCTTATAGATCATCGGTATCTGTGTAAGGGTGTCATACAAACATGTTAAACTGATTTGTCAATAAATTTGCGATTATAGAGAACGGCAAAAAATTAGTAACACATTTAAGGCTAGTTGCTTTCTGCTTCAGCTTGTCATTAGTTCTAAACTCAACCTTGCTTCTAGTATGTGATCTTTATATTCATATGTAATATTTGATATCTTTTGCTATTTCAACCAAGAAACTTTCCAGTAGCTAACTTTTAGGACTTAATGTTAAAATTTATCAAAACTGTAGTGTCTCATTCTACTTTGTAAGCATTTGTAAACAATATAATTACAAATAATGTCTGATGTTATAGAGAAGACCCCAGAAAATACCTTCAGTAAAGAAAAAAACTTACCATACATGTAGCCTCATCAAATTTGTTTCCCCAAATATAGATGTTAGAGAGTATGGGATTTGTTTTCATTGATTGTGAAAGTGCAACAAGTCCTTCTCCCTCTATGCTGCAGCTGACTACTGACAACCTATGAAAAACAAAAAGTAATAACGCTGGAAATCAGTATTTCCACAAAAAGAGAATGCATAAGTTAACAACAGCATTTATTACAAACAGGTAAAGTCTTAGCATTATTCTTAAATGGGTTTAATGTGGTAGTTAAACCATTGGCCATGTAATTCCTAATATCCAGAAAGTTTTCTAATTATATGCTTCACGTACCTAGTAGAGTTACCTACATTTTGGAAATTGTTTTATATTATTCAGTAAATGTCTGAGGGTGGATTACAGTTATATTTTTTAAGATAAAGTCATCCAAGTAATATTTTCTTTGATTCATTCATTTTAGTTGATCATATTGAATGATTATGATTTCCCTGTTAGAATTCAGGATAAGCCCTGGCCGGTTTGGCTCAGCGGTTAGAGCGTCGGCCTGCGGTCCTGAGAGACCCGGGTTCGGTTCCCGCTAAGGGCGCGTACCTTGGTTGCAGTTTGTCCCCGGCCCTGGTCGGTCGTGCGGGTGGCAGCCACTCGATGTGTTCCTTTCGCATCGATGTTTCTCTCTCTCTCTGTTCCTCTCTCTCCCTCCCACTCTACCTGAACAAAAAATGGAAAAATGTCCTCGGGTGAGGATAAAAAAAAAAAAAAAAAAAAGAATTCAGGATAATATAAGCAGGAAGAATTTTATCAATTTTAAGCAATCATCACTAGAATCAAACAATCTAATTTTTAAGAGTACTTTTAAAAATAGAAAAAATTGAAATGTTTACTGCAAACCTAATATTATGTCAGTTTAGAAAATGAGTTTACATATTTCATCATCAATCTTTTTTTTTAATCCTCACCCGAGGACATTTTCCCATTTTTTTGTTCAGGTAGAGTGGGAGGGAGAGAGAGGAACAGAGAGAGAGAGAGAAACATCGATGTGAAAGGAACACATCGAGTGGCTGCCACCCGCACAACCAACCAGGGCCGGGGACAAACTGCAACCGAGGCACGCGCCCCCAGCGGGAACCGAACCTGGGTCTCTCAGGACTGCAGGCCGACGCTCTAACCGCTGAGCCAAACCGGCCAGGGCTCATCATCAATCTTAAGAGTTAAGTGGTTTGGCCCTGGCCAGTTTGGCTCAGCGGTTAGAGCGTCGGCCTGTGGTCCAGAGAGACCCGGGTTCAGTTCCCGCTAAGGGCACGTACCTCCATTGCAGTTTGTCCCCGGCCCTGGTTGGTTGTGCGGGTGGCAGACACTCGATGTGTCCCTTTCACGTCGATGTTTCTCTCTCTCTCTCTCTCTCTCTCTCTCTCTCTCTCTCTCTCTCTCCTTCCCACTCTATCTGAACAAAAAGTGGAAAAATGTCCTTGGGTGAGGATAAAAAAAAAAAGAGTTAAGTGGTTTGAAGTTACATTTAAGTTTTTCTCTTATTTTCATTAACTATAAAACCATACTAACGCTTTGAGACTCCTGTTGTGTGAAGTGAGAGTTTCACTGAGATTCTTTGCTCCTGCATTTTCCAGTCTATTAAAAGAAAGATCTATTACTTCCAGGGTAGTATTGCTTTTCAGTACAGCAGCCAAAAACACCATTCCATCATGAGTTATTTTATTGCTGGGAAAGGAAAAATATGTAGTTGTATGTGAAAATATGAAGTATAATTTTATTCATAGAGATAACATGCTTAAAAACTGTTATACAGTAATAAACAGTACTTTCTATATTAGTAAAGGTTTATTTTAATCATTCAATTTCCAAAAAAGTTAATGAAAATTTGCCATAAAATGTTGCTTTCGTTCTGGCTTACATAATTAAGTTGCTCACTCAAGTTATTAGGTGATTGATATCAGTATATAAACTAAATAAATTCTAAGGCTTAGGCCCTGGCCGGTTTGGCTCAGCGGTTGGAGCGTCGGCCTGCGGTACAGAGAGACCCGGGTTCGGTTTCCGCTAAGGGCACGTACCTCGGTTGCGGTTTGTCCCCGGCCCTGGTTGGTCGTGAGGGTGGCAGCCACTCGATGTGTCCCTTCACATCGATGTTTCTCTCTCTCTCTTCCTCTCTCTCCCTCCCGCTCTATCTGAACAAAAAAAAAAAAAAAAGGAAAAATGTCCTCGGGTGAGGATAAATAAATAAATAAATAAATAAATTCTAAGGCTTAGGATAAAAAGTTGACAACAGTGGTTATATTTTCTAATCTTTGGTATTAGTGTCGAACAAAATATCCTATTTACTATGAATAGTTACATAGATTATTCCCATGGCTTGACTTCTGAATTAATTAGTGTATAAAGGATCCCTACCAGCTGACATCAAGGTAGCGCAGGCTTCTGTTCAGATACAGTGCATCACATAAGTGTTTTAGACCACAGTTTTTCACATCATGCTTACTCATGTGTAGTTCAGCAAGCCAGTGATTTTCCTTTAACATGTGGCCTAGATGAACTGTGGACTCGTCCTAAAAAACAGATAAAATCGTTTTTCTAAAGTATAATTTTAAAGCAGAACATGTTTATTCTGAACATATGCTAAAAAGCCATTTTTGTCACAAATGATCATCTTCACTGTCTTTGCCACAAATGCTATCTTTACTATTTTAGAAACAGGCCGCAGGCACTTGTGAAATGCAATGACTAAATGATATAAAAGAGGCTAGTTAAAAAGTCCTAACAGCAAGTAAGAAAAGCAATCATTCCAAAAGGAAAAAAAAATCAAAACAACTGGTCCCATGATATATTGAGCATATCAGATCTCTTATTGCTGTCCTCTCGAGTCTCTAAACCATTCTTGACCCTCCATATGTTCCTAACCTATGTTCTTGATCTGCTAATAGCGGACAAAATGCACAGACATTTCCTAGTCTTGATTCTATTTTAAAAATACACTCATTTTAACTGATTGATATATCTGATTCCTCCCTTTTATAATCATCCCAACTGTTTAAATATGTTTTCCTCTTGTTTTCCTGTCACTGGAAGACTGCTCTCCCAGGCACAGGGGCCAGGCCACAAGTTTGTTTTGAGTTTGTCCTCCATTCCAGGCAGCATACAGAGCAATACTGGACTCCCTAAGTGATCATTGTGCATTAAAGACCACAGACTACAGCTTCCCCTTGGGTATATATTTTCATTGTCAAGGCAATAATCTGAACAAATCAGATACAGGATTATAGAATATTGAACATGTAATCAATGCTTGCAGTTTTCTATAGAACTTATTTTATGCACGTACTTTATTTACTTCTGAGTGGGAAGTATAATTTCACCTATTTTATAGAAAAGGAAACAGACTCAGATGAAATAATTTGCCCAGTCATATAGCTTGTAAAGGAAAAGCCAGTATATGCACGCTTTTATTATAAAGCTCATGTACTATGTGCTATTGCGATGTGACTTCATTTAATTTTTAAAGTTTTTCTTTTTTTTTTTTTATCCTCACCCGAGGATATTTTTCCATTTTTTGTACAGATAGAGTGGGAGGGAGAGAAAGGAAGGGAGAGAGAGAGAGAAACATCGATGTGAAGGGACACATCGAGTGGCTGCCACCCGCACGACCAACCAGGGCCGGGGACAAACTGCAACCAAAGTACGTGCCCTTAGCGGGAACCGAACCCGGGTCTCTCCGGACCGCAGGCTGACACTCTAACCGCTGAGCCAAACTGGCCAGGGCTTAAAGTTTTTCTTAAAGTACTTTTACATAATTAAAGCATATATAGTTGCCATATTTGTGATCAGCATTTCCAGTGACTAAATGCAAATGTATCACTTAGGGAGTCATTGCTCTGTATGCTGCCTGGAATGGAGGTCATACTCAAAACATACTTGTGGCCCGGCCGGTGTGGGTCAGTGGTTTAGCGTCAACCCATGCACCAACAGGTTACCAGTTTAATTCCTGGTCAGGGCACAAGCCTAGGATGTGGGCCAAATTCCCAGCCTGGGGCATGCAGGAGGCGGCCAATTGATCTTCTCTTTCATCGATGTTTCTCTCTCTCAAAAACAAACAAACAAACAAAAAAAACTGTGATTTACACCTTGATTACATTTTTAGGTCCAGAAGTTTGAAAGAGAGAACTAGTATCAGAAATAGTAAAGGGTTTTTTTTTTGCCCCATTCCCTGAGTTTGTGACTTAATTTACCTAAGGTGGTACCTGGCATTGATATTTTTCCAAGCTCCCCAGATAATGAACAGTAAAACCATTAAATGGGTAAGTGTGTATGTAGGCTCCCATTTTTGAACTGCAAAGCATGAAGAATCAGAAGCCATTTAAGAGGAAAATAACAGTGCTCAGTGACCGAGAGGGAGAGAGAGCAGAGTTTAGCTGACTTCCCAGAAGCTCCAGACTGAGAGCAAGTGCCTGGGCCTGAGAGAGCCCTGGGCCTTAAATTATTCTAGGGTGAATTTGGGAATAATGATGCCACTCAACATATTTAAAAGAGGGATTGTGCTTCCAATGTGATTTTTTTTTATTGTTTTTGTTACAGATGTTTCTTTTTCCCCCATTGACATCCTCCTCCCCAACCCTCCCCAACCCCATCCCCAGCTTTGTTGTCTATGTCCATTGGTCATGCATACATGCATATAAGTTCTGTGGTTTATCCACCCCCAACCCATCCTCCTCTGAGGTGTGTCAGTCTGTACCCCACCTCTATGTCTCTGGGTCAATTTTGTTGATCAGTTTTTAGTTCATTATATTCCACAAATAAGTAAGATCATGTGTTATTTGTCTTTCTCTGCTTGGCTTGTTTCGCTTAGCATAATACTCTTCAGGTCCTTCCATGTCATCAAAGGGTAAGAGATCTTTCTTACAGCTGCATAGTATTCCATTGTGTACATGTACCACAACTTTTTTTATCCACTCGTCTACTGATGGACACTTGGGTTGTTTCCAGATCTTAGCTATTGTAAATAGTGCTGCTATGAACATAGGGGTACATATATTCTTTCTGATTGGTGTTTCAGGCTTCTTAGGATATATTCCTAGAAGAGGGATCACTGGGTCAAATGGCAGTTCAATTTTTAACTTTTTTTTTTTTTTTTTATCCTCACCCGAGGACATTTTTCCATTTTTTGTTCAGGTAGAGTGGGAGGGAGAGAGAGGAACAGAGAGAGAGAGAGAAACATCGATGTGAAAGGAACACATCGAGTGGCTGCCACCTGCACTACCAACCAGGGCCGGGGACAAACTGCAACCGAAGTACGTGCCCTTAGCGGGAACCGAACCCGGGTCTCTCAGGACCGCAGGCCGACGCTCTAACCGCTGAGCCAAACCGGCCAGGGCTCAATTTTTAACTTTTTGAGGTAACACCATAGTGTTTTCCACAGTGGCTGCACCAGTCTGTATTCCCACCAGCAGTGTACTAGAGATTTCATATAATTTAACATGTTTATTTCCTTGGGGCTTTAATCCAGAAAATGTTTAGACTTCAGATCTGTCATGTCCTCAATCTGAGAACCTTCCCAGACACCTCTTGTCCCTCTGTATTGATTTTGATGTTCTTCCTCATGCTTCCAAGACACCCTGAGCATATCACAGCATATCCCTCTAAACTTGTTGATCTCATCCATGTAGACAGAAAGCTCCTTGAAGACAAGGGCTGTGTGTATATTTGAATTCTTATCTCTAGCACCCAGCGTTTTTTTTAGTTTAGGGTTGCATTCAAATATTTAGTAAATGAATCACGAGTGAAGCAGTTTGCCGAATGCTTACTTTGAGCCAGGTATTTCACTGGTCTTTAAAGAAGGGTGCTTGTACTTGAGAATTCTGGATGTCTTGTTGAACAGATTAGATTTATGTACATGAAGCAATTAACATGTAAAATTCCAAAAACTTTGATAAAATGCAGAAATAATTCAAAGGGAGAGATCTATGTAGGCAAAGAATGCAAAACACTTATGAATATGAAAAATACTTAAAAAATATGGTTAATTCACAATGACTCATACTGATAAAGAACAGGGAAGTAGATAATTTAGAGACTATATGAATTACTTTTTAGTAGCTGTTCTGTTTTGTTTAGGTCAATAATAAAACGAGTTCTTATTCACTAGCTTTTCACAACTGGTAAGAGAGGAAAACCACCTAAAAGAATGTTGAAGAGCAGGAAGCCTTGAAAGTAGGAACCACATTTCTTTTCATCTTTCTGTCTCCAGCATGCAGTTTACCTGAAGGGTTAAGGCCAGACTCCAGACTGCTGTTCACATACATTTTGCCATTACTCACAATTTCAAAGATGTAATGGTTCAGTCACAGCAATGTAATGAACAAAAACAAACAGTTCACACCGGATGTATAATCCAGCCTTTGAAACTTTAATCTTTTATTCTTTCATTGTAACTACTTTGCCCCTCACAGATTTACTTACTGAGAAAAAAAAAAAATGATGTGTCTGCTGCTTAAATAAGCAACATCTAAAACATATCTAGTTTTAAAACTCTTATCAAGAATTGATAATTTTCCTTTAAAAGTTTTTTTTGTAAACAGTTTACTATTCTAAAAATACAATGCATTCATGAACCCTGACGTAACATTCAGTAAGTAGTACCTTCGTTTTATTTACATATGGTAATACTAACTACTGTCACTTTGAATACATACCTGTTCTCCGTACAGTATAGGTCGGTTTAGGGTTATTCCTTTAATTGTTTGGTTTTGAGTTAGGACTGTAGCAAATGCTATCACACTTTGCATTCCCTAAAAACAGGTAAATTCATTAAGGAAACAGATAAAGTGTATAAATTAACCTCCTTATAAATAAATATTTCAAGATTATTTAAAACCTGGAATCTGATAAAAGGGTTTTACAAAGTTTAAGCATTTCTTGCTCCTTGAATTTTAGGTTGATCAAATTCAGAAGTGAATTGTTATGCTCTTTTCTCCCTGCCCTAACATGTATTGATAACATACATGGGGAGTTTCAGTATCCCTTTCCTTAGGTTTGCTCCTAAGCCTTCAATTTCTGTGTGATACAGACCTCAGCTACACAGACACAGGTGAATCCCAGCTAGGGCTCTGCACTACTCAGAACACACATCCCGTGACAGCATTCTTTCATATTCCTTCTCATACTTCAGTGTGTGTGGCAGGAAAGGGTTACTGATCCGATTTTCACCGCTCCCACAGGCCTCCCTCTCTACCTTCCTGGATGGGCCTATTCCTCCCGTCTCAGTGCCGGACACACTGCCACGCACACCCGCCTGCTATGCCATAAAACCCGTGCCTCCTCTCACTGCCAGTCCTCCCCTCCCCTCCAGTTGATCAGTAAGTCTCACAGATTCTGTCTCTAAAGTATGTCTCACATGAGTCCATCTCTGGCCACCACCCTACCCCCAGGCCCCATCGCCCACATGGACGATTGCAGTAACTTCCTAAGGGGTCAGTGGGCTTCCTCTTGCCACCTTCTAATTCCTCACAGACAAACCAGAATTAGCACTTTGGAAAGTGCTAATCAGATCATGTCACCCCTCAAGGCCTTTCCATGATTTGCATTTATGATAGAACCCTCTCCCCCCATGACCCACACCCACAACCCACACGAGCTTTGTTGAAACTGGCCTCTGTGAACCTCCCCCCTCCTGTGAGATGCTCTCTTAACTCCTCTGTCCAGCCACTGGCATTTCCGTTCCTAAAGCCTGCCAGACTTGCTATTTCATTATTCAGGTACCTCCCTCATGATTCTGCCATATCTGAACATCAGTTTTACTTCTGTGTTTTTTTAAGATTACTTGATTTTATTAGAAAGAGAGGAAGGGAGAAGGAGAGAGAAACACCAATGAGAGAGCACATCAATCGGCTGCCTCCTGCACACCCCCTACCAGGGATTGAGCCCACAACCCAGATATGTGCCCTGACTAGGAATTGAACCAGCAACCTTTTGGTGCATGTTCAGCCAACTGAGCCACACTAGGCCAGGGCTACTTTTTTTTTTTTTTAACTCCTCACCCAAGGACATGCTTAGAGAGAGGAAGCAGGTGCGGGGAGAGAAACATCGATGTGAAAGAGAAACATCAGTCAGTTGCCTTCTATACGTGCCTCAAACAGGAACTAAACCCGAAACCCAGGCATGTGCTTTGACCAGAAATAGAACCAGTGATCTTTGGGTGCACAGGATGACGCTCAACCAACTGAACCATCTGGCCAGGAAGTTTTACTATTTACCTAATATTTTTTCATTAAATCAACTCACTTTTTCACTTCATTTTAAAACTCTCTATCACTACCATAAATGGGAAACCAGTCCCTTGAAATAAACAGAAAGCATATACAAAATATGTACGAGTATTAAAATCACCTCAGTCTGTATCAGTAATGCTACCTCTGCCACACTTGGAGAAGAAGCGCTATCAAAGTCTATGTACTGGATCCCTTGCCTGGGTCCTGCCGTGGACCCTCCCCAAGGTAGTTTTTTCTCATCCTTCATGACTCCTAAATATTACTTCTTCAGGCCCTGGCCAGTCTGGTTCAGCAGTTAAAGCATCGGCCTGCAGACACAAGGGTCTCAGGTTTGATTCCCCGGCAAGGGCATGTACCTGGGTTACAGATTCAATCCCCAGGCCCCGGGTAGGGTCATGTGGGAGGCAGCCAATCAGTGTGTACTCTCTCACATGGATTTTCTCCCTCCCTCCCTTCCATTCTGTTTTAAAAAAATCAATGGAAAAATAATCCTCAGGTGAGGATTAAAAACAACAAAAAATTACTTGCTCAGGTCTTAGGCAATAGTCTTAGGCAACCATCCTATCATGCGAATTACCTCCTCCCCATTATCAAGAGTACTTGGCCATATTCATAGCACTATTCTCTGTGTGTTTGATCTTTTCCCAACAAAATACAGGCTTTATGAGGGCAGAGACCATATTCGATGCACTCTTGTAACCTCAGAATCTAGGGCTGCGACTGGTGTGTGTATATAATATATATTGAATTAATGCTTTCCCAGAGCCATACTGGTCGCATCACTACTTTTTAAAGCTCCAGAACTTATCTCAAAGAGACTCCTGGCCCATCTTATTGTTTTCATGTCCCAGTGATTTTCATTAATCTGTAATGTTCCCAACATTAGGCCTCAATGTTTGAAAGCATGTTGAGAAAATGAAGCCTGGAATTTGAAGACATGAAAAAACACACGCTTCTCATTTCAGGCCAACTGAAGGCCCAGAGCAGCTTTTAGCATCATTTTAGGTTGTTATGCTACAATATAACTACTCCAAAATGTTTTCAAAAGTAAAAAGTTTATATTACACTAATAAAGTAGTGTTTAATTAAAATGAACATAATCTTTTTCTTTTAAAGTCCCATACAGGTTAAGAAGGGTTATGGATTAAAGTTTAGGAAGATTTTTATTACACTGGGAATTCTCCTATAATGTTATTTACTACAATCGGATTTTATTAAGTAAGCACTCTTATACCTAGGTTAAAGAAAAAAAAAGCCCAGCCAGTGTGGCTTAGTGGATTGAGCATCATCCCATGGACTGAGAAGTCCTGGTTTGATTCCCAGTCAGGACACATGCCTGGGTTGTGGGCTCGATCCCCAGAAGGGGTTGTGCAGGAGGCAGCTGATTGATACATCTCTCTCACATCAATGTTTCTCTCTCTCTCTCCCCCTTCCTCTCTCTCTAAAAAAAAAAAAATCAATAAAAAATAAAAATAGCCCTGGCCAGTTTGGCTCAGCGGTTAGAGTGTCGGCCTGCGGTCCGGAGAGACCCGGGTTCGGTTCCCGCTAAGGGCACGTACTTCGGTTGCAGTTTGTCCCCGGCCCTGGTTGGTCGTGCGGGTGGCAGCCACTCGATGTGTCCCTTTCACATCGATGTTTCCCTCTCTCTCTCTCTTCCTCTCTCTCCCTCCCACTCTATCTGTACAAAAAATGGAAAAATATCCTCGGGTGAGGATAAAAATAAATAAATAAATAAATAAATAAATAAATAAATAAATAAATAAATAAATAAATAAAATAAAAATAAAAAGCTTTTTCTCTATTAGACATTAGGAGCAAGCCTAATCATTCATAATGCTGTCATTTAGCTGGTCTCTATTTCCAGGGGAAATGATCCATTATCTGGGTGATTTTCTCATAACCAATTTACTCACCAGATCACAATCACCCAGATCTAACTTCTCTAAGGTTGAATTAATTTGTAGCATTGCAGCAAAAAACATTCCACCTTTATTTTCAATCTTGTTTCCAGTCATTCTTAGGTATTTCAGAGTTGTATCCTTCTGAAAAAGAAAATAGGCAAGCCTTGACTAAGTTTCTAATCCACAGAATTCTCTTCAGATTATATGAGTGAGGTGAGTATATTACTATTTGCAAACTCATCCATTTTTCATGGAGAGAGAATAGGATATAGTTCTTATAGGTAACATTCAATTTCCCCATAATAGATAAAAATCTAGTTTAATGGTTCAGTAGAAAGAATGCCCAGGAAACAGATGCCAAACGATAACCACTAAATGAAATACACTTTTTTGTTGTTGTTAATCCTCACCCAAGGATATTTTTCCACTGACTCTTAGAGAGAGAGGTAGAGGAAGAAAGGGAGAGAGACAGACAGACAGACAGACAGACAGACATCGATGTGAGAGAGACACATCAATTGGTTACCTCCCGCACAACCCAACCAGGGCCAGATATCAAACCCACAATCCAGGCACATGCCCCTCACTGGGAATTGAACCCGCAACCTTCGTCCACAGGCCAACGCTCCAACCACTTAGCCAAACAGCCAGGGCAAATGAAGCAGACTTTTAATAAACTTTTCTTTCACTGGAAAATCTATGAATTTATTTTCTAAGAAAATATCACTTTTTTGCCCTGGCCGGTTTGGCTCAGCGGTTAGAGCGTCGGCCTGCGGTACAGAGAAAATATCACTTTTTTGTTTTGTTTTGTTTTGTTTTTATCCTCACCCGAGGACAGTTTTCCATTTTTTGTTCAGATAGAGTGGAAGGAAGAGAGAGAGAAACATTAATGTGAAAGGGACACATCGAGTGTCTGCCACCTGCATGACCAACCAAGGCCGGGGACAAACTGCAACTGAGGGATGTGCCCTTTGCGGGAACCGAACCCGGGCCTCTCTGGACTGCAGGCTGATGCTCTAACCGCTGAGCCAAACCGGCCAGGGCTATATCACTTTTTTTTATTGAGGTGGAATTCACATAACACAGAATTAGCTATTTAAAAATATACAATTAGCCCTGGCCGGTTTGGCTCAGTGGTTAGAATGTTGGCCTACAGACCAAAGAGTCGTGGGTTCCATTGTCGGGCTTGTGCAGAAGGCAACCAATTGATGTATCTCTCTCACATTGATGTTTCTCTCCACCCCCACACTCTATCTGAAGATAAGTGGAAAAATATCCTCACATAAGGATTAAAAAAAAAAGTGTACAGTTCACTAACTTTTAGTATATTCACAATATTGTGCAGCCTTCACCTCTAGCCAGTTCAAAACATTTTTGTCACCACAAAGGAGACCCTGTGCCTATTAAGCAATCACTTCACTTTTAAAGATAGAGTTCTCAGACCTTTGCAAAGTTTAATTCCTTCTCTCACTCCACTTTTTGGATAAATCTTTCACAAAGAAAATTACAGATATTTCATTTTCCTAATGAATAAATATTAGGACATGTAAATGCAAATAATTATCTTTAAAACTTACCACCTCGCCCTGGCCGGTTTGGTTCAGCGGTTAGAGCGTCGGCCTGCGGTCCTGAGAGACCCGGGTTCGGTTCCCGTAAGGGCGCGTACCTCGGTTGCAGTTTGTCCCCGGCCCTGGTCGGTTGTGCGGGTGGCAGCCACTCGATGTGTTCCTTTCACATCGATGTTTCTCTCTCTCTCTGTTCCTCTCTCTCCCTCCCACTCTACCTGAACAAAAAATGGAAAAATGTCCTCAGGTGAGGATAAAAAAAACAAAAACAAAAAAAACTTACCACCTCTAATTAACATTGTACTGAAGGTTCTAAACAGGGCTATTAGGCAAGAAAAAAAAAACACAAAAAAGGCATCCAATGTGCTGTTGTTTGCATATGACAAGATCTTATATGTAGAAAACCATAAGATATCCACACACAAAGGAAAAATCTGTTAGAACTAGTAAACAAGTTCAGCAAGAATGCAGGACACAAATCATTATATAAAAATCAATTTTGCCCTGGCTGGTATGGCTCAGCAGTTAGAGTGTTGCCCGTGGACCAAAGAGTCCTGGGTTCAATTCCGGCCAAGGAAACGTACCTTGGTAGCGGTTCACCCTGGCCCCGGCTGGGGTTGTGCAGGTGGCAACCAATCGATGTGTCTCTTTCATGTTGATGTTTCTCTCTCTCTCTCTTTCTCCCTTTCTCCCTTCCACTCTATATGAAGATTAATGTAAAAATATCCTCGGGTGAGGATTAAGAAAAAAAATCAATTGTATTTCTATACATGAGCAATGAACAATCCAAAAATGAAATTAAGAAAATTCCATTTACAATAACATCAAAAAGAATAAAACATTAGGAATAAATTGAACAAAAGATGGGCAAGACTTGCACACTGGAAACTACAAAGCATCACTGAAATAAATTAAAGACCTAAATAAATGGAAACATCCCATATTCATGGGTCAGAAGACTTAATATTGTTAAGATGGCAATACTCCACATTGATCTAAAGATTTAAAGCAATTCTTCTCAAAATCCCAGCTACTTTTCTTGCAGAAATTGATAAACTAATTTTAAAATTCATATGGAAATGCAAAGGACCCAGAAGAGCCAACATGTCTTGAAAAAAGAACAAAGCACTCATACTTCTTAAAAAACTTACTACAATACTACACTAGCCATGATAGTGTGGGGTTGGCACACTTAACTTACTACAATACTACAAAATGGGATATACCCATACAATGGGATATTATTTGCCAATAAAAAGGATGAACCTGGAAAACATTGAGCCTTTCACAAAAGGCCACATATTGTATGATTTCATTGATATGAAATGTCCAGAACAGGCGATCTACAGATGGAAAGTAGATTAGTGTCTGGTCAGTGGGGGAGAAACATGGGAGGGATTGCTAGTGGGCACAGGACTCCTTTTGGGGACGGCAATGTTCCGAAAGCAGTGACAGTGCTGATGGTTGCACAACTCTGTGACTATACTGAAAAAACACTGAACTGAACACTTTAAAAGGGTAAATTTCATGTAAATAGAAAATATGTATTATATTTTAAGCTTTTCTTTGTTGTTAATTCTCACCCAATGATATTTCCCCTTTGACTTTTAGATAAAGTGGAAGGGAGGGAAGGCGAGAGAGAAAGACCTCCCCCCCCCAACACACACACACAAATTGGTTGCCTCCCACTTGATCCTGATTGGGGCTGGGGATAGAACTTGCAACCCAGGTTCATGCCCTTGCCTGGGAATCGAACCCGTGAACCTTTGGTCCTCAGGCTGATGATCTAACCGCTGAGCCAAACTGACCTGGGCTAAGCTATGTATTTTTTTAAATGAGTTCAAAAGTGCTCATAAAATGTTTACATTTTAATAAACTGAAGTGTAATAAAAATATACATTCCCACAATATTAAAATAATGTTAAGTTCACATTAACATTTGATTCTGTTGGTTCCAAAATATCATAAGCTAAAATTCCCAAAAAGAATGTTAGTTTGAGGTTTATAAATACTTACATGTAGCGCTTTAGCAATCAGTTCTCCACCTTTGGGCCCAATATCATTAAACATAAGGTTTATGTAAATGAGATTGTATTGTTTCTACAATAAGAAGAGAAAAGATTCTAATGTATCATTAGAAATCAATCAATAATATATGAGCTATTTTATTTAACTCAAAGTGTTTACCTCCAAAGAAAATCTTTATAAACCAGAAAACTTGAAAACCTGAAAGTCTAGCAAAAGAAACTACGATTAAGGGGGGGAAAAATCATTATTCTCATTTAAACATAAATATAATTGCAATATAAATGAAAGAAAAGGACGATCTTCAGTTTTGACCAATGATTCAAAGTATGAATGTGCTATACGTATTTAACTGTAGTGCACACGTTTGTAAAACATGACTCAGCAACTGTAGTTACCACCTCTGCTGAGCCCAAATGCACAAATGGGTTTTCAATATATTTCAAGTGTTGTAAATATATCATAGTCAGGACCTGACATTTTGCAAAACTAGTGTTTTGTGCACGTGCCATTAGACTTAGTGGTTTCACTTTGAACAGAACTAATAACATTTTGAAGATTTTACAGCATTTTTATTTGTGATTGCTAAGAAAAACAAACGTGGTCTCTTCATTTTTTTAATCTTCACCTCCACCCTTACATTGTGTACCATTTCATGGATATGAGAATTTTAAGATCATTTAAAACTCATTAAAAGCACTTTTAGAAGATGAGGTTGGGACAAGTAGTTACAAAATTAAAAAGCCTGCCCTGGCCGGTTTGACTCAGCGGTTAGAGCATCGGCCTGCGGTCCGAAGAGACCCGGGTTCGGTTCCCGCTAAGGGCACGTACTTCGGTTGCAGTTTGTCCCCGGCCCTGGTTGGTCGTGCGGGTGGAAGCCACTCGATGTGTCCCTTTCACGTCGATGTTTCCCTCTCTCTCTCTCTCCCTCTCTCTCCCTCCCACTCTATCTGTACAAAAATTGGAAAAATGTCCTCAGGTGAGGATAAAAAAAAAAAAAATTAAAAAGCCAATGTAAGGGAGGAATAAAAAAGAATGGTATATGCTGCTTTAAACATTTTAACTGACAATACAAACACATTTGCTGATCTTCTCAGGCTGACACAAGGCATTTGTTTTAAGTACACCTTCTCTGATTAGTGGACCACGATATCTTTCTTAAATAAAATGCAACCACAATGCAGCATTTCAGTTTGGGTGTCTCCAAAGTGAATCTGCAATAAAGGGTTAACTTAGCATGCTTAACATGCTCAAACCCTGCGTATTCCAAAGAAAGGACTAGTTCTTAACTGACCCCTGGAAGAAGATGGAAAAACAAACAAACCATAAAACATATTGTAGTAAAATAATACCTGAAGCAGTTTTGCAGCATGGTATGCACCAACGTCACTAATGAGGTTGTATCTAACATCCAAACCTGAGAACAGATGAATAGAAGCTGATTTCCTTATAGTGAATACTTAAAAATCAGGGAAATAAAAGCAGGAGTAATGGATTCTTAAAGAGACATACCATTAATATATGGATTCTTCTCTAAAGTTTTGGAAAGAATAAAAAAATCGTCGCCTGTTACTCTTTCCACTGGCATTGAGGGATTATTACCAGCAATGTTTAATGTTATTCCTTTCAATCTGTTGAAATACAACTAAGAAACTCAGTAAAAAAATGAAAGCATATTTTTTTTCATTTGTAAATAGTAACATCATGGATAGCACTTATTGGAACCAAATATGTACCACAATATAGATTTACACCAAGTAACTTAAAACTACTAAATATTCCACAGATTTTGCTAAGCACTTTAATATATGCTTTACAATCTGATTTCTCTCTCTCTCTCTCTCTCTCGTTCTCTCTCTCTCGTTCTCTCTCTCTCTCTCTCGTTCTCTCTCTCTCTCTCATACACACACACACACACACACACACATACACACAAGTATCCCCACTTGATAGAGAATGGCATGGAAGACTTCAATGATTTGAATAAATGAACCCAGCTCACAGGAGTCAAGGACAAATCTGGAGCCCGGACTTGGAGACTGCTGGTCTAGTGCTCTTCCCAGTACATTCCACTACCTCCAAGACCTACTAACAGTGTCAGTAGATTACTTCTCTGAATCTAAAGGTATGTCCTTTTATCAAGCATTTGCAAGTGGCTTTGAAATCACTCAGTATTCCAGGATTTTCACACAGATAAATATCAGGGAATATTATTGATATAATCAAGTATTTGTCTTCTTACCCCTTTTCAATTTCTTTATCCACTCCTTTGAGTATATGCAATATAAAAGAATTAACTTTCTGGGACTTTTCGATACATAGATGAGTATAATATTCCTGCAGACTTTCAATAGGTTCTGGAGCTTTTGAGAAATAAATGCATTATCATTACCCTTCATCACATATAAATTATCCCAGGCCCCTCACCCCCAATTACACTTCTTTCAAAGATATAAACGTATATAGAGTTGGGTGGGGAAGAAAAGGAGGCAGAATTAAGAAGAGAAAAAGGAGAGAATAGAAGTAAGGAACTGGAGAGAATAAAAATGCTCTTTGGAGAACTAGGGCCGTAGAAGCACTCTCTGAGGGTGGGCAGACACGAACTTGGAAGGGACATAAAAGGAGAACTAACCTCCATATATAACAGGCCTGGTAGTTGAGGAAAATCACGTCAGAGAAATTAAATATTTTGTCCAAACTCATGCAGTTAATAAGGGCAGAGTACTGAATCAAACTGACTCCAAAGCTTCATTCCACCCTGCCGCATTGGGTTAAGGTAACTCATAAAGACAGTTTTATCTGAGAATCTAAATTCAAAAGCGATCTGAAAAATCACCAAGTTCCTTATGTTTCTTGGATCCCCTCGGCACCACTCAAGTTGATGACATCTTTGAACACAGCTCTATTGGTTCTTCCTAACACTTCAGCCAGGCTCACGGAAGCTCCTCACCTACCCTGCCGCCCAGTTCCTCTTTCTAAAGGTGATTTCCCCCTGTTCAGTCTTTATTAAAGAAGACAGAAACAAAGCGGCAGTTGAGATCTTCCTCTGCTACACCTGCAGCTTTCCTTTATGGTCTTATTGTTTGGGGTATTACTTTAAAAGCATCTTTTTTCAAGGCCCAGGTCTTCTCCCTACCACTGTCTTTGTTTTCTGTCCTACTTTTTGTGTAAAATCTCTTTTAAAAGTCTGTGCTCGGTCGCCTCACTGCTTTGCCAGGCTGGTGTCTTTAAGAGCCTGCTTCTCTAAGTCTCTACATCTCAAAGACGTCCTCTGCCGAGTGGATTCTGCACTGTGGGAACTAAAGCGTTTGCTAAACAAATTTGCAAAACAAGATCTAAGATAAGGAACATTTATAGTAAAAATAAACTTTTCTTATAAAATAAGCTTTAAAAATAAATTAATAACCTACACTTATTCCAGACAACTTGGAAATTTCAATATCAAAACGGAACAGAGTTCTGGTAAAGATGGCAGGGCAGGTAAACTCAGCTCTCGCTTTCTGCCATGGCCACAGTCAAAATTACAACTAAACTACAGAACAGCCATCACGGAGATCCACCTGAGATTGGCTGTAACTAAGGATATACAGAATAAGTCATGTCAAGACTGGTAGGAGGGGCAGAGACACAAACTGGCAGGGCCCACAGCCACATGCGGTTGTGGTTAAAAGTTGAGCAGGCCACCTCAGCTGTGGTGGTCCCCTGTGAGGAGCCAGGGGTCCCAGCTCCACACCAAGATCCCCAGCCCAGGGTTCAAGTGCCAGAAAGAGAAGTCCCTGTAACTTCTGGCTGTGGAAACCAGCAGATTGTGGCTGGGCTGCTGGAGTTCCCAGCATTCCTCTGAAAAAACCCATGCATAGACTTGCTAGCTGACGGACTCACTTGTTCGGCTCTAAAGGTGCAGAGACATATAGGAGGAACTGAATTGTCTGACATCATGGAGGAGCAGCTTTCTCCCTGACAGAAGTGCTGGCAGAGGCCATTGTTCCTATGCTGAACCCTCCCCCTGAAGGCTCAGGTGGATGCCACAGCTGAGTCTCCATCAACCTGGCTATTCCCCACTCTGGTGATTCCCTTAGACCTGCTCCACCAACTTTTGGGCCCACCCAAGCCACTTCCAATGACATTTCCATACAAACAGCCTGTCTTAGCTCTTGCTTCAGACTTTCCTAAAATCTCTCAAAGGTCCACAAACCCCAAACAAGCAGCATCTGGCTTTAGCGTGCACTACCTCTTGATAAGTAGACCCAAGCCCAGCACTGGAGAAGCCAGACTTAGTTTGCAACTTGGACCCTCCCAATCACCTCTAAGCCCAGCAAAAGTAGCAACTATCTGCATTATCACTTTGTAGCTTCACACGGGCAGGGCATGGGCTGACCTTGGCCTACATCTCCAGGGAGACCCCAGAGTCAGCTTCAGATCACATCAGAGCACTACCCAACCACCTCCATAAGCCACACACTCAAGAGGTGGACTCAGCGGACACCAGAGCCCACTGGTGAGTCTGGGTCCATGGGACTGGCCCCTGCACAGCAGTTCCTGCTGTAGTTGCAGCCTATCCTCAAAGCCATTAACATGCCAACTGCAGTCAAGGCTCAACTACAATAGGAGGGTACACACAGCGCACACAGGGGGCATACCTGAAGCACCTTGCTCAGATGGCTGGGAAGGCTGCACTGGGCCTCACAGGACACTTATTCCAAACAACTTGGAAAGGCCACTCTGCCAAGATCGGGAGATGTAGCAGTTCTGCCTACTAGAACCAAATACAGGGAGACAGCCAAAATGAGGAGACAAAGAAACATGTCCCAAATGAAAGAACAGGACAAAGCTTCAGAAAAGAACTAAACAAAATGGAGACAAGCAACCTACTAGATACAGAGTTCAAAACACTGGTCATAAGGATGCTCAATGAACTTAGGAGAAGAACAGATCAACCCAATGAGAACTTCAAAAAAGAGAAAGGAAACATAAAAATGAAGATTGAAAACATAAAAAAAGTACCAGTCAGAAATAAAGAATACAATAACTGAAATAAAGGATCCATTACTAGCCCTGGCCAGTCTTGCTCAGTGGTTAGAGCACTGGCCCGTGGACTGAGGGGTCTCAGGTTTGATTCCCAGTCAAGGGCACGTACCTGGGTTGCAGATTCAAGCCCTGGCCCTGGTCCGGGAGGCAGCCAATCGTTCTCTCTCTCTCTCATATCAATGTCTCTCTCTCTCTCTCTCTCTCTCTCTCTTTCTCTCTCCCCCTCCCACCCATCCACTCTATCTAAAAATCAGTAGAAAAATATCCTCAAGTGAGATTAACAAAAGTAAAAAATAAAAATAAGTAAATTAACAAACAAAACAGAAACAGAATAATAGAAGATACAGAGAACATTCTGACAGCTGCCAGAGGGAAGGGAGTGTGGGGGGGTGCTGGGTGAAAAAGGGAAAAGGTGAAGGGATTACAAATAACAAATTGGTAGTATAGCATAGGAAATATAGTCAGTAACATTGTAATAACTATGTACGGTGGCGCCAGGTGGGTACTGGAAATATTGAGGTGGTCACTTTGTAAGCTATATAAATATCTGATCACTGGGTTGTACATCTGAAATTAATATAATATTGTATGTCAACTGTAATTAAAAATAAAAATTATGGCCCTGGCCGGTTTGGCTCAGCGGTTAGAGCGTTGGCCTGCGGTCTGGAGAGACTCGGGTTCGGTTCCCGCTAAGGGCACGTACCTCAGCTGCATTTTGTCCCCAGCCCTGGTTGGGTCGTGTGGTTGGCAACCATTCAATCTGTCCCTTTTGCTTCAATGTTTCTCTCTCTCGCTCTCTCCCTCCCACTCTATCTGAACAAAATATCTAAAAATGTCCTCGGGTGAGGATAATAAATAAATACATAAATAAAAAGTATGCCCTGGCCAGTTTGGCTCAGCGGTTAGAGCATTGGCCTGCGGTCCAGAGAGACCTGGGTTCGGTTCCTGCTAAGGGCACGGTTGCAGTTTGTCCCCGGCCCTGGTTGGGTCGTGCGTGCAGGAGACAGCCACTCGATGTGTCCTTTGCACGTTGATGTTTCTTTCTCTCTCTCTCTTCCTCTCTCTCCTTTCCACTCTATCTGAAAAGTGGAAAAATGTCCTTGGGTGAGGATAAAAAAAGAAATAAACACTCATCAGCAATTCCACTGCCAAAGAGAACCACCACTGTTGAGGTCTGGAGCTATTTCCTCTCTGTTGTTTTTTTTTTATATGTATTTTTAAAGAAAACTGGAATATTTCAGTCTAGTTCCATATCCTTTTTGTTTTCAGTTAACATATTGTAAGCAGTTTCCCTAGTCATTAGATATTCTTTGAACATGTTTAACATCAGCATAATTTGTCTTGTGGGTGGATGTACATATGAAATCCTTCACTTATTTCAGGAATCTTCGTGCATTTAAATAATATTTTAGGCCCTGGCCAGTTTGGCTCAGTGGTTAGAGTGTCAGCCTGCGGTCCAGAGAGACACAGGTTCAGTTCCCGCTAAGGGCATGTACCTCAGTTGCAGTTTATCCCCAGCCCTGGCTGGGTCGTGCAGGAGGCAGCCACACTCGATGTGTCCCTTTCACGTCGATGTTTCTCTCTCTTCCTCTCTTTCCCTCCCATTCTATCTGAACAAAAAAATGAAAAAAAAAAAAAAATGTCCTTGGGTGAGGATAAAAAAATATATATATATATATAATAATATTTTAGCACAATATTTCCCAAATTATGTTCTGCAGAATACTAACATTCTACAAGATGATCCAAGGTATTCTAATTATAGTGGGTCTTATGGTCAAATAAGTTTCAGAAGTGCTGAATTAGACAAAGCTAAACAGAGCTAACCTACAACACTCCTCAGGACATTTAAAACACTCAGGTGCACAAAGACTCTTCAAATTGTTGAGCCTGGAAGGGAGGGTTGAAATGATCCATTTCCCAGACACCCACATGTGACCATGATTCACATGCAATCTAGACAATGTTACTTCAAGTCCTGGACAGGATACAAAGCAAGTAGATATCAAACAGATGTACTTGTTAGATCTGGGCTCCTGCTGGGCTTCTTTCCTACCTCCTGGCTCCTACTTCCTTGGTATTAAAATTTGGAGAGGATTGCCCTGAGGATCTGAGGTTCAGTGCCTGCCCTCAGCCTGCTGCACCACATCCAGGACATGAAGAAAAGTGTCAGACTTACAACTTACATTTTTGTAGATGAAGGAATCTTATATTACATATTTATTTAATTACCTGGCCATGAATTTAAAGTATTTAAACGTCTCTGTTATATATTTCTGTTACTTTCTTTTTTTTTTAAATTCACCTATGCAGTGTGTGTCAGGATTTTATGGCACCAATAATTTATGCCCTATACTGTAGAAGAAAAGTAATAAAGCAGTCTTCAAATTGTCAAGCAAAATCTAAGAATAACCAACAATGCGGGAAAATGTCAAGAATCTAACCCAAATTTCACTTTTCATCTATGCCTAAGCTTTGAATTCCAAATAATTTTCACTTAGCAGCACGTTTTAAAATATCTAACGAGAGAAAGTGGAGGTGGTTCTTATGCCCTCCTATACTGGAACAGCCAAGTACTGGGAAATCCAAGGGTCAAGAGCAGTCTTGGGTGCCTATCCAAAATGGGCTGTGTGAGTTTGAACAAGTTACTTAAATTCTCCGAGCTTCAATTTCCTTTTGATGATAAAGTCGGAGCATAATAATGCCCATCTCGCTTAAGGCTTCTAGCACAGTTCAATAATAAACCGAGAGGGGAGAGGGGGCGTGCTTACTCCGCTAGAGGCCATTCATGGCGCATCAATACTCCAAACGTTACAGGTGCAACGTGACGGGGCCCGCTCTCAGGGCTGCCACTAGAAGGGGCTCGAGAAGAGCACCGTCACTCTTGCCGGACACCGGGGACCGTAAAAGCAAAGCGACAGACCGACAGACACGCCTTCCTTCAGGATACCCTGTCGCGAAGAGCAGACCCCCCGCGGGGACTCGGGGCTCCCCTCTGCCCGCGTTGCGGCGCCCCAGAGCTCCCACCACAGCTGGGGCCCCCGGGGCGCTCTCGACCCCGCCGCCTCGGGTCGCAGCCCGCTAGGAGTCATCGGCAGGTGCGACCCCGCAGCTCGGGCTCCCGCGCCCTGTGCGTTTCGGGCGAATGACACCGTATTTCTTACCACTACCGGAGGCCGGGGCCCAGGCCGGAGTAGGAGTAGGGCCCTGATTAGGGGCCGGAAAGGAGGTCGGGGACCCGGCCCTGGTGGCCTTCTCCGAGCCGCGCCACATGTTCCTTCCGCCCCGCGGGCAGCGGCGGCCGCGTTGTCATGACGACCGTGCGCATGCGCCTCGGCCACGGAGTGCTGCGCGGTGCGGTAGCCGGGGTGCTCAGAGAAACCGCTGGACACGGAGCACTGGCGTCCAGCTGGCTGGGATCCCCTGCCATTACTCCATGGGCCATGGCCAGGCAGTGGCTGCCCATACTATGGAGGCTGCTTGGTCGCGTGTCTGGGTCCAGATCACTCCCTTTTCTGACTCAGAGTTAAAGACAAACCGAGGGTGGGCTCCCGGCAACTTTGCAGGGAGGTTTTCCAGGTTCGGGCGGCACTGCTGTTGGGTTGGGCCAGGACTACAAAGATGATTATGACACAGTCCCCTCCCTGAAGTGTGCACATACCTGCGGAGGCCAAGTGCAGAAGGAGATGGTAGCACCAGCAGGGATAGGGCGCGGGGCTAAGGGAGCATAAAGGGTCATTGTAGATCCGTCTTTGAGAGTTGGGGAGCATCATTAGGGCTTCTTGGAGAAGGTAATACCCTGACCGGTGTAGTGAACCTGCTGGAAGGCAGAACTGCTTGATGCGTGCTGGAGACGTGCAGGTACTTGGGGTTGCCCAAATGAGTCCAGAGTGAGGGGACAGGCAGAACCAGATCCACGTGGAGTCCTGTGCATCTTCTGAGAAGCGCAGCTGTTATGGAGCATGGTGCTGGGAGCCCTCAGATGTGAAACAGCTGATGGAGAACGAATTTGACATAGGGGAGGGGAGGTCTGAAGCAGCTGCAGTAGCCCAGGAGAGATAATACGGCCTAAGCTAAAACTGGACTTGGGGGAATGAAGAGAAAGGAACAAAAACTCAGGGTAACATGATCAGGATTTAGAACTGGATATGGGAAGAAGAGGAAGGAAGGAAGTGGAGGCCTTCTGTTTGGGGCCGCTAAGGACCCAAGAGAAGGAAGTCCAGGGCCTTGTAGAAGACTCTGGAGCCAGACAGAGACCCTCCAAGTGAAACCAGGCTGTTTATGAACACAGTTCAAGGGTGAAAAACAAAATGTCTGAATCCTCTCTCCCTCATGCTATCCCACTAGGCAAGTCCAGATCAGTGCTCCACTGTCAAGAAATTACTGTGCTGGGCAAGGCAAGTTTTCTTGAAACCCTGTGTTGCCCACTGATTAATTTTTTTTTTCTTTATTGATTTTAGAAAGAGAGGAAGGGAGAAGGAGAAAGAGATAGAAACATCGATGAGAAAGAACATCGATTGGCTGCCTCCTGCATGCCCCCCACTGGGGATCAGGCCCACAACCTGGGCCTGTGCCCTGACTGGGAATCGAACCGGCAACCTCTTGGTGCATGGGTCGATGCTCAACCACTGAGCCACACCGGCCGATTGCCCACTGATTTTAAACAACACTTGAAATATCATTCCTTCAGGTTAAACATGATGATGACAGAAAACAGATAATTATGTGTTCATTTACCCTATGTGCTACGAACAAAGCTGAGAGGGGGCTTGAAATACTAATGTGTGAGTGCAGGTAGTCTGGCATCTACCTTTCCCTATACCTCCCTTAAAGTATTTTGAGTTAAGAAGATAAAGGAAAGGAAAGTGAGGTTGAGGACTAAGTAATTTCTGCTTCAAGGGGAAAGAGGAATAGTCTCCCAAGGGAGCAGGAAGTGCAGAATCAGATTTTTGTTTTAGAATGTGACTAATGAACAGTGTCTGAACAGAATAAACCAAAAAGAGCTGCTTTACTGTGGTACATATACACAATGGAGTACTATGCAGCGGTAAGAAAGAAAGATCTCTTATCCTTTGAGACGACATGGAGGTACCTGGAAAGTATTATCCTAAGTGAAACAAGCCAAGCAGAAAAAGACAAATACCACATGATCTCACTTATATACGGAATATAATGAACATAACAGTCTGAGGAATACAGTAGACCCAGAAACATGGAAGTAGGGCACAGACTGACATCCCTCAGAAGAGGGGGTGGGGGGGATAGGGGGGTGGGAAGAGATAAACCACAGAACTTATATGCGTGTATGCATGACCAATGGACATGGACAACTAAGCCGGGGACGGGGCGGAGGTGGGGTGGGGTGGGGGGTGCCAATGGGGTAAAAAGGTAAAATATCTGTAACAAAAAAATAAATAAATAATTCATAAAAAAAAAGAAAGAAAAAAAAAAGAGCTGCTTTAACCAGACAAACAGTGCCTACAGCACTATTCTCCGTAGCTGCCTTAGCAAAACAAAAACAGCATACAAAAATACAGGCTGCAATGCAAAATGCATATTAAACAGGTGGTGAAAAAGACACCGACCACAAGTACAACCTGTTTCCATCAGTACATTTCTCATTACCCCCAATGACATCCAGATGGAGGAGGGATGTAATTGAGGGTGGGGAATACCCTCCCTTTGAGAATCACTGAGTGGTAGGGAAGGTGGGAGAGAGAGATGTTGCTGAGCTGGCTTGAAGGAAACTTGAGTGGATTCAATATGTGTCAGGAACCCAGGGTAAAGGTCTAACTTGAATCTGAGCTTTCTAGAAGTCAGAACCAAAGAGAATGAGGGAATGTAGTCCCTTTGCTTCAATAAAAGGCAACATTTACATAGCTGGACCTCCAGTGGCGCAATCAGTTAGAGCCAGGTACTTACACATTTCTCTGGCACCCTATATAGGAAAGTTAAGTAGTTACTTCATACAAGTAACTTAATAGACATGTCTTTGACTATAGTTTTGTAGAAGATCCAGAAATATTTTTCAAATGATCGTTTCTTTTATTGTAACTCTATTTAGAAAGACAATAGCATAGTGTTTAATTGTGATAATAGGGTCTAGGTAAGTTGTTTCCTGATAATACGGAGATAGAACTCAAAGGATCTGGGGGAATATTTAACATATTCGTTAGCTATCTTCACAACTATCAGATGGTTTAACTGATGTGCTAGCAGGTGCTGGAACATTCCTGGTCGGATTTTCTGACAAGTATCTGAAGTGCTGACTTCTGATGTTGTTCATGCATGAATGTTTAGGTACTGAATATGCAGATGGGAAAATTAGTGTTTTGTTATGTTAAAACTTATTTTGGCCCATGGGTAAAAGAGTGAGTTGCATAAAATGTTTACATTCCTATATTCTGATAAGGTGAGGAAATATGTCAATGATTAATAGTGAAATAGTGCCGCAAAATTTCCTGCTCATTATACAAATAACATTTTGAAAAACCAAAATTGCTCACTGAGTTACTAGATCTATAGTTTAATGGTAAGGATAAGGGACTGATGGTGATACATTTTGCTAAATGGATAAGATGCAGTGTTTTGAGTCCATTGAAAGGAAACAAGTCCTGAGAAGCTGCTTCAGATCAATAATTTGGCCACAGTGGGAATGGAAGCATGCCTTCAAGTTGCTTTTCTTTGTTAATCGTCACCTGAGGATATTTTTACATTGATTTTTTTAGATAGAGTTGAAGGGAGGGAGGGGAAGAGAGAGAAAGAGAAACATCGATGTGACAGAGACACATCGATTGGCTGCCTCCCGCAGGACCCTTTGGCTAACACTCTAACCGCTGAGCCATACCGGCCAGGGCTCCAGTTGCTTCTCATAAAAAAGTTTTTCACTGATATTTATATGGAACTTCAGATCAGTTTTAGTTGAAAGGAGACAAAATTTTTTCAAGGGATTTTATAGCTTCCAAAGCAAAGGGTAGTGTGTTACCATTGCATGATTTTCCAGTCCTAGGTCAATTAAAGCTACGTTTAGCTTGTCTGTATTAGAGGAAAAAGAGCTCTCAGGTAAAGTTTTAAGCAAAATCTTGCAATAATTTTAACTAGAAATGTAATCAGAGAGTCACACACCATATTAATCTTAGGACCCAGTTTGTGTGTAGTTAGACATGGAAACATAAGTATCAACACTTGATGTAAATCTGAGGGGGCTGATCACTTTCCTAAATGATTTTCTTGGGAATTAAAGTTACATAAAGAAAGGTTAGCCCTGGCCGGTTTGGTTCAGCGGTTAGAGTGTTGGCCTGTGGACCAAAGGGTCCTGGGTTCGATTGCGACCAAGGGCACGTACCTCTGCAGTTCATCCTGGCCCTGGTTGGGGTCGTGCGGGTGGCAACCAATTGATGTGTCTCTCTCACATCGATGTTTCTTTCTCTCTCTCTCTCTCTCCCTCTCCCTCCCTCCCACTCTGTCTGAAGATAAATGTAAAAAAAAAGAAAGAAAGGAAAAGAAAAGAAAGGCTAATTATTAAACTGTCCAACCCTGGCTCTTTGAAATAATGATGCAACAAGTTGTTCCTCTTAGAAACACCACAGTAATATTGGATTGTAATAAGTTAATTTGACCACATTCAGGTAGCAATTTCTAAGAGAAAAAATAGCCAATAAGGAATCAATCTTCCCCTTTCTTATTTACCGTGGTTGAATTATTGGCAACACTGTCCTGAATCCTGGCTTTACAACCTCCATTTATTTATTTATTATTTTCAATATTATTTGTATTAGTTTTAGGTGTACAGCATAGTGATTAGACAATACAAAGTGTTCCCACAAACTCCTTTTATTAAGTCCACTGATGATATACAATATACATATATATAGCTTTCAGAGGGCCACCAAATTGGTTCCAGACACATATGGGATATCTGATTAAGGTGAGATAATATATATGCACACACTTTCAGACATTCTAGTCAGGTTTCATCATGGAGCAAGATGAATGTTAGGAGAAGTAAGTTCTTTTATGTGTCTGGAAGCCCAGACAAACTGTGTTAACCCTGATCAGGATGCTAGTCCACACAAATTTCCCCCAGATGACTGTAGCAAGGCTGAGAAAGAAAAATCAAGCCTGAAACCTCACACACAAGAAGAATTATTCTAATAAAAACCAGGCTTCTTTGTGAACAAATGATGCTAAAAACCTGTGTGAGGTTGAGTCAAAATCTCTGCTTCTGCTCCGCTTCTGAGACAAGCTCTTTTAGTTATTTAGTTTGTAAGAGAGGAATCATAATGGTGCCTCCTTCTTAGGGTTCTGGTGAGAATTAAATAGGTTCATTTAAGTAAAACCTAGAGCACATAAATGTTCTGTTGTTACTGGACTAAAGGGGTCCATTTGCCCGTGCATATCAATACCCAATAAAAGACGAATAGGAGTTTGCAGCCAGAAAGTAAGGGTTTATTAGCTCAGGAAATGGCGCCAAGCCCAGATCACAGATAAACTAGTGCTCAAAGACCTAGCTCCCAGATGGCTTTCAGGGGAAAAATAATTAATTATGGTGGTTAAAAGAGTTGGGGTCTGGATTCTACCAATTGGTTAAAACCAGGGTAGGGAGTGGTTGATCATTGTCAGCCATGGGATTGTTATGTCTGGTTTCATGACAGTTGAAGTCAAGATGTTACCTGTTTCTGAAGTCAAGATGTCAACAGAACTGAGGCTTTGTTCTTTTTTTAATCCTCACCCGAGGACATTTTTCCATATTTTGTTCAGACAGAGTGGGAGGGAGAGAGAGGAAGAGAGAGAGAAACATCGATGTGAAAGGAACACATCGAGTGGTTGCCACCCGCACAACCAAACCAGGGCCGGGGACAAACTGCAACCAAGGTACGTGCCCTTAGCGGGAACCGAACCCGGGTCTCTCTGGACCACAAGCCGATGCTCTAACCACTGAGCGAAACTGACCAGGGCGAGGCTTTGTTCTTAAGACAGTCTGATGCTGACCAAACTCTGATGTCCTAAGGGTTTAATGATTAAGAAAGGGAATTGATGCCCAGCCTGGTGTGACTCAGTTGGTTAAGCATAGTCCCATGCACCAGGAGATCGCCATTTGATTCGGGTCAGAGCACATGCCTAGGTTTGGGCTCAGTCCTCAGTAGAGGGCATGCAGGAGGCAGCCAATCAATGATGTTTCTCTCTGAAATCAATAAAAACATATTTAAAAAGAAAGAAAGGAGAAAGGGTCATGGCAAAGAAATTGAGTTTCTGTGTGTTACCTGGGGTGTTCATTTTTATTTATGTTATTGCCTCAGTCTGAATACTGTGGAGTATCTAGGAGCCTTCAACCTTTCAGTAGTTTGTATTGAGGAAATTGGAGATTTTATCCTATAGTACTGAACAGTATTCATCTGTCTGATGACCAAATGATTAAAATGCTGGAGACAGCCAGTTTTAGACATAATTTAATCAATAATATATCTTTTTTTTCTTCCTTTAAATAACAGAAACACTATCCCAGAACATTTTTTGAGGCTAGGTATATAGTAACAAGGATCTGAACCTCATATCATTAAATTGCACACAGTGTGGGGCTACAGGGCCTCTGTGCTGGATGAGAGGACCAGTACTCCAACAGGAAAGCCCCCCACCACACAGGCAAGTCAAAGATGCTACAGTTAACCTGGCCACCATTATGTGTCTTCTCTGCCATCTCCCTTAGGCTTTGAGAGAGAGAGAGAGAGAGAGAGAGAGAGAGAGAGAAAATGATCAAGGACTCAGTCTTATGTAATACAATATTAACATCTTAGATTAATAGGATTTATAAATCTAGTAGTCTGCCAGTTTTGTTCTTATTATTCAAGACTGTCTTTTGCATTTTAATATAAATTTTAGAATAAACTTGTTAACTTCGACCAAAAAAGAAAGAAAAAAGCGTGCCGAGGTTTTTATTGGGATTATAGAGCAATTTGGAGAGTATTGGCATCTTCACATTAATGAGTGTTCTAATCCATGGACATGATTTATCTCTACATTTAATTTCTTTCTAGGTTGCAGCTTTAGTTCATTAAGATTCATGACATTATCAAGTGTATTGCTTAGGGATTTAAGCCCTTCCCCCCAGCCAGGCTTAGGGATCTAAGACCATGAGAGGACAGATCTCTCTCTCTGCTTGCAGCCAGCAACCTTCTCTAAAGCCACTGACTTGCCCCAGCCTCATGGGGGAGAACTGGCTGGTGGAGAGAACAGACTCTGCACTTTGAGGCGTCTTCAGCTTCGAGTCCACCCTGCCAGTTCACACATGGCTGTTAAAAGTTTGGCTGGTTTCTCCTTATCCCAGAAGGTCCTTTGTCTATAGCTATGGAAAGCTTGCTTCTCTACCTGTCGGTCACCAAATTTAAAAATGCCAACAATACTTTGCAACTTTCTACATCCTACCTGGAAATAGAATCAAGATAGAAATTGTAAAAAAGGAAATTAGATAATTTTTGTATATATTAGTCAACCTGTTAGGAGAAAGAAGAGTCCGCACTTTAATTCTTCTCCTAACAGGAAACACAAAAGCCTATATTTTATGTTGTGTCATAATGTCAAGCACTATATTTAATCAACTAAAATTTAATTTTATCTCTCTTAAGGATACCAAGTCTGATGGCAGGTAAATCCTGATTTTTTTTTTCTTTTCACGGTATTCCAGATTTTGAATATTTGAATTTTCCATCAAAATAATGTCAAATGACAACATAAAATCAGTAGAACATTCAGATAAGAATACATCAGAAATATGATCCATAGCAAATCTGATAGAACATTTTTCATTGACGCTGCTAATCGGAATTTGGCTACTGTTCCATTGGAGGTTTTAGAATTAAGAGAATTAGAAGAAGTGCATCTGGAAAATAACCAGATCGAAGAAATCCCCCCGGATATTCAATACTTAAAGAATGTCAAAATCCTCTACCTGAACAAAAACAAACTGAGCAGGCTGTGCCCCCAGCTGGGAAAACTGAGCAACCTGGAGGGCCTGGACCTGAGCGACAACCCCCTCCTCCCCTCCTCGCTTCTGGTGCTGGGCTGCAACCGCAGCCTGCGCCAGCTCCGCCTCTACCGCACCTGCCTGCGGGAGTTCCCCGTGGAGATCTGTAAGCTCCTTCACCACCTCGAGCTGCTCGGACTGACCGGAAACTACCTGAAAACTCTGCCCATGGAAATCGTGAACCAGACCAAACTGAGGGAGCTCTACCTGAAGCAAAACCAATTTGACGTTTTCCCGCAAGAGCTCTGTGTTCTCTACAACCTGGAGATCATTGACCTGGATGAGAACCAACTGACGGTCCTCCCAGAAGAGATCGGGAACCTGACCAGGCTGCACAAGTTCTATGTGGCTCATAACGGCCTGCACTTTCTCCCCGAGTCTCTGGGCCACTGTAGCAAACTGTCGGTGCTGGATTTATCCTACAACAGCCTCCACTCCATCCCACACTCCCTGGAGGGGCTCTCGGAGATGACGGAGATTGGGCTGAGCGGGAACCCCCTGGAGAAGGTGCCGCGCCTCGTCTGCAGGTGGACCTCGCTGCAACTGCTCTACCTGTGCGGTGCCGGCCTGCACGGGCTGCGGCGCTCCTTCCGACGGCTGGTCAACCTGCGCTTCCTGGACCTCAGTCAGAATCATCTGGAAAGCTTTCCGAGGCAGATCTGTGCGCTGAAGAACCTGGAGATCCTGGCGCTGGACGATAATAAAATACGGCAGGTACTGACTCTCTTCCTGGCTGTCACTATGCTCTTATCAAGGGCCCTCCCTGCCCTAACTCGGTGCGGTTCTGTGTCTAAGCATCGGCAAATCTGAATTGACGATATGGGCAAGAATCCAGGGTTAACAAATATATCCAACAAGGTGATCATTTCTATTACTCCTCTCCCCACGAATAACAATATTAATCATAAGTAGTAGCTCGTGTTTATTTACGGTATGTCACTGGGCAAAGTGTGTTACATGGAATATCTCATTTAATCCTCACAAATACTTTTTTTTACAAGAATTTTTGACGTGGATAATATCCTCAGTGACACGAGGAAAAGGAGGCACAGGGAGCTTCACTGACTTGCCAAGGCCACACACCTGTGAGTGATGGAGGCAGGCATCCCACTCAGGGCAGCCGGGCTCCAGGGTCTATATTCTTAACAAAGACCACCTCCTACCGGGATTTCCTTAAACACATTTTTCTGACACATACAACCTTAGGCCTTAATGTTCCATTCATGGGAAACTTCAAAAACAGCTTAATCCCTAAAGAAACTTTCCCCCATGTGTGCAGAGTGGCCTGCTCAGAAATGTTCATTATAGCATTGTTGATAATCATGAAATGATGGGAATCACTCTAAATGTCAGTCAGTAGAGGAATGAGCAAGTAAACTGTGGTATATTTTTAAAATGGAAAACTATACAAAAATGTAAGGGAACTGGAACTATAGGTGCCAATGTGGATAAATCTCCAAATTGTAATGTTTATTAACAAGCAAAACACCAAATTGTAGAACCCTATGATGCCACTCATAAAATTTTTAATCACACAAAAATACAGAAACGCCCATCACATTTTATGGATATTTATACATGTCATACAAGTATAAAAATATGGACTAGAAAAAACTCACTACATTTCTTATAATGGCTGTCTCTGGGAAGAGGGAGGTAGTCAAGCAAATGAAGAGGGTATTGTAGAGGAACTCAACTTTAATTGCAGTATTATATTGTGTTTATTAACAAAAGATTTGGCAGTGGATACACCTGTATTTGTTTATTATTATCATTTTTTAAGATTTAAAAGTGGCCCTGGCCAATTTGGTTCAGAGATTAGAGCAATGGCCGTAGGACTAAAGAGTCACTGGTTCAATTCTGGTCAAGGGCACGTACCTTGGTTGTGGTTCGGTTCCCAGCCCTGGTAGGGGTTGCGGTGGAGGCAGCCAATCAATGTGTCTCTCTCACATCCACATTTCTCTCTCTCCCTCTCCCCCTCTCTCCCTCTCCCCCTTCCTCCCTCCCTCCCACTTTATCTGAAGATAAATGGAAAAATATCCTCAGGTGAGGATTTAAAAACAAACAAACAAATATTTTAAAATGTAAAAGAACAGATTTCTTTGAAAAGCAAAAAACAACTGTAGAGGGAGAAAAAGGAATATTTGGAATTCAACACCTAACCAAATAATAGGTCTGACTTTCCTGGCCTTGGACACCAGTCTCGTGTTCCCCATACATTATAAAAGTCCTAGGCCAAAATGGTGTTGTTGTTATTTCATCTTCTACTCAATTTTTAATTTCCAAAACCTAGGAATGGTAGTTTGTTTTCCTAATTATCGTAGAGTTTTAAAGCTGCCTTTCAGGAAGTAAATATTTTGATAGTAACTTTAAGATTTCGGAAGAGAATCAGGGATTTAATCTCTATTTAAGTAGCAACCCGCCTTGGAGGATTTTAGATGTTCCAGGAGAGGCCCTATGCCCATCCCCCCAACTATTCCACCACTGACAGAAGAAACTCCTTTATAGTGGATAAAACCTGTCCTTCCACATTTGGAGTGAAAGGCTCAAGATATAATGTGCCCCTGGGAAAAGTAACGTAAAGCATTGACTTAATTCCTAATCCTTTCGATACCTAATCCTTTCCTGTGAGATGATTTAAGAGATCAGGGTAGAGGGAATCACACATGGGTGGCTCTTTAACAAAGATAAACCTCATCCAATACCAAATGTTACCATAAGTCAACTGCACTGAAATGTGGATATGTTCAATATTATTTCAAACATGCAGTTCTCTGTGTTCCATTCTTATGACAGTGTTTGTTTTTGTCTTCTCGGTTTCCTGTGTAACTTCTCAATGCTTTTCTGTCCTCAATGACACATGGCCTTTAAACCTGCTCCTTATCTTATCTCTCTTATCCCAAAGATGTACCTGATGGGTTTCTGGCTTTTGAAGTCTGCCTAGTAGCTTTTTTTTGCCTAGGTAGATAGATGCAAAAATAGCTGACTTACACCATGTATGTAGATGGATTTTATTTGTATGATACATTCCTATTAGGGGAGAAAACCCATTCTCTTTTTTCTTTGTTTGTTTGTTTGTTTGTTTGTTTGTTTGTTTGTTTTAAAGAGAGAGGAAAGGAAAGGGAGAAAGAGATAGAAACATCCATGAGAGAGAACATCAATTGGCTGCCTCCTGCATGCCCCCCACTGGGGATCGGGTCCACAACCTGGGCATGTGCCCTGACTGGGAATCGAACCTCTTGGTGCATGGGTCAATGCTCAGCCACTGAGCCACACCAGCTGGGCAAGAGAAAACCCATTCTCAAAGTGGTTATAGCTCAGTTATTATGTCAGCAGTAATTGTCCTCATTTGATGCTGTGTAGGTTTTCTGTACATCCAGATTTACTTCCACTATAGTTTAATATGACTATGATGGAATTAATTATGGATCTTGAATATTCTGGGGGAAAAACCCTTTAAACATTTAATGTGCTTTGAAAAAAAAAAGCTAAACCTGTGAGCTAAGTAAATAGCAATAAGAGTGAAATTACTAGGTTATAATGAGGTAGTTAGATTGAAAATCTTTTCTCATTATTTTGCACTGCACTGAATGTAGGTGCTTTATATTGAAGGTATGTAAGTGCCCAAGAAGAATTTTGAAATAGCTAGGAAGGAAAGCTTAAACATCAGTTTCTCTGGAGATTGATTGACTGGTTCTGATTTTTTAAATTAAGTAAATAAAGCTGTAAACATATATAGCATGCTTAGAAAAATTAGCCCTCACCCTATACAATAAAAAGAAAAATGTCTTTCCAGGCGTGTGAGACTTTTATTGACAGGTCATCTCCGCAAGGGGCTTTCTTTTGACCTATTCACCAATTATTTATCCATTTCACCCATCTATAGGGAGGTCTGGGCTACACTGAACTATGAAAGCAGAGTGGCAGTGTAGGGAGCCCGGGAAGAAAGCCCACGAGCTAAAGCAGGGAACTGTGAGCAAGGATTTTCTATTTAGGAATAAAGAAATAAAGCTAGATAAAGGAGCAATGGTTTAAAGTGAGTTAAGAAGCTGTTGAGATATATAGCTGGGCTTTTTTTTTTTTCCTACAAGAAAATTGGCATCTCTGTAACATAATCAATAGGTGAGTGTGTTACATTTTAAGAATGAGACTTTTCTATGTGGTTCTAGAGGGCCAGAAAGACCAATAGGTAGACATAATAGTGACATAGATTTTGGCCTGACAAAAGAAGAAAATCTGGTGAGTAGAGGTCTCCATCCATGGTAGTGAGCTTCTCATTCTAGGTCCTAGAGGACATGGTGTTTAACTATGGGCTGGATGGTTACCTATGAAATGCATTCAACCACCGTATTAGAGAGTTAGAATAGAGAGCCTTCCAACCCTGAGAGTCTGTGAGTCTGTGAAATGCCTAGTTAAAACCTGCACACAAGCATCAGTATTCATTGGAGGGAAGAAATAGAACGAGAGAATAGTCTTCATTTGTGTCCAACTGAGATCTCAACTAAAGTTTCAAAGTTGCCAGGTTACAACCATAAAAAGGAATGAAATCTTACTATTTGCGACAGCATAGATGGACCTAGAAGGTATCATGCTAAGTGAAATATGTCACACAGAAAAAGAAAAATACTGTGTGGTTTCATTTATATGTGGAATCTAAAGAGCAAAATAAATGAACAAACAAAATAGAAACAGACTCATAGATTACAGAGATCAGACTGGGGGGTATCAGAGGAGAAGAGGGTTGGGGGGCTGGGTGAAAAAGATGAAGGAATTAAGAACTACAAATTGGTAGTTACAGAATAATCACAGGGATGTAAATTACAGCATAGGGAATATAGTCAATAATATTGTCAAAATTTTGTACAGTGACGGGTGGGTACTTGAAATATTGGAGGGACCACTTTGTAAAGTACATGATTATCTAGCCACTATGCTATACTTCTGAAACCAATACAGAATAATACTGAATGTTTAAAAAATGTATAAGTGCAGTTGCAGCTACAGGGCTGTTTGATGCCACCACGCCATTGTGCACACTTGGACTTGTGTATTGTACAAACTGTATATGGCAGCCCTGTCCAGACACTCTATTTCCTGATAAAAAGATAATAGGACTTGTAAAAAAAATTGCTGAGTTAAAGTCTTTTAGGGTGAGAGGTCATGCCACTAAATTTATCAGTTCTAATAACCGGATTAGTTATTAATATTATAATTACAATATTACACTAATAACTTTAGTTCTTTTTCTTTTAGTAGTGTCAAGCATTTGCTACACTACAGTTCAAAAATTTCTAATAAAGGTTAAAAATTGCTCCAATTTAAAGCAGTGCATAAGAGTGAACGGCAGAGAGGCTTAGGGAAAACGTGAAGCTCTGCAACTATAATGACTATATATGTGCAAACTTGTCATAAGTAGGAATTGCTAAATTACTTTATTTTTCATATAACAATGTCTCAAAACTTTTTTTTTATCCTCACCCGAGGACATTTTTCCATCCTTTGTACAGACAGAGCGGGAGGTAGAGAGAGGAAGAGAGAGAGAGAGAGAAACATCGATGTGAAAGGGACACATCAAGTGTCTGCCTCCTGCACGACCAACCAGGGCCGGGGACAAACTGCAATTGAGGTACATGCCCTTAGCGGGAACCGAACCCGGGTCTCTCCAGACCGCAGGCAGATGCTCTAACCGCTGAGCCAAACCGGCCAGGGCCAATGTCTCAAAACTTTTTAAAAGCCCAATTTCATTTTCTTTTTTTTTAAATTGGTTTTGTAGAGGAAGGGAGAGGAAGAAATAGAAACATCAGTGAGAAAGAAACATTGATTGGCTGCCTCCTGCACGCCCTCTACTGGGGATTGAACCTGAAACCTAGCATGTGCCCTGACCAGGAATCGAACCTGGGACCTCTTGGTGCATGGGTCCGTGCTCAATCACTGAGCCTCACAGGTCAGGCACCAATTTATTGCAGGTTCGATTCCAAGTTAGGGCACACACCTAGGTTGCAGCTTTAATCCTCAGTCGGGGCGCATGCAGGAGGCAGCTGATCAATGTTTCTTTCTCACATCATTGTTTCTCTCTCTCTCTAAAATCCATAAACATATCCTCAGGTTAGGATAAAAAAAATCTCGACCTGAAACATATCTTTTTGGAATACTTCTAGTTACCTTCAGACTTCTGCTTACTTTCAAAACTGAAGATGCTGGGACTAAGCGGGAATCAGTTCTTTACATTTCCAGAAGAAATCTTTTCTTTAGAGTCTTTAGAGAAATTGTACATTGGGCAAGATCAAGGAGCCAAGTTCACCTGTGTGCCAGATCACATTGGGAAACTACAGGTAAGTCTCCCCAAATGAGCAGGCAAAGAAGAACAAACCTACTGATTTCTTAAATTGGCCGATATTGAGAAAACATGGCCGTGTTCCCACAGGCTGTGTGTGGAATCAACCATACTAGGTTTCCAGCTCCAAACAAGTGGTCATTATCATACTTTGAGCCTTCCACGGTCTTGCTGAGCCACCCACAGATTTATAACTAAAGAACATCTTATTGTGATTGCTATTGGGTATGCCATGCCATGCTCCTTTCCACTGTGTGGCTTGGAATGTTTTATTTGCAGAAATTGAGCCATACTGCTTTTCATTTACTTTCCATTTTTTGTAAATTGCTCCTGAAAGTGCTACTATTTTGAGGTTAAAGTATCATACAGATGACATGGCCAGGAGCCGCATTTTGGATGGGGCAATAGACCTCCCAAACTCCATGATGGAATGCAAATCGTGGTCTATTTTATTGTGGCACCAGGTTCCCAGAGGATGGGTTCACAGCACTGTGCTAAATCCTACAAAGCAACAAGATAACTTCAATGTAGCCATACCAGTTTATCTTTATCTATATGCATACTTTAAAGAATCTTGTTATTTTCTTTTCATGTACCTGGTACTGCACTCCTTTTTATTTTTCTTTAACTCATTTTTTTTTTTTTTTAATCCTCACCCGAGGACATTTTTCCATTTTTTGTTCAGGTAGAGTAGGAGGGAGAGAGAGGAACAGAGAGAGAGAGAAACATCGACGTGAAAGGAACACATCGAGTGGCTGCCACCCGCACAACCGACCAGGGCCGGGGACAAACTGCAACTGAGGTATGTGCCATTAGCGGGAACCGAACCCGGGTCTCTCAGGACCGCAGGCCGATGCTCTAACCGCTGAACCAAACCGGCCAGGGCTTTAACTCATTTTTATTGTTGAATGTATTACAGATGTTTCTCCCTTTTTTCCCCACTAACCGCCTCCTCCCCAATCCCAACCCCCTCCTGCCTTCCCCACACTATTGTCGGTGTCCATTGGTTATGCATATATGCATAGAAATTTTTTGGTTTATCTGATCCCGCCCTCCCTCCTCCCTTCCCTTTGAGGTTCATCAGTCTAACAACCAATTTGTACTTCTTAATTTCTTCATCTTTTTCACCCATCCCTCCAGCCTCCACCCATCTGGCAAGCAACAATAACTCTGAATCTATGAGTCTGTTTCTATTCTGTTTGTTCATATTGTTTGTAGATTCAATTGTTGATAGATAATGTATTAATTGCCATTTTATTGTTCATATTTTTTGTTGTACTTCACCTTCAAGAAGACCCTTCAACATTTCGTGCAATACTGGTCTGGTGGTGATGAATTCCTTTAGCTTTTTCTTGTCTGGGAAACTATTGATAGGTCCATTGAATATAAATGATAGCTTTGCAGGATAGAGTAATCTTGGTTGTAGGGGTACTGCACTCTTAATACTGATAAGTAGGTATGGGCCACTACTTTATCACGGTCACAGAACTGAGCGATGGTAGGTATAGCACAGACACTTCTCACCTGTGACACAGGGTTCTCATTCCTAATTCTCCATTCCTTTGCCCTGTGTTCTTAAAATTCTGCTCTTCATCTTGTTTCTTGTACATACCATGCCACACTCTCTAAAATCTTAGGGTGAAATACAAGTTTTTACAAAGTGAATTTGAAAGTAGTTAACCTATTATCTGTACCTTTGGCTACTTCCACTTGGGCAATGTTGGATTGATATTTGAGGAAATTATACTTCTGAGGCAACTGCCACAGATCACTAGCTATTGAAAGGGAGCAAGTGATGTGTATAGTAAATGATCCAAATTATTTTCCCATAAAGTTCTTGTGAATAAACACTAGGCTCCTGTGCTCTATTTTCCCTACATAAATGGGAACCACCTCATGGCTTAACTCAAAAGTAACTTTTTGATGATGGTCCTTTAAATGTTTTTTCCCCTTGACTTCAATGCTTAATAACCTTCAATGAATGAGCATGGGAACTCGCAGGTGATCTTAGTTATTATAATTTATTTTTCAATGTAAGGATCATTATGGTGTACTATCATATTGTTTCAGAACCTCAAAGAGCTGCATGTAGAGAACAACCATCTGGAGTACTTGCCAGTCGCCTTGGGGTCGATGCCTCACCTGGAAATTCTTGATTGCCGCCACAATCTGCTTAAGCAACTTCCAGATGCCATCTGCCAAGCACAAGGTGGGGAATCTGAGTAGGTCCACGGCCTAGTAGAGTTTGAGGCCAGCGTTTCCCTTGATGAAGGCTTCTTTGCTTTACTAAAGACCAATCTCAGTGTTTAGAGAACTCGGCCCTACCCCCTTACCTCCTTGTAGGGCTCACTAACCATATGAGGAAGATCAGTTGCCTGACTAGCACAGCTCGGAGCCTCACAAAGGCAGGTTCTTTATGGGGACTTGAAAAAGAAAAGTGAACAGCAACTACTAAGGAAATTAGCCTTCATCCATATAGTCATTATACCACCAACAATACTTTACTGAGTACCTACTACGTGCCAGAATGAGTTGGGGGTCCTGCAGTAAATTCACATTAGGTCACTAAGTCACAAAGGACAGAAAAAATGCTGACTCAGAATGATGAAATCAGCAAGCAGGGAGGGGGGCTTTTGGAGCTACATGATTGACATTAAAAATCATGAATGATTCATATTTATTTATTCATTTTTAATCCTCACCCAAGGATATTTTTCTATTTATCTTCAGATAGAGTGGGAGGGAGAGAGAGACACACACACATCAAAATGAAAGGGACACATCGAATGGTTGCCACCTGCACGACCCAATCAGGGCTGGGGCCAAACTGCAACCAAGGTATGTGCCCTTAGCGGGAACCGAACCCGGGTCTCTCTGGTCCACGGGTTGACACTCTAACCACTGAGCCAAACCAGCCAACGCTGTTTTTACTTTTGTTTTTTTTTTAAAGAGAAATCCCTGTTTCTGTTTGTTTTGTTAATCCTCACCGGAGGATGTTTTTTCATTAATTTTTAGAGAAAGTGGAGGGGTGAGGGGAGAAAGAAACATCAATGTGAAAGAGACACATCAATCGGTTGCCTCCCACACAGGCTGGAGATTGAACCTGCAACCCTTTGATCCTCAGGCTGATGCTCTGACCGCTGAAGCAAACCAGCCAGGACCTGATTGTACATTTTTTATCCTGTCCTTGGTCCCTGGAGGAATGAAACATTCTCAAAATGTTTTAGTGTGTACTATTTTCCTGCCTCTAATACTAATTACGCTAGCTCTAACAACTCGGCGTTGTTTTAAAGACGAGAACTTGGGTTTACCTCATCAAATCTGATGTGTTTTTTTGACATGGCACAGTAGGAAACAAACATTTCAAAGTGACTGGACTAAAGAATTCACATTTCAATCTTGCCTGTTTTTAACATAAATTTGTCATTTTTGAAAACTGTTTCAGCTTTGAAAGAATTACTGCTTGAGGACAACTTGCTCACTCAACTTCCGGAGAGTTTAGACTGTCTAGTGAATCTGAAGGTTCTGACACTGATGGACAATCCCTTGGAAGAACCCCCAATAGAAGTGTACACCGAAGGCAAAGAGGCTATATACACATACCTTCAGGAGAAAAGAAATATGAAAATAACGGCAACAAAGGTAAAATCAGCAAAAGTTCATAGTTGCTTTGGAGAGGGGTTAGTGTTAAACATACTATAGATTATCCAGTGGGTAGAGACTCTTATTTACTTACCCAGGGCTAATCGAGAGAATTTTTAACATCATCCTAGAATTTTTGTCTTTTATGTTCCTTATCTCCTTGTCAGATAAGAAGCCAACAATCAGGCAAAAGAACCCGAAATTTTAAATTCTAAAACTATCTACAATTCTTAGGCTGTTCACTGGAGTGAAAAGGTGATGTTAACAAAGTCAGTAAGACAAGGCTGGAAAATTAGAAATGAAAGCAGTTGTGGAGCAGAGGTCTAGGACGGAGGTCTGCTCTGCCACTAACTAGGATCAAAGGACGAAGAGCCCTGTCACTCTCCTTGCCCACCAACCTCATGGAGACATAGGATACCCCAGACAGACCAGGAGTGTGTCCACTTCAGTCATTATTCAGTTTCTTTTTTTTTTTTTTTCCATTAATCCTTACCTGAGGGTATTTTTCCATTGATATTTTTCGTTCAGATAGAGTGGGAAGGAGAGAGAGGAAGAGAGAGGGAAACATCGACGTGAAAGGGACACATCGAATGGCTGCCTCCAGCACGACCCAACCAGGGCCAGGGACAAACTATAACCGAGGTGTGTGCCCTTAGCAGGGACTGAACCCGGGTCTCTCTGGACCGCAGGCCGACGCTCTGACCGCTGAGCCAAACCAGCCAGGGCTCCACTGATATTTTTTAGATAGAGTGGAAGAAAGGGAGGGAGAGATAAAGATAAAGATAAAGATAAACATCAATGTGAGAGACACATTGACTGGTTGCCTCCTGACTGGGGCTAGGGATCAAAACTGCAACTCAGGCATGTGCCCTTCCTTGACCGGGAATCTGACCTGCGACCCTTCAGTCCAAGGACCAACACTCTAACTGCTGAGCCAAACTGGCCAGGGCAATATTCGGTATTATTTATTCAACTGGCCCAAGCCCCCATCTTCTCACACTTCTACTTCTATACCTGCTCCCCCTAAAACATATCTTCTGCTCAGCAGTCAGACTGATGCAGTCAAAACCTAGGTTGATCAGCCCTCTGCTGCTGAAATTGACCATTTTCCCTGACATTAAACTCATAGATAATATAACCTATCAAAACCACATAACTTTAATAAATCAAAGTAATACCTGAGCTACAACATAAAGGGAAAAAAAAGTAATTTATATTAAAATATTTATTTTAATATGCATATACTCAGGAATGTTTGGAAGAATAAAAATAATTTTTTTGGATACTTTCTAAAAGAATTTTGAAAAACCACATGCCCTCTTGCACATTTTCCAAACTGGTATTTACATTTTTTTGCTACTAAGTTTAAATCATTGCAAAGCATTTACTTTCCAGTGAATTTTAAATATTGACATTTTCAAATAGAACTCTTAGATCAATATTTTAAATGTATCCAATGGAATCTAAATATTATTTTGATTTGATATATTAGTCAACATCAATTTACAAAATACTTGAACAGGTTCTTATAGGCATTTCTTCTTGAACATGTATTTTCATCTTAGAATCAATCTTAATGTTTTATGTGATATACATTTTATTAATCATATATAATTTTAAGTCATTTATAGATCACCTCTCATACTTCTGGGCAATAAAAATATTTATATAAATTAAATTTTTTTCTGTGACTACAGGGTTTTTATTGTTCTGGAATATTACATTTTATTAGTCATATTATAATTGTTGGTATTATAATTGTGGTATAAAATTGACCACAACAATATAACATCTATTACAAATTTTGATGTTCAATTATTTGACCTATAGGATTTTTGTGAAATACGTGTACAAATGAGAGAAACTATTTTACATAGTTTATGTATCCTTGCATAAATATTACTTACTGCTAGAATGAAACAGGGCTTGGCATCAGTACTGTGCCTGTTTTTTGTTTAACAGATGAAGTGCTGAGAAACCTTGTTTCCATAAATAAGTTGATAAAAATGGAAGACCTGTTTTTTTTTGCCTACATTTTTTTTTAAATGGCAATGCCTTACATATCTCTTGAACTTTTCCCAGATTTATACCCCTCAAAATCAGATAGCAGGCTCTTAGCAGACAACTTTCTTGAAGGCAGAGTTAGAAAGCAAAAGAATTGGTAACCCTGTCCTTAGAGTCAACATTAGTAATACTATTTTGAATTGTCCCTTTTTCTGGTGTCCCAGACGTTTCTGAAGTCCAGGGCAACACACCCTAGTCAGGTGGATGAGAGGTGTGCCAGAGACGCAGCTGTTCCTAGGCAGATACATTTTAGGAAAGGGTGCATATGGGTGAACTTTTGGAAACCGATTGCCTCCAAACTTTTGAAGCCTGCACAGCCTTGGACAGTGTGTGTCACACAGTTGAAGACTGCTAAGTCTTAAGACATCAAAAAACCCTGTAAATTTCCAGAATGCCTCTAGAGGGCAGTACCATCCCCTGGAAAATCACCACCCTAACTGCTGCTTTCACTCCCCATCTCATCTTTCCCATTTTTGTTTGACTTGAGTCACAAACAGGATCCTTGGTATGTTTCCAAAGTCCCAGCATGCTCCTACCTCAGCGCTGTAACACTGGTTCCTCCTGCCCAGAGATAATTCCCCCGGATATGAACAAGACTCTGCCCTCACTTAGTTGAGTCTCTGCTCCAAGGATCCTCATACATGCCCTCCATCCGCCTTATATAAAACAGCATACCCCCACTTAACGTATTCATTCATTTATTCAACAAATGTTCATTGAGCTTCTACTATGTGCCAGGCACTGTTCTAGGCACTGGAAATACATCAGTGAACAAAACATAAATATTGCTGTCCTCATATTGCTTAAAGTCCAGTGTGATGGGAATAAAGATATAAAATATAAAACCTGAGATTATATATATGGTGTTAGGAAGTGATAAGTGGTGTTGGAAAAAGTACAAGCTAAGGGGAACTGAGATTACCAGAAGCTGTGTGTGTTTGTGCTGTGGGATTTCAATTTAAACGAGATGGTCATGGTAGGCCTCCCTGAAAAAATGCCTGCCTCAGTTAGCTCAGGCGACCGTAACAACAAAGTATAATCTAGGTGGCGCAAACAACAGAAATTCATTTTCTTGCATGGATGCTAACGGTTAGAAGTCTACTTACTACTAGAGGAAGGATGTTCCTGAGAAGGTGGGAGGGAAATAGGATCAAGGGAGGAGACAAGGGAGGGTTGGCTGCAGGTTGGCGGGCATAGGAAGTCTGGTAACAAATTCCCCTTGCTGGGCGCTGTCATTTCCAGGGCACTGAACACCATGTCTGATTATACATTCGTGTGTTTATTGTTTTGGTTTGTTTTGTTTTTATCCTCACCTGTGGATATTTTTTTTCATTGATTGTCAGATAGAATGGGAAGAAGGGGGCGAGAGAGAGAAACATCAATGTGAGAGAGACACATCGACTGGTTGCCCCCTGCACAACCCCAACCAGGGCCAGGGAACGAACTGTAATCGAGGTGCATGCCCTTGGCTGGAATTGAACCCGTGACTCTTTGGTCCACGGGCCAATGCCCTGGTTAGACTTGAGTCAATCCAGCCAGGGCCATGTATTCATTGTTTATTGGCTCCTCCCCTCACTGGAATGTGAGCTCCACAAAGTCAGTGACAATAGTATTTAACTGCTGTTTCCCCAAGGTTTACAACAGTGCTTGGCACATAAAAGTACTCAATACTTAGCCCTGGCCGGTTTGGCTCAGCGGTTAGAGCGTCGGCCTGCAGTCCTGAGAGACCCAGGTTCGGTTCCTGCTAAGGGCGCGTACCTCGGTTGCAGTTTGTCCCCCGCCCTGGTTGGTCGTGCGGGTGGCAGCCACTCGATGTGTCCCTTTCACATCGATGTTTCTCTCTCTCTCTCTGTTCCTCTCTCTCCCTCCCACTCTATCTGAACAAAAAAATGGGAAAATGTCCTCAGGTGAGGATAAAAAAAAAAAAGGAAAAAGTACTCAATACTTAAAAAATAAGCTCTGGCCGGTTTGGCTCAGCGGTTGGAGCATTGGCCTGTGGACCGGAGAGTCCTGGGTTCGGTTCCCGCTAGGGGCAAGTACCAAAAGAAAATAAATAAATAAATAAATAAAAATTAAAAATTCCTGGATGATCGGCCAATTCAGAAAGAGAGAAAATAAGGTTTAGAGTTTTAATTCCATTCCATTCTTCACATCTTTAAAACCACATGTCAGAACAAGGAGATGCAACCCTCCCCCGTGATACCAGCTGATGCCGTTTGGGTTTCTCTTGTTTTCAGATCCAGACATGGTGGCGCGGAATTATGGTGCGGAAAGGATTGGGGAGATTTGGTGAATTACTGAAAGTGCGAAAGAAAGGAAAGAATTCTCCAAAAGCTAAGAAAGGAAACAAGGATGCAAAAGGAAAACCTGCAAAAGAAAAGAAGAAATAATTTTGTATATTAATGACTCGAGGTAATGAACCCTGATGATTAAGAAGGAAAAATATATAGGAGTTAGATGCCCACCACACTAACATTTATAGAATTATGGTTACGTGTAAAAATAAAGATTCTTATTTTTACTGAAATATTTATGATAAGATATGAAGCCTGGTAATTTTTCAGATTATCAGGGAGAAGTAAGTATGAGGGATCCAAATGAAACAAGATTGGCTATAAGCTGATAATTGCAGAAGCATCTGATAAGTATGTAGAGGTTCAGTATAGTATTCCATCTGCTTTTAAAAACTTAAAAAAATTTTTTTTCTTTATTGATTTTAGAGAGAGAGGAAGGGAGAGGGAGAGAGAGAAACATCGATGAGAAAGAAACTCTATTTGCTGCCTCCTGTATGCCCCCCACTGGGAATTTGGCCCACAACCTGGGCATGTTCTCTGACTAGGAATCAGACCTGCGACCTCTTATCACCTCACACCTGCCGCCATCAACAAATCATCAAACAAGTGTTGGTGAGGATGTAGAGAAAAGGGGACTCTAGTGCACTGCTGGTGGGAATGCAGACTGGTGCAGCCACTATGGAAAACAATATGGTGTTACCTCAAAAAATTAAAAATTGAACTTCCATTTGACCCAGTGATCCCGCTTCTAGGAATATACCCTAAGAAGCCTGAAACACCAATCAGAAAGAATATATGTACCCCCATGTTCATAGCAGCACTATTTACAATAGCTAAGATCTGGAAACTGCCCAAGTGTCCATCAGTAGACGAATGGATAAAAAAGCAGTGGTACATGTACACAATGGAGTACTATGCAGCTGTAAGAAAGAAAGATCTCTTATCCTTTGAGATGACATGGAGGGACCTGGAAAGTATTATCCTAAGTGAAACAAGCCAAGCAGAAAAAGACAAATACCACATGATCTCACTTATATATGGAATATAATGAATATAACAGTCTGAGGAATAGAGTAGACCCAGAAACACAGAAGTAGGGTACAGACTGACAATCCTCAGAAGCGGGGCTGGTGGGGGGAGGGAAGAGATAAACCACAGAACTTATATGTATGTATGCATAACCAATGGACATGGACAACAAAGCCGGGGACGGGGCAGGGGGGATGGGGAGGAGGGTGTCAATGGGGTAAAAAAGGAGAAACATCTGTAACAAAAATAAAATTAAAAAAACAAAAACAAAAAAAACCTGCGACCTCTTGGTGCATGGGTCGATGCTCAACCACTGAGCCAACACCAGCCAGGCTAAAAACTTTTAACTTTTACATAATTATATATTCATAGGAAGTTCCAAAGAAAGGTACAGAGAGGTCCATGCATCCTGTACCCTCCCTTAGTATTGACATTTTGCATAACTATAATACAATAACAAAACCAGAAAATCTATTTTGGTACCATCAAGAGAACTTATTCAGATTCCATCAGTTATACATACACTCGTGCACGCGCACTTGTGTGTGTGTGTGTGTGTGTGTGTGTAGATCAATGCAGTTTTATCACATGTAGCTTCGTGTAGTCACCACCACAATCAAGATGCAGAATTGTTCCATCACCACAGGTCTTCAATGTGTTATTCCTTTTAGTCACATCTACCACCTACCCCTCTCTCAATCCCTAAGCTGTTCTCTGCCTCTACAGTTTTGTTATTTCAAGAATGTTAAATAAGTGGAATCATATATGTGACCTTGGGAAATCAGCTTACTGACGCCCACCGTGGTCGAAGTGAATGCTGCTCCTGTGATCTCGGTCAAAGCATTGTAGTTCTTCCTCCAGTGACGGTGGGAGGATCCACCTTTTCATTCCTATTTCAGTGATCTCCGGAAGTCTGGTCACAGCACATAGCAAGTGTCTAAACCATTGTCCACAATCTCGAAACGTTGATGGCCGAAGGCTGATGTCCAGCTCAGTTAACTCTTTGAGGAGCCACACGTTCTGGCAGAAGATGGCCCATCCTGCATCACAGATGCTGTCATTATAGCTCAGGTCGAGCTTCTGCAGCCTGGCCAGATGACCTGTGTGTATTACCGATGCTGAAAAATAAAATCACTCTAAATGCGAAAATACAAGAATACTTTCTATCATGGCTCTTTCCCATTTCCAATAACACAACACAGTGGCTCCAGGATTAGTAATGACAAGATTGATAATTAGTATTGATTTGTTATTAGCTAGGTGCTTTATATAGGGCATCTGAAGTTACTTTAGTAACAAGTTTCCTCTCTGTGTATCCCAGGTACAACTTGAAAATGGATTTTTTTTTTCTCTTTCCAAATCCCTACCCAAAGAATATATTTTTTTTTGTCAAGTTTCCTGCTCTTTACTTCACTGAGGTCCCAGGTCTTCCTGAAGACTTTCTTTAATTAAACATCAGGAATGATGGCTCATTGGTGTTAACCGTTGGTGAATAGTCTTCTTGCTGTATAATACTGTTTAATTGTTCATTGTTCATTCATTCTGTCATTCCCTAGTCAACAATTATTTAACTAGCACTTTCTATGTGAAAAATATCCCTGGATAATTCCTAATCCAACTGAGAGAACTTTGATACACAGAACAACTTTCCCTTTGAATAGCACATATCTCAGTACTACCTGCAGTGACAATGAATAATAATTAATGATGAAGCTAAGAGAAGGTAAGGACTTATGTAAGTGGAGGTAGGAGATAGACCCAAGGCAAACAATACATGCTTTCCTTTTCCGTCAAAAGTCAAAATGGATTATAGAAATGAGACGAATAGTGTAAAATCTCGGAGTTGCCAGGGACCTTGGAGGTTTCCTCATTCAACCTCCAGATGGATGATCAGAGAGGAATCCCGGTCACAGCTTCTCTATGGTGACCAGCCCCGTTCTGTCTGAAGCACCCTTTCAGGTTGCCCTAGTAGAGGGAAGCAGCTCCCAGCAGGAGGATGCCCTTCCCTTGGGCCCCCATCTGCCTTCAGGTGACTTTCCCCCATTCCCCACGTCAGCCTGCCCGAAACCTCAGCTCCTTCCTCGTGCTAGCCCTGCAGTGTTGGACAGCAGTCAGGTCCATTCAAATTTCCCCCCATTGGGACTAAATGTGCTTTGGTTTTTCAATCTGTTCTTATACATCATGGTTTCCAGAGCAAGCAGGATACTCCATCCATGCCCATTACTCTCACTTGCTACAAGTCTGAGTCCACGTGCACCTGAGAGGTGAGCAGTGTGTGCGCTTGACAGGTGCACTCGGTCCCCGGGTCCAGGCCGATGTGTTTCTGCCTTTCTGTCTTTACCCCGAGACATTACTCAGCATATCCTGCAGACCCAAGTGTTCATGACAATGTGCATGCTCTTTTTTTTATTTATTTATTTATTTATTTATTTATTTATTTATTTATTTATTAATTTATTTTAATCCTCAACCGAGGACATTTTTTCATTTTTTGTACAGACAGAGTGGGAGGGAGAGAGAGGAAGAGAGAGAGAGGGAAACATCGATGTGAAAGGGACACATCGAGTGGCTGCCACCCGCACGACCAACCAGGGCCGGGGACAAACTGCAACCGAGGTACATGCCCTTAGCGGGAACCGAACCTGGGTCTCTCAGGACCGCAGGCGGACGTTCTAACCGCTGAGCCAAACCGGCCAGGGCTGTGCATGCTCTTTTTTAGAAAATTTTTTATAATAGAAATTTTGAAACGTACAAAACATTGACAGAACAGAAGAGTGAACCCCCATCCCCTTGTTCAGCCTCGACAGTTACCTTCATTACACCAATCTTGGCTCCTCTAGTCCCATCCGCTCTACCTTTTTTTTTAAAAGTATTTTAAAGCAAATCCCAGACATCATTTCACCTTTCCTATATTGTTTGAATGTTCCAGTCATGTGAACACCCTATTTATTATATTTGACTATTTTATATTTGTTATATTTTTAAAAATCTAGGTAATTAGATCACAGGCCATGGAAATACTTAAAAAATAATGCTGTTATTTATAAGATATAAGCTATTAGTGATTAAAAATCTTAAAGAATGTTTCTGCTACAAATAATAAAAGCAAAATAAAAACGACAATGGTGAAAACTGCACATAGTAATACTTACTACTTACTAAAAATTCAAAGGCAAAAATTCCCTTGACAAAATGTAAAAGTTGTATAAATTTGACCTAAGGTGGGAAATAACATCTGGTAGTAAATATTAAATATATATATAATGGCTGAGCTATGATTAATACAATTTAATGCAGACCAAAAAATTGAAGAAGCAAATTTGAATTACAGTTTTTAAATGAAATAACATCTATGTGTAATGGTGTCCAATTCAAGAAAAAAAAATAAAATAAAACCAAAGCTGACTCTGAGAAGATGGATAACATTGATTAGCCTCTCATGGCAGTCTGCATTCTAAGGTGGCCCCAAGACTTCTACTTTAATCCCCGGGACTATGAATATGATGGATTTTACTTCCATGATTAGGGTATGTTACATGGCACAGGTGATTTTAAGAAATGCAGATTATCCAGGTGGGGTTAACCTAATGACACAAGCCCATTAAATTAGAGACATTTCTCCATCTGGTAGCAGAAAAGAAAGGAGGTCACAGAGAGAGAGAGAGAGAGATTCGAATGTGTGAGGAGCACTGACACGGTTGCCGCGTGACGCTCGGGGGCCCTGTCCTGAGGAGTGTGGGTGGCCCCTTGTAGCTGAGAGCTACCAAGAAAGCAGGAACCTCAGTCCTACAGCTGCAAGGAACTGAATTCTGCCAGCAACAAGAATGAGCTCGAGAGTAGATTCATCCCCAGCCTCCAGATGAGAATTCAGCCTGGCTGACCTTGATTTCAGCCTTGTGATGCCCTAAGTGGAGAACCTGGACAAGCCTTGCCAGATTTCTAACCTACAGAACTGTGAGCAAATAAATGGGTATTGTTTTAAGCCACAGATTAGTTTGTTACACTGAAAAGAAAACTAGCACCTTTAGTCAGGCTAGCCAAGAAAACAGACAGATAAAAACACAAATGACCAACATTAGGAATGAGACGGGGTATCACCACAGACATTAGAAGGATAGTAAGGGAATAACTTTATTTCCATAAATTCAACAAGCTAGATGAAATGGGCCAATTCCTTGAAAGACACAAATTACCAAAATTCACTCAAGAAGAAAGAGATAACCTAAATAGTCTGATATCTATCTATCTATATCTATATCTATATATTTTTTATTGCATTTGTAATTTAAAACTTCTCACAAAGACAACTCCAAGTTTAGACAGGTCCAATGGTAAGTTCTGTGAAACAGTTAAGGAAAAAATAATACCGATTCTATACAATCTTTCAGGGCAATAACAGAGGCAGGAACACCTGCCCACTCATTTTACGAAGCTGCCATTACCCTGATATCAAAGCCAAACAAAGAGACTACAAGGAAATGACTAGACCATTATCTCTCATGAACATGGCCACATGCTCAACAAATATATAAAAAAGATAATACATCACAACTAAGTATAGCTTATACTGGAAATGTGAGGCTGATTTAACACTTGGAAATTAATTACTTTATTCACCATTATGACAGACTAAAAAAAATGCTTATCTTAATAGATGTATATAAGGCATTTAGCAAGATTTATCTGTAATTCATTATAAGAACACCTGCTAGATTAGGATCCCTTTCCCTGCTAAGGGCACATCTATTTAAAAACCTATAGTTAACAATATACTCAGTGGTAAAAGGCTAAATCCTTTCCCCTAATACTGAGAACAAGGCAAGATGTCTGCTCTCACTACATTCAACAGCTACTGGAAATCCCAGCCTGTTAAATAACCAAGAAAAAGGAATAAATGATATACATACTAGAAAGGAAGAGGCAAACTGTTTCTAATTATAGAAAATGTAGAAATCCTACAGTATTTACCAAAAATCTCCTTGAACTAATAGATGAGCTTAGCCCTGGCCGGTTTGGCTCAGCGGTTAGAGCGTCGACCTGCGGTCCTGAGAAACTGGGTTCGGTTCCCGCTAAGGGCGCGTACCTCGGTTGCAGTTTGTCCCCGGCCCTGGTTGGTCGTGCAGGTGGCAGCCACTCGATGTGTTCCTTTCACATCGATGTTTCTGTCTCTCTCTCTGTTCCTCTCTCTCCCTCCCACTCCACCTGAACCAAAAAAAAAAAAAAGGGAAAATGTCCTCGGGTGAGGATAAAAAAAAAAAAAAGAGATGAGCTTAGCAAGGCTGTTGCAGAAAATGTCAATATACAAAAATCAATTGCGTATCGGCGTGCTATATCAATGACCAACTGGGAATCAAGATTTTAAAACAATACCTTTTATGATAGTACCTTTATAAATAAATGAAATACTCAGATATAAATTCAACAAAATAGCTACAGGATCTGTAAAATAGAAACTCCAAACACCAATGAAAGAAATTCAAGAGGACCTAAATAAAAAGAGAGATATACTGTGTTCATGAACTGGAATGCTCAATATAGTTAAGGTGCCATTTCTCCCTGAATTTATCTATAGACTCAGTGCAACCCCAGTGAAAATACCAGCAGAATTTTTTTGTAGCTATTGACAAGTTGATTCTAAAATTTATATGGAAATGTCAAGGAACTAGAATAACCAAAACAATTTTGAAAAAGAACAACGTCAGAATACTCATACTACCTGATTTCAAGGCTTACTGTAAAACTGCTGTGATCAAGACAGTGTGGAATTGACAAAAGAGTAGATACATAGATCAATGGAACAGAATAGAGAGACCAGAAATAGACCCTCACAAATATGACAATTGATTTTTGACAAAAATGCAAAGGCAATTCAATGAACAAAAAAATAGCCTTTTTAACTAATGTAGCTCAAATAATTGAGCAGTCACATGCAAAAAACAACTTTGGCCCATATTTCCCACCTTGTACAAAAATAAGTCAAAATGAATAACATGTCAAAAGGTAAATATAAAGCTAGTAGAAGAAAATATAGGAGAATTCCTTCAGAACTTGTGTTTTGCAAAAAGCTCTAAGATGGAACACAGAAAGCCTGATCCATCTAGTTAACAAACTGATAGTCTTCAGCAAAACTGGAAGTTTTGCTCTGCAAGATACTGTCAAGGGAATGGGAAGACAAGCTATAACCTCTGAAAAAATATTTGCACATTACAGATCTGATAAAGGACTTGTATCCAGAAAATCGAAAGAACTCTCATCAATCCAATTTCTAAACTTAGGCAAACGATTAGAACAGATACTTGAGCAAAGAATACATACAGTTGACAAATAACTACCTTAAGATGTGCTCACCATCATTAGTCATTAGGGAAATGCAAATGAACATCACAGTGTTTATTCCCCATCTTCTAGTTACAATGTTTTGCCCTAGCGTTTGTTTTGAAATCAAACTTGTTCCAACTAGATTGAAATATCAGAAAACAGTGTGAGCATAACAAACTTTTTTGTTTGCTTATGTGTAATTCGTCCACAGGAACCACTAAGTGAGCACACAAAACTGCACCAGCTATGCCAGATAGAGGAGTAAGCAATATCCACACACATGCACGTACCTCGTGAGGACAATGAGCCTCACCGGTCCACATCCAGGTTCAAACTTTCTGTCTGACCTCAGATAATCCTTCCACCACTTAAAATAACTCACACGCTGCAACCCAGGGCTTCGCAGCCCTGAGCTTTTGCCTCTTCAACTTCCCCTTTCCTCTCAGCCAGCTTTGTGCTATTCTTTTCTGTTCTCTTCTTTTTCCCTCCCTCTTTCCCTGTCTCTCTCTGTTCTTTTCCTCCAGCGCACAGGTTGTCAGGCACGGGAAAGAGAGGTAAGCCGGTGAGAGAGTGCCCACAGCCACAAACTTCAAGATAAAGCGCTCCATTTACTATAGTATTTATGTATTTCTTAGCCATTTAACACAGATAGACCTTACTACCAGTTTATTCGTTTCTTATTTTTTAAAATGTGTCAGTGATGAACTTTTTGAGTATGGTGTTCTAATCATAAGCCCTGTGGTTATCGCGTGATTTTTGCATAGTACATGATCTTTTGGTTACACGTGTCATGTTACAGCAGCTCTGACCATATATACACAGAAAACACAGGTACAACTACCTGAAGTGGGTTTTCTGGGCCCTTTATTTGGAGGGGTGCTCACTGCTTCAGAGACTGGCTGCTGGTGGTTGAATAGTGATGGGGGGTACCATGGAAACAAGGGTAGACCGAGACAGATACACTCTCCAATTCGCCAGAGGGAGGTGGACACGTAGAGGAGCTTTTAGGGCATATTTGGCTAAGTACCGTATAGTATGGAATCCCACAGTACAAAAGTTGTTCCTTATTCAATTCTCTTTCCATCTTCCTACATTGACACGGACACGGTGTCAGATTGGTGCCACAGAATGCCTTTAGTCCCTCCCCTTTTTCTAACAGAGTGAATGAACCTCTACTCAAAGCCTTCAGCTGGCAACAGTCTAATAATGTCTTTCTATGAGAAATGATACCTGTATTTCAGATATGATGATCAGTTTGCTGTTTAAATAAAAGCATTTAAGTTAAAGAGTCAATATAAGGACTAAATTAAGTAATAATGTAGGTACCATGTAGACAGGGCAGCATTTGTAAAGGCAGAATGTGGATGACTGAAGTTGGGTTAGCCCTGAGTTGGTTTGGAACACCCCAGGCTCTCATGTGTGTGGGGGAACCTCCCACCACCACATCTAAGTCTATCTCCTTTTATGAAACACCCTCCACTGCTGTTTTGGTTTTAGAATTGCCCTTATTTGTTCTAACCAGATCTCTCCTGAGATGTTGGGAGAAGGGGCACTGCAAAGAGGGCCCAGGTCTCGCTGCCTTCTCCACCCCCTCCCCAGGGATGGCTGGGCAGGCACAGTGGGCTCTGCATGCCAGGGCTGCTCTGTAACCCAGAGATACAAACCCAGGAGAGCCACGTCCTCTGTCACCAGGGAGCAGCTGCTCAGCCTCAGCACGTGAAGGGACGTCGAAAGCTTGAGTGTTTCCAGAAGCAGCTTCAGGTTGCCACCAACACACTTATTCCAAGAAAGGCTGAGTACTTCCAGAGCAGGGAGGTGAACGGAGGCTTCCGCTAAAATGAGAGCAATTAGAACGGCAACACCGTTGGCTTCCGTAGAGGTCATAAGCCTTGAGTTTGAGGAACGTGGGCTAGGGCAACACATGAACATAACTGAGGCTGAGAAAGTTGTAGAGATTGTTCTCCCCCACCTGAAACCCATGGACTCCATTAATGTTGTCTATTTTTATTTGGGGGAAATGTTGGAAATTTAAGAAAAGTAAAATGTGATTAAATGGAATTCACTATCACCTGGGATTTCTTTCCTTCACGTTTAAGAAGAAAGAGGCAAAGAATTTGGGCAACTGGTCAAGATTTGCAAAGTGTGCTCTGGTTTTCCATATTCCACAGACTGTGTGGTCACTGCTGAAATTTAGAGACGGGGCCAAACCTCCCTAGGACTCTGAGACACCAAAGTGTATTTGCTCTTACTTAACTGTTTTTACAGGGACAAGGAGGGGAAATAATGTATTTAGAAAGATGTTTAAAGGAAATGAAAACAATTTTCTGTTCAATCCTCAGTTTCCCCTCACATTAAAATTGACCAGAACAACTTATTCACAGGGTAGGTCATTAATTACACTTTACACTTTTTTCTTTCTAAAAAAAGTAAAATATGTTCAAGGGGAAAATACATATTCTTTTTATAATATCTAATAAGAAAACCCCTTCTTGTCATATGGTGCAGAGACCTCTCAAGATATGGAATTTTTTTCTTCTAAAAAAGATGGAGAGAAATACATATTACTCGATTTACTTCTTAGTTCCAATTGAATTTAAGATTGAATGATAGATTTATGTTAGATGAGATAATTTACTGTAGTATCTGCTTGGTTATGATCCATTGATTTTGCAGCTATAATTGGAAAGAGTTGTTTTCTATGGAATTCACAAAATTTTTTTAAAAATGAACATTTCCCGCCCTGGCTGGTTTGGCTCAGCGGTTAGAGTGTCGGCCTGCGGTCCGGAGAGACCTGGGTTCGGTTCCCGCCAAGGGCACGTACTTCGGTTGCAGTTTGTCCCCGGCCCTGGTTGGTTGTGCGGTGGCAACCACTCGATGTGTCCCTTCACGTTGATGTTTCTCTCTCTCTCTCCCTTCCTCTCTCTCCCTCCCACTCTATCTGTACAAAAAATGGAAAAATATCCTCGGGTGAGGATAAGAAAAATGAACATTTCCCAACTAGGAAGTATATTTAGGAAACATCATGTCGTCCACAAATTTATTTTTTGTGGAATTTTTCTAACTGAATTTTTCATCTGAGCGATTAAATGTGGGGTGTGTATGTGTGCTTACCTAACCATTTGGGGGATTATAGACCCCTTAAGTTAATCTGTCTGTCTATCTGCTAACTCAATGTGTAGAAATATCTAAAATGTGCTTTGGGTATGCAGTGAAGAATAAACACAATTCTTGCCCTCAAGTTGCAATCTGGGAGAAATGTGGACATTAAAAACAAATAAGTAAATAATGATGAATTCTGATAAGACTATGAAGAAGATGCAGGGGCTTCTAATGTAGATCGAGAAGGGCTGTCTTCGATGGGGACGTCTACGCTGAGACCTGAAATCAGAGCTCCGCAGAAGAGAATGGGGGTAGGGAATAATTCCAGGGAACCAGAAGGCCCAGGGGCAGGAGAGAGCTCGGTGATATGAAGCAAGCACAAGAAGCCAACTGAGGCTGGGTCTGGGGAGTAGGGGGAAGAGTGGCAGAGAGGTACTGGGGCCAGGTCTCCTGGGTCTTTTATTTTTATTATTTATTTATTTATTTATTTATTTATTTATTTATTTTTTATCCTCACCCGAGGACATTTTTCCATTCTTTGTACAGACAGAGTGGGAGGGAGAGAGAGGAAGAGAGAGAGAGAGAGAAAAACATCGATGTGAAAGGGACACATCGAGTGGCTGCCACCCGCACGACCAACCGGGGACAAACTGCAACCAAGGTACATGCCCTTAGTGGGAACTGAACCCGGGTCTCTCCGGACCGCAGGCGGGCGCTCTAACCGCTGAGCCAAACTGGCCAGGGCTCTCCTGGGTCTTTTAGAACACATGAAAGAATTTGGACTTTACTGAAAGTGTTGCAGACAGTCTTTGGAAGTGATAAGACCCAATTTATTTTTTTAACTGGGTAGTGATAAGATTCAATTTACTTTTTTACATATGTTTTATTGATTTTTTAGAGAGAGAGGAAGGGAGAGAGAGAGAAACATCGATGTGAGAGAGAAACATCTATTGGCTGTCTCCTGCACACCCCCTACTGGGGATGGAGCCTGCAACCCCAGGCACGTGCCCTGACTGGGAATCAAACTGGGACCTCTCAGGCCATGGGACAATGCTCAATCCACTGAGCCACACTGGCTGGGCATCAATTTATTTTTAATGGAATTTATGGACTCTCTATAATATTAATGACTAACACTTATTGAGCATTTACTATGTGCCACGCATTTTCCCATTAAATTTACATGTATTTACCCATTTAATTCTTATAACCCTATGAAATAGGATACTATTATTTCATTTTACATTTTACAGACAAAAAAATTGAAGCACAGAGATGTTCAGCACTCAGGTCACAAGAGCCAGAGGCAGGATTTGATTTTAGGCAGTCTGATTCCAGGTGTTTGGAGCCAGAAAATGTATCATATACCTCCCACAAAATAATTGCACTCAATTTTAGGGAATTCACACAGCTCGCTACCCCGAGCATAGCTGTAGACTGACTCTCAGACCGGGGTGGGGGAGTGGTCCCCAGATCAAGAACTCCAGTTCTAAAGGCACATATCTGCTCCTCTGCCTCATCCAGACACATGGACGGTGATAGGAGCAATGCTGGGAGCAGTACGTGGCAAGGACCAGGTCTGTGTGAGCTGAACAAATATGTGGGCTGAAAACGGGGGCAAGAGTACTGTAGCCCTGGCCGGTTTGGCTCAGCGGTTAGAGCGTCGGCCTGCGGTCCAGAGAGACCCGGGTTCGGTTCCCGCTAAGGGCACGTTCCTCGGTTGCAGTTTGTCCCCGGCCCTGGTTGGTCAGGCAGGTGGCAGCCACTCGATGTGTCCCTTTCACATCGATTTTTTCTCTCTCTCTCTGTTCCTTTCTCTCCCTTCCACTCTGTCTGAACAAAAAATGGAAAAATGTCCTCGGGTGAAGATAAAAAAAAAAAAGAAGAGTACTGTAAACATAGAATTTGGGGTAAATTATATGCATTTATCTTTAGTAACAGATAATACTAAATAGCTCCTTATGTATTAATAGAATACATTTATTTATTTAATAATAGGCTTTGTCTGGTCTATAGCACAAGTCATTTTCAAGGACGTGTCAACTGACAGAACACTTAGGAGGTCAGAGAAGACTCTGCTTTTTCTCATATTCCAGAAAGCACCAGGATCTAACCTCTGGTCTTGTGCAGGTGTGCACAAAAGGAGTTAACCTACCAGGCCTGGGACTGCTCTCCCCAGAAAGGCCTGCTTGCAAGCTTGGCCCTTGGCTGACACCTGGGAACTTAATTTGGAAGTGTTACCCCCATTCCCTGACCGGGAAGGGTGGTCCGCTGGGCCTCAAGAGTCTGTGTCCAAACTTCATGATTTGTGCGGGACGCCAGCTTCCTTCGGTGAGTCTGGAGTTCTGGTACGTGTTAGGCAGGGGTGCCTGCGTGACCACCCCCAGTGAAAAACCTGGACTGGAAGGTTCAGGAGAGCCTCCGGGCAGACGTGTCACATGTGTGGTCACAGCACACTGGTCGGACGGAATGTGTCCTGTGTGACTCCACTGCTGGCAGGACTCTGGAAGCTTGTGCCGGGTTGCCCCGGGCTTCACCCCATGCACCTTTCCCGTTCCTGATTTTGCCTGTATCCTTTCATCGTAATAAATCTCAGTATGGGTACAACTACAGGCGGAGACCCGTGAGTCCTGGCAAATCCCTGAGCATGGCACTGGGGACGCCGTCAGGCACCACGTGCCCAGAGTGCTGGCTGCCTGCGTGGTACATTTGGGATAATACTGCACGATCCCTTTGCCTCAGAATGGCTCCCTCTACTTGCTGGCAATGCTTTGGTCCTCGAAGAGGCAGAAATGTCAGATTCAGCAGACCCTCGAGGTAGGCTGGGCTGTATCCAGGACCTTCAGCATGCGCAGGGTCCTGAGAGAGGACAACAATTCCTGTTGGGAACTGGGTGCTGGACAGTCAGCCAGGGTCACAGGCCAGTGATTGCTCCCTTTCTCCATCAGACATCAATCCCTATTTCTATTGGCGCCTCACTGAAATGCCAAGTTACTTGGCATGGACCTCCAGAGCTGGTTCTATATACTTTAAATTTTAAATGTTAAATGTGCAGATACCAGAGTCATTCCTGTGCCTTTCAGAGGGTCACTTTTAAGAAAGCATATTTCCTGAAAAGAAGACAAATTAGTACTTCACACCTTTGCCTATGGCTGCATCTTGGAATAATGAAATTCACATGTAGGGAAAGAGAGACACCCCCCCCCCCCCCCCGGTGTTACTATACCATGCCTCCTGGGGGGAATTTTCTTACCGAGGGCGGTAAAAGTCTCCCTTTCCAAAGCACAGTTGTTGATTAGTAATGACGTCAGTGCTGGTAAAAATCGGAGCCTGCTGAGGAGGTTTTCAGAAGAGCTGCCCATCTTCTTGTTGGCGGATAAATCCAATTCTCGAAGACTTGAGAGTAAAGGAATAATCTGGGCTGTTCAAATAGCAACAGTGACATGTTTCAGGCACCTCACAAAGGCCTTCTGGGTGTTTCGTTCCCACAGCCTTCTTGATTGGCAAGCCATGTCCTCCCTTACTCACTTCCACACCACACAAACCAGCCTCTCTTCCCAGTACGCAACCCGGGCTCTTCCACTTCCGACCTCTGTCCCCAGAGACCTGGGGTCCAGTCCGGGCTCTGCTACTAAAGAACTGTGTGACTTGGGACAAGTTACGTAACATCTCTGAACTTCAGTTTTCTCAATAACAATGATGGCAATTCTACTTCATAGGGTCATCCATACATGTAAAGTGGTCCGTGCAGTGCCTGGCACACATCAACTGCTCAATTAACGTTTGATATTATCATGCTTTTCTCAGGATATAAGTACTAGGAAGGCAGTGAAATTAAGCAATCAGAGCAGATATCTGTTGGAAACAGCACTGGGTTGGGTCCTGAGGGCCCCTGCAGAGTGAAATGTGGCTTCCTGGGGTCTCTGTGGGGCTGGCTCACCTCAGAGCCTTCCAGGCCACCTAAGCCCTGGTCCCAGTAACCTGCTGGTCACAATCACATGGCACCCTATTTTGTTTTTCTCGCAGCACCCCATGATGGGACTTTCTGTTTGTGTATGTGTTAGTCTTCTGTCCTCCCTCTGAAGGTGAGTTCTGTGTGTAGGAACCACTTCATTCCAGGGTATGCATCAGAACCTGGGACATTGGAGGCCAAACCAACAAATAAATACAAACTATAAATTGTGGAAGGGGGGGGAGGAGAACAGGGGAAAGAAAGATGAAGGGAAGGCCAGTACTTGTGATCTCAAGAGATGTAACAAATATCCCCTGTTTGAACTACAACACATGGTAGTTCACCGTGTAACTTGGATATTTATTAGTTTATTACTGCCCCTACCAGACCAAAGCTCCTTGACTGTGAATTTTCCTAAACCCACCACACAGTGCCTGGTATAATGAGATGATTGATCAAGAGTTGTTGGCTAAATGATTTAGAGCTGTCTAGAATAACCAGATAAAAGAATGCTTAATTTAAAAAAAGAACACAATTATTTAACATCATGAAGTATTATGTTTTTAGTACATAATATATCAACAGGATGTATGTTCATTTCCATCATTTCAAAATTAAACAGAAGGAGAACAATGCAATTTGCTACAGCTTTTAAAGAATCACTAGCTTTCCAGGGTCATTCACTTGTGTTGGGGGCTGTGCCTCTCGATAAGAGAGGCTAATCCCTCTGTCAAATTCATGGTAACAGCTGAGGTCCTCTAGCAGTTTAATCTTCCTCTGAGCAGCAAGATGATATGTGATACTTGTGTTAGTCAGTTGTACCAAGGAAAATTTATTATTTGGAATCTGATGGACTGGTAACTCAGGAGTGTCTCTCCCAGGTAGGACACTCATAAGTTGAGGGGATGGTTATACCTCATAAAGCTCTACCTGGAGCTCAAAAAGGGGTTGTTTTGTTACTTTAAAATCTTCAAGCCTTGAACTCTTCTCATTTTCTACAACTGAGGCATAAGAGCCTAAGAAATAACTAAGCAGATCTAAAAGAGAGATGTTAGACTAACTCCCCCCCCCTTTTTTTTTACTGCTTTCTTCTCCAAATTGTACGAAAAACAACTTAAAAATTATATTTACTCTTGTTCACTAAGTCATTCATTTATTCAATCACATATTCAATAAACATGTACTGGATGCCAGTTATGTGCCAGCATCTGTGTTTGAGCAAAGGAGAGATGCTGAGGAGACACACCCTCCCCAGGAGGAGCCCACAGTCTGAAGAGAGCCCAGGGACAGAGCGTGGCTGGTGTGCGTGAGCATCAGCACAGGTGTGGCTGGAGCGGCCTCAGTGAGGGGAAGGGGGAGAGACTGAAGTCAGAGTGAAAGAGGAAGAGGGCGACTATTTGGACTCTCGCGATCTTCTAGGCATGAGATGCCCGTGGCCTAAAGCAAGGTAGCAGAGGTCTAGGTGATGAACTGTGATCAGATTCTAGATATATTTGGAAGGTTTATTATGGTTACAGATGGAATAAAACCCTTCATCTCAAGGCTCTGCTTGCTGCTTGTTAAGAGAAACTGCATTTATACATTACATGTTGTAGTAATAGCAGGACTATGTTTGAGGCAGAAAGTAAGCACATCACCTCCAGTTGGAATGTACACCTGTTATGCACCACCCTGCTGACTCTTTTGGTAACTTCATTTGTAGCTAAGTGATATAACTTACTTGATAGTCTGAAAGCCTCCACACCCTTTGTTTTGGCTTTCTCTCTACATCCCTCTCTGTGGTGACACTCACAGATTCATTTCTAAACAGCAACCTAAATCCAAACTGTTCTCCTTCAAGTGCCATGTCTATCATTTAAGACGTGTAATAGGAGGAATTTGGATTCACTAACATTTACATGGGCATTTAAGACATGCCAAATACTATATTGGGGCACCTACAGAATTTTCATGATTTCAGCCTTCCAGTAACTTCATAAATAGTAAGCTTAAGGGTACATCTCAAATTTGCCAAGTTTCTAAACATATGCCGAGATTCCAGCATCTTCCTTGGCTCCGCAGCACACACTTACTCAGCGACACCACGTCGCCCACTGTGAGTGAGCACTGGTGAAGGTCCAGGACTGCCAGGTGCTCCAGCGTGGCCACCTGAGCTGGGGAGTCTTCAAACCCTCCCCCCAGCTCCTTGTTGCAGGAAAGGTCGAGTTTCCTCAGCTCACCCAAGTATCTAAAAGCAGCATCTACAAAGAAAGTCAAAATCCCATTCTGACATATTACAAGGCGGGAGGCAGCGTGGAGCAGGGGAGGATGGGTGTGCAGAAAGGAGAGAGAGGAAATATGCTCAGAAAAATGCCAAGACAGAGGAGTAACTGTGGACTGTAGACTCTCTACCATCCAGCCCTCTTTGGGACAATGACCTCCCACACACAACGGTCCTGCTACTAATGGGTCTCCCACTACCCTTGAGCTTTGGCATTTTCATAGAATTCTAGACTTGCTCACACTGCCAGTGAGAAGGATATTACAGGCTCTGTAAGCTGAAGAGAAAACACAGTTTCATTTCATATGCCCCCTTAATGTAGTGCCCTCTACAGGGAAATAGGTTTTAACTGTGGGTACCATTGAAGCCGTTCTTTGTATCCGTATCAATTCCTCCTTACTACGGAGCATAAACGAATGCTGACATTTTCAAAAGTGAGAGAAAACGGAGTGCTTTAGCAGCACAGAAACTTTTATTTTGCCCGTTAGCTCTCAAACCCAAAATAGCCTGGCTTTTTCAGATTCAGACATTTGGAAAGGTTATTTCTGTAATCCTGAAAGTATATGCTCACTGTAAAAGAAGATACAAAAAAACATAAAGAAGATTTAAATTACCCATAATCTTACTCCTCAATATAACCACTGTTTATATTTTGTTTTTTCCTAACAGTTTAAAAAATTAAATATGAAATAATATACATAAAAACATAAAATAAAATTTTATGTGTGGATAAACTTCAGCCATTGCTAACTTACCCAACAGTTTGACACTCTTTTGTGATAATCCACATGACTGTAGCTTCAATACTTTCAGAGTTGAGGCACGTTTTAATCCCTGAGCAATGCTGTCTAGACTGCCACCGATGTTTCTGTTAATGGAAAGGTCAAGTACTTCAAGACTTTGCAGCATAGGTAGCAACTGACCTGGAAGGAAGGAAATGCAAACAAAAAGAGCAACTCAGTAGAGCAGCAGGTGTGGGCGCTGGGGCAGGCAGGAGGGGGGCAGCCTCATGGGACCTGGGGGTGAAGTGAGCCACTCTTTCCATTCGGAGTAAGAAAATCACTGCCAACTTTGACTCCCAATTCAACCATGGGCATCTTGCACCTTAATTTTTTTAAGGACTCTTCCAAACTCTACGTACCCACAAACTCCCCGTCTTCTGAGGTGAGTGCGCAATCCACCAGCTCCAGCACGTGGATCTTGCTCCCTGCTTGGAAATTCTGGAGAATCAGAGGCAAGTTTCCTCCCACGTTACTGTTCCAGGACAAATTCAGCTCTTCAAGGTCAGGTACCGCTTTAAGTGCTTCTCCTGTCACAAAGTGGCCGAAGATTGATCACTAGTCCACAAAGCAGAGAATGCACCTCAAGATCAGTCCAACCATTATTTAGGAGCATTGAAGCAGAACCAGGTACTGGGTAGGTGCCCAGGAAGAGTAGAAAGGACCCAGTTCCGGCCCCCTGCCAGCAGGGGGAGCATCTATACTTACAGGCACAGTAGACCACTCCTTCCAAGTTCTAAAGCCATGCCAATGAACAAAAGTTATTAAAAAACAACCACCACCCACCCGTCAGTAGGGTGTGTTTTACTGAGTTGTTTTTGCAGTAGTAAGCATTTGCATTAGCCCATTACTTTCTGTCATCCACCCTCCCTGGAGCACTGCTGAGAAGCTTGGCCAGAGGTAGAAGTGAGACAAAGGCACTGGCTCCCACAGCGGCACAGCTCACTGTGACATCAAGGATGTCACATACAGCTGAACCGACCACTGCAGAGAAGAACCAATAATAGAGTATCAGGCATTAACAGCTCATAACAGCCATGTAGCCTTTGGGGTTACAGGCGGGTACAGTGAGAAAGGGGTGAAATGACATTTCTGAAACCATTTCACACAGAAAAACACCCATGGGCTACAGCGTGGAGGCTGGGAGAGTCAGGGTAAGTGACCAGGGAGATCATTAGGAATATTTTCACTGCTGTGGGGAGCCCCACGGAAAATGCGTTTCTCAGCTTGCAGCATCGATCTTAATCCTAAACAAGCAAGAGCACCGGAAAGCCCCCTGTGCCCAGAAGCTTCTCTTCCACATCCCCTGCTGGGCTTGGACTCCTACTGTTGGTTATTCATTGTGTGGATTCAGGAGTCCAGGAGCCCCCTGTTAAAATGCACATTCTTCCTGCACAGGTGTCATTTTGTGTCACTGACAGTCAACTGGAGGTGGCTTTCTATATAGTCTTGAAGCATCAGGATCAGGGAGAAGGAGTATAAGACTGATCAGCTACCTGCAGTGCTCATAGTACTAGTGTTATGCACTGGTCATCGTGCACTAAGCAATTGTAACAGGTGGAACGATGAGGAAATGCCTCCTGATTTGTGTTATCTTACCAGTACAGCATTTATTCTCCCTATATCCCATCTGCCATTAAGGCCATGGAAAGTCCCTTCTGATGGGAGAGGATGCAGAAGTCCTTCCAGAGAGGAGAAGTCTCCAGGAGGGGAAAAGGGCACAAGACATCAGAGAGAAAGGTGCATACACTCCCTTGGATCGAAGAAGTTTGGAGTGGGTCCCAGGGCAGAAATTCCATGTCCTGGTTTCTTAAGGAAATGGAGGATCATGAAAAAGATTAGATTAACCAAAGAAAGTAAAGAATCTACATTTTCTTTTCATGCCTGAGTAATGATGTGTTAAATTTGCAATTCCGCAACACCATAACCAGCTGATAACCAGTGGGACTAAATTCCTTGTGTAAAGCCACAGAAAAGAAATTTGGGATGAGGGCATAGGGAAAGGAGCAACTACCATTTGCGGAGCACCTGTTACGTGCCCAGTATGTAGTAGGCACTTCACAGAAATTATTTACTTATTTAATCCCCGCAATAATTTTTTGAAGTGGATTCAAAAACTGAGATAAGAAAACTGAGGATCAGAAAGGTTAAACAGTTTGTCTATGGCCACAAAGTGGAGCTAGGATTTGAACTAGGGTCTGGCCAGCTCTAAGATGTATGATATTTTTTTCCGCTACAGGCAGGGTGGGGCCAACGGTCATCGGCTGGCTCTCATTTGCTAGGGAGGGATTAGAGAGAAGACTTTGGCATGAATTGTGTTGTTTTTGCAGAAATCTTTGCAGAGATGTCAATGATCAAAATACATCACTGAAACAAGAAACTTTAGACCAAAAAAAATTAAGAAATATGAATGTCATCTAAAACCAGCAAGCACTTCAGTAAGGTAGTTGGGTTAGAAGCATGACAAATGTTATCCTATGTTCTGTTATTCCATGTTCAGCAGATAAACTAACTTAGTTGAGGTTCTACTTCTATTTAAACTATTTCTTTGAGTTGAAAAAAATCTTGTTTTGATGAATTTTTAATGGAAGTAGAAAACAGAAGGGATTATTTTCAAATTGGAGAAGAATTTCATTATTATCTACTCCAACTCTATTTTACAGATGAGGTAACAGACCCAGAGTGAGCTAGTTTTACAGTGATCTCCATTTAAACTCCATGGGGGCAGGTACCTGTTCAGCCTTGTTCCCCTCTATCCTGGATATTAGCACAATGCGAGGTACAGGTTACATAGCTCTTTAGAAGGTATGCTAGTGCTCAACACCACATTGCATCATTTACATAGTCTCATGCACAGTACACTGGTCCGTGACCACCGAGGCTGTGGTGACCCACATAGTTTGCCCTGGAGGGTCAGGCTGCAAAGGTGCTTTAGGTGAAGTCTTTTATGGGAAGCATTCATCATACCCAGTGCTCGGACATCATCCGTGGTAAGTCTGCAACTACTCAGCCTCAGGCTTTTTAACTTGCTGACAAGGTGCATTTGCTCAGTGATCGAATGGAGGGTTCCACCTATGAAATCATTCCAGGAAATGTCCAGTTTTTCCAAGTCCGGGAGAAAAGGCAGCAAAGTGACTAGACATGAACAAAAGAAAATACAGATTTGCATATGTACTTTGCAATGCGTAGTAGATAGGATCCATTGCCGAGACCCACAGAATACAGTTTTGCACTGTGAAAGAATAGAAGGGATGAGGGCAGCGTGGCTCTATCAGGGATCTCTCAGCCAGGCACGTGGAGAGAGATCTGCATTTCCTACTTCAGGGGACGATTTCTATTTTTGCCAAATAATTTCATTCTGAAAACGCAGTGGTGTCTCCATAAGATTTCCTAAGATCTTTACTGCAGAGGAAATGGTAATTCCACTGTTACCCCACTGCCGCTGTACTGTGCATGCCAGGCCTTGTATTTGGCAAAACCCTCGGACACCCATCAATCGGTCATCCTGTTGGATCCTCAGGCTGATGGTCTGGGGACTGCACTCTGGGCCAGGATTGCTGAAGTTGCGGGTACCTATTACCTTTTCCTTTTTATCTTGATTATCTGGGCATCACCATCTTTAAAAGCTGCTGTTACACTTAACTATGGAGACAGACCGGCGTAAAGCCTGATTGGAACCTTCTCTGCTGCTCCACTGCTCATTAAAAGTGAAGTTACTCTCTGTGAAAAAGATCCTCCAAGGCCATCTTTCTCTCCTGAAGCAACCTGACTTTTGAGTGGACACGCCCACACAGAGGCGGTGGAGCACCCTGCTTTGGAACATCCGCCTTGAGTGTCCAAGGGGTGGCAGCATTGGGAAAGTGCACACCCCGCTTCTGCAGCCACAGGCTCAGCAACCCCCTTCCAAACGCGGAGGCCCACTGAGCAGCGGAAGACTGTTCTAGTCACCAGCATTCAGAGCACTTAGCAATTTCATCTCGTTTGCGATGATCCTAACTGTATAAAGCATATGTCTATTGCACATATTAAGAAGGAAAAAATAAAAAATAAAACCAGGGCTTCTGGGGCCCACTCTCAGAGATTGCAATTCAGTGGGTTTGGGTTGGACTCAAGTGTCTGCATGTCTACAGGCCCCGCAGTGGTTCTGACACATCTGAGAACCACAGGCATGGTTAGAGTTCCCTCTTAAAGAACTGTCTAAGTTTTAATGGCATGGCTTTTAATTACAATAGTCAAGGACTCCATTCAAAACACAGTTCTTGTGATACATCTCTAGTGGTAGACATGTCTAATTTGATAAAAGGCTTGATTTAAGGTAATTGAAGAAAAAGGGGGGGGAAGGTGGCGATTGTGATGTAGGCATGGGGTTCCTCACAGTTAAACTCCTTCCTGCTTAGGTGAAGCAAAGGGTAGTGATAGTTCCATGTACAAATTACATGTGATTATTGCTGGTAGGTATATTTTTCATTCCACAGATAACTAAGCATCATGATACCCCTTTGAATTCCCAAGACGGCTTCAGTTTTATGGCCGAGTTTCATGGATTTATACCATATGCAAGAACAGATGTTTTTCAGGAGCCAGAGGCAACCAGTAGGGAGGTAAAAATGCTTAGGAAAACAAACAAATGAACTTCCTCAGCTCAAATCTTTGAAGCTTGAGGAAGAATAAATTAATTTGTTTTTTTGTTTTTTTAAATCATGGTACAGCTGCTGTTTTTGAGTAGTCTGGGGCCACCCTGCAGACCTGGAGTTACCAAGTGAGTAGTGAGTGTGTTTTGCTGGCTCTGTCAACCTACAGGCCCCATGGTGCTCTCTGTGAAAGCCAGCTGCGTACAGACCCATCTCCCTGACGTCCGCTGTTGTTAATCTGCAGTTATTCAGATCTAGGCACTTGTCGACAGCGTTTTTGCCCAACTTCTGCAGGAACTGCTCGTTTTTCTCCATCCTGCGTCCTGGTTCCATTTCTGAAGGGAGAGGCTTAGCTACATCATCAGAATAAAGAAGAATTTGCAGTTAATGCCAGATCATGTTAAAGATGCATAATGATCACAATAAAACAAGTGAAAAGACAGACTACAACCCTGAACTGGTTTCTGGTAAAAACCTGGAGCATTTACCAAGGTCAAAACCTCTGCTCCTGCCTCCGAGTGCTCCACACTGGACACTGACCACTCCCATGACCCTTTTCGAACAAACGAGCCTGAGGAACCTCGGTGGCTTTTCGTTCATGGCCCGGCCTGGCTCCTCAGCGTACAGACCGCTGTGCTCCTGAAGACGTAAACTTGTTAGCACAGCGTTGAGACAAGCACTGCTGGAAAGACGCACAGGGAGCTTTGGCGAATGCAACTGCTGGGCCAAGCACAGATGTTTGCCTCCTGTCCCAGCAGGTGAAGGGCGGGCTTTGCAGGCACCACCCATGAGCTTCAGATGGCTACAGGGAGTGAGTGAACGAAACACTCGCTGCTCATTGCCTCCATCATTCAAGAGACAAATCCTGAGAGCGCAGTGCCTGGAAAGCTCTTGAATCTTCTGAGCTCCTGCTGGAGAATACATTCAGAAAGCCTCATTTATCCTTCTTGTTATTAGAATCTACTTAGGAGGCACCTCACCCAATCTCTCTATAATAACACTGTATGACGTGATATCACTAAAGTAATAAAACGCTGTAATTTTATTGAGCACCTATTATGTACCAGTGCTTCACCCACTGCCTGTGCCAGCATTTAAGACACATGTAAAACACATTATACTTTTGTAGGGAAAAATGAACACACATGTACTGACAGTAACTTTAAAGAGGTTTTGTAAGTGAAAATGTACAAGTTAAAACATAAACCAAGAGTATGCTGGAATCCAATAGGAAAACATAAGTTATGAATGTACCATAATATTCTACTAACCCTGACCAAAAAAGTGTAAAACTACATAGTAGCTAAAAATATATACATATATATTGGCACCAGTGAATATTAAAAGATAGTAGGATTACAGTAATAATAAATTTAGACTAAAATATTAGCAAGAACAATAAAATCTCCATCTCTCCTCGACAGGGTGTCTTGTGACTTGCTATTTTTAAGAAAACCGCCTACCTGTAGGGTGTACATTTTTGCTGGGATGGTTGGTGTTGCCACATTCTACCAGTAGAGGGCAGCACGTTCACCATGTTACCTCTTTACTCAGCTCTTCCATTTTTATCACATGGCAGTGGATACAAGGTATTTGATTTGGGGTAGGGTTGCCAGATTTAGGAAAACCAAAAACAGCACGTCCAGTTAAATGTAAACTTCAGGGAAACAAGGAATCAGTTAGTAAAGTCCCAAACATTGTGCTTATTTTACCAGGCAACCCTGATTTCCGGTGGAACAGAGGAGAGCTGTGGATGGGAGTCGGGGAGAGAATGACTCTTACATGCCAGGGACTGCAGAACAGTTTGTTTAAACTTAATGCAAGGAGTCACAGTTATACTATTTCATAGATTTGAAAACTGAGACTCTGTTAACTACTAAGTAGAAAGTCAGAATTTGAACCCAGAACAGTCTGCCCCAAAGCCCATTATGTGTGTGTTTTACATTTTTGGTGTTTAAAAAATTTCTGTACATGGTGTGGTTGCTTTTTTATCTCTATAGGCCCAACCTACAATCACACTCAAGTTCCAGTCCCACCCATTCTTTCTCTTTGTTTTCTCCACAAGCCACACTGCCTTGTCAATCATTTTCTTTACTGTCAAATGTTTGAAAAGAGTGGTTTGTACTTGCTCCCCTCAATTCTTCATCACATTTACCAACTAACCCACTACATCTGGTTGCCACACTCATCTATTCTAATAAATTATTCCTCAAAAGTCACCAACAATGACCTACCAATGGACAGATTCAGAAATCTCTTCTCAGACCACATCTAACCTGGGTGCTCTGTAATGTTTGATAAGATTAGCAAGTCCAAGACAGCATGGTTGGAAGATCTGGTTGAAATCGTGGGTCCACTGAGTGAGCAAATCAATTAAATTCTCTGAGCCTTGGTTTACGCATCTATAAAATGAAGACTATAATTCCTGCCCAGTTCCTATCTCAGGAGTATAGCAACTTAAATTCATTGTGGCCTCCCAGGGAGATGGGACTCTGCAGAGTTTTTTACATGAGAGGTACTTGGTAAATATTTGTTGAATGAATAAATAATTGAATGAATGAATGAATGAATGAATAACCATTAGCTTTATAGTGTCTTAATTACCAAATCAACATGATAAATCTTTCTCAAAACACCTACATATAAATATGAGTACCAACTTATAAGACCCCTGGATATCTCTTTGCAGACCATGTATTTTGTTTTTAATGTTTTTGTTTGATTTTTAGGGAGAGATAGAAACATTAATGAGAGAGAAACATTGATTGGCAGCACACCTCCTATTGGGGACCTAGCCCGAAACCTGGCATTTGCCCTGACCGGGAATCGAACCAGCAACCTCTTGGTGCATGGGTCGACACTCAACCACTGAAGCACACCAGCCAGGTTTTTGTTTGTTTGTTTGTTTGTTTGTTTGTTTAACTATGCAGCCCTTTCTTCAAAGAATATCTTATGTCACAGCTCAACATATAAAACTGATGAGTCAGAGCTGCTACAGGTCAGCTGAGGTGGGCGGGTTGTGGCTCTGTGGAGGGTACAAAGTGATCACATGTGAGCAGTCTGTGAGTGCTTGGGGCCTTTTCCCAGTGGCATTACCACTGAGCCTAGTTCTTGTGTCTCCATCCAGGTAATTCTGTGAGCTAACCAGTATCTTTTCATTAAGTTCTTTTCCAACTTAAATCTGTATGAGTTGGTTTTTGTGGTTTATGACCAGGAGTCCCAATGTTTTCATAGAACATTGTTAGGTTTGTAACATTATTATCAAGTCGCTGTCTTCAAGGAACTATCTGTCTGATGGAGGAGACAGACAAGAAAGCCATGGTCACACATGGAGGAGAAATGTAATGGTGGAGGCATGCAGAGGGTGACAGTAAGTACCTCTGCTCTGGTGGGTGGGTCTTGGCAAACTACCAAGAGAAAGTGGTGCATAATTTGCACCTTAAAGGACCAATGGGAGTCAGCCAGGTGGGTGGACACAAGGGAGGAGTGCAGAGGGAGGATAGTGACACAAAGGAAGATCTTTCTAGGTATCCCACTTCGGGGAACGTGGCCAGTTTAGGAAACTGCAAGTAAGTCAGAATTTCAGGAGAAGAGGATGAACATGAGGCTGGGGGAAGGCAGAGGTCATGAAAAGATAATCAACTGATCACCAACACCTTGAAGACCATTCTTGGGAGTGTAGATGTTCTCTTTAAGGCAAGAGGGACTCAGTAAAGGATTTTAAGCAGGTGAGAGACATCATCATACCTACGCTTTAGGAAGAGCATCTGGTGGCAGTGTGGGGGACAGGCTGGCAAGAGAACAAGGCTAGAGATAGAGAAACCAGCTAGGAAGCTGTCACCGTAGTCCAGGCAAGAGACTAGAACCAGAATAGCAATGAAAGGAGGATCCAGGTCCGAGAGCCATTTGGGAGGCAGAATTAACACAACTCCAGGAGCCACTGACTTTGAAAGACATGGAAATAGAGAAGCCATAAATGGCTTGAGCAGCCAGTGTTTACCAGCAGGGATAACCAGCTGCCTGGTCTTGCACTGCTGATTTAATCACCGTTTCAGGTATTCATTAACCATGTTCCTGAAGCTCCAAACCACACTTTAAAACAACTGTCAACAATTTTCTGATAGTTGTCTTCCTTTAGAAGTAGGCTTTAACTTCCTATTTATAAAAATATATTTAAAATACATTTAACGTACTTACAGGTAACAATATTATTTTAGGTATTTAATATAAATAATCTGCTGGAAGTGAGGGCAGGAATAAATGAAACAAGATTGGTCATGGGCTGATAATTGTTGGAGAGAGGTGATCATGGGGACTCACACTGTTCTCTCTACTTTTGTGTATGTTTGCATTAAAAGTTTAAAATGTTTTTAAAATACATTTAATCTAGTTGATAATAAAGTGATGGTATTGGATATGCCATCATATTGCCAAATATTATGATTCTGACTTTGGAGAGAGATTTGACAATAGTTATTTTCATAACCCTCTCATTTGTAATCTCTGTTCTGGGAATTTCTACTTAAAAAAAAAGCTGAAATTCCATGAAGCAGAGAATAAGGGAGAGGGAAAGCCAAAGATAATCACTGAAGGGCAAAAAAAAAAGGAATTTATTAAGTAATTATGGCATATGAATGTAATGGAATATTATGCAGCTATTAAAATTATGCCCAGGAACATCATGAAAAAATGTAGGAATTGAGCAGTATAATATGGTCCAGAAGTAGGATCACTGCTTCATTCAACTCAAGAGGGATTTATTTGTAAGCTGTTATAACTGCCAAAGATGCCTGTTCTGGCCCCCAGCTACCTCACCAACTAGTCTAACCCCTCCTCTCCCCATCTCTCACCCTATCTCAGCATCTTGGAATTCCTGGCTCCCTCTCAAACACTCCGGACTCAGTCCCACCGTGGGCCTTTGCACTTACACTTCCCTTTGCCTGGAAAGCTATTCCCAGAAATACCTATGTGGCTGGCTTTACACATTCCTTCTACATAGCTGACTTTATTCTCTCTCTCTCCAATGCCACCCAATGAGAGACTCCTTTCCTCCAGCCCTGTCTAAAAGAGCACCTCCATCCCATCATTCTCTACTCGGCCTGCTTTGCTTTTCTTCATATCACTTATCAGCACTGAAACTGTATCTGCATTTTGTTCTTTGTTTACATACGGTCCTGTTCTTCACGGCTGTATTTTGAATATTTACAAAATATAGTGGCAGACACGTCGTAAGAACTCAAGTAATGGCTGTTGACCAGCTGACTGACCATAAATGTGTACACAGGGACAAAAGACCAAAACGAATCTTGAAGAAATGGTCATTTGCATTAAAACGAAAAGAAATCAGGTATTTTCTCCATACCTTTCTGGAGTATTATAATACTTTTGATCATTTAAAAGCAAAATTAGCGCCCTGGCCGGTTTGGCTCAGTGGTTAGAGCATCGGCCTGCAGTCTAGAGAGTCCCAGGTTTGGTTCCCGCTAAGGGCATGTACCTCGGTTGCAGTTTGTCCCCTGCCCTGGTCGGTTGTGCGGGTGGCAGCCACTCGATGTGTCCCTTTCACATCGATGTTTCTCTCTCTCTCTGTTCCTCTCTCTCCTTCCCGCTCTACCTGAACAAAAAATGGAAAAATGTCCTCGGGTGAGGATAAAAAATAAATAAATTAAAAAATAAAAATAAAAGCAAAATTAGCAAACTACTTAAAGTAATTAAGTAACATAAATGTTTAGACAGAGACTCATATTAGGTTTAGTTTCACCCAATGATCTCTTTAGGGGAAAACATTATTCTAAAAAATACAGAGCTGGTGGCAGTCAGTTTACCAGTGACTAAGGTGGCGGTCTCCTGCGTCTCATCGCCGGGTTGGCAATCAGTGGTTCGAAGGTCATTGCCCTCTTTTCTGCGTTCAGCTTTGGAGGACCTGAGTTTTGAGCCCCTGAAGAATTTGTTGACAAATGAAGTCTGGGGTTTAGTTTCTCCATCTGAGGACTTTTCTTTCCTTGTTTCACTCATGGTCAACTTGAAGGAGGTCTTTCTCAATAAAACATCTTCTTGCTGTTTTTTGTGTTCTAGGATTTCTGAGGAAAAAAAAATAAGACGGTCAAGCCTGGGTGGAATCAGAACTTTCATATATGGGTTTTTATTCCCCCCTTTTCCTTCTGTTTTTATCACTGGCAATGTTTAATATAAAACTAAGAATGATGTAACCAGGATCCGGGAACTAACAGATGGTGGCAGATGTAAGTCCAAAGCAAATTTGAGTTTTTAATTTCGCCCTATTTTATTGTGTGCAGTACAGGTCATTAAGCACCACTTGGCAGTGCATCAAATGTGTCAATAGATGTTAAATTTCAGCAATTAGAGTGACTTTCTAAGGAAGTTGGTCAAAGACGATTTCGCGTGTCTCTGCCTGGACCTTCGCAAAACTGCCACCTGGAGGAGTGTGCCTTGAGGCCCAGCCCCCTCTCTTGTTCACTGCTTCTCTTCCTCTTGGCGTTTTTATTCCTCTACTCCAGCCCTGCACCACCACCCATTAAAACACTCTGGCAGTAAAGAATTCATTCATTCCCTAAGCAGAACTTACTACAGACCAGGCATTACTTGAGATTCAGGAGATTCAATGCAGAACAAGACACAGCTCATGTCTTAACCTGGCGGGAAGATGGACTTGTAGGCCAGCGATTTTCACTGGGAGAAGGGCCATCAGGGAGGAGAGATCCAAATCGTTAGAGAACCCACACTTGGACGAAGCCTGCTTTGGAGAACAGACTTTGAGCAGTGAGTGGCATTGCCTGGCTTTTGAAAAACTGGGAATTAGCTAAATAGAAGATAGAGAGCACCAGTGAACATAGACAACAATGCTGTGAGGAGGGCTGGGATCAGGAGGAGGGGGTCAATGGGGGAAAAAGGAGAAACATCTGTAACAAAAGAAATTAATTAATAAAAAAAAGGGAATAAATAAAATAGAGAGCAAAGTGTCCTGGGCAGAACAAACAGTGGGCTCAAACACTCACAGGCATGCAGAGCCAGGGGTTGGCTCCAGGAGTGAATTCTGGTTTGTGGGGAGCAAGATATATAGGGGGGAGGGAGGTAAGCGGAGGGTCTGGTATGATTTAAGGCTAAAAATTCAAGAGGGTCACTCTGTTATCCCTCTTGGGATCTGCTTACATTTTTTTTTTTTTTTTTTTATCCTCACTGGAGGATATTTTTCCATTATTTGTTCAGGTAGAGTGGGAGGGAGAGAGAGGAACAGAGAGAGAGAGAGAGAAACATCGATGTGAAAGGAACACATCAAGTGGCTGCCACCCGCACAACCGACTAGGGCCGGGGACAAACTGCAACCGAGGCATGCGCCCCTAGAGGGAACCGAACCCGGGTCTCTCCGGACCGCAGGCCGACGCTCTAACCGCTGAGCCAAACCAACCAGGGCGGGATCTGCTTACATTTTAAGAAAAGGTTAAAAACATAAACTAAAGAGATAAGACTGTACATGGAATTTCAGATTCTGTTAAGAGAATTTAGATTCTGTTCTTGGGACAGGGCCCAATATTCTTGTATTCTTCAAATTACTATGTTCATGAGTTTCTTCCTATAAAATGGGTCTTTCTGTAATATTATGTTCCAGAATGGTTCAAGAAACATTTTACAAAGGGGCTTGTAAAAATTACCTTGTAGAACCCACCTTTAAGCGTGGGGATGGAATGTTCCATGTACCTGGAGTACTACTTTAGAAGTCACAAATGGGCATCCCTTCCTTTTCAAATTTTCTTTCCAAATTAGATCAGGGTCCACTCATCCCAGGCTTTCCCAGGAAGACATAGCACTAGAACCAGATAGTGTCCCCATCCACAGCCCTGCAGCTGGCCAGAGCCTCAGGGGGTCAGTTGAGAAAGAAAGAAAGACCTTTATTTAGCTCATGAACCCAGCCACCACCTGCAGCCCAGCTGCCCCGTTGTGATTCCACCATCACCCCACATACCCTTCTCCTTTGGCTCCAACCCAAGACTTACCTTCATTTTCACTCAATTTCACCTTTCAAAGACACACAGACCAATTCTTTGGAGACCTATGCCAGTAAATGGTTTCACCTTCCCTCCCTAAATGCACTGACTCCAACTCCCACGTCTTAAGAAAACACTGCTGGATGGCGCTCCAGGATGTGGTAATTTACCCACGTGAAACCCCACCCGGCTCTGAGTTCCTGCTGGTCCTCAGTGCAGGCAAGTTCACTTCAGGGCAGAATGGGGAGGGCAGGGCAGCCGGGGGGGGGGGGGGGGGGGCAAGAAACAGCTCGGGGCTCAAGGAACAGAGGAGGAAACGAAAGAACAAATGGTGGGCAAACTGGGGAGGCAGAAAGGCAAGAAACACAGGCGAGGCTAAGAGGGAATCAGAAAAGGAGCAAGTGTGAGGAAAGCAGACATGTGAGCACCAGGGGGAAAAGCATCAGCAAATGTCTTAACATTCAGCGGGAGGTTACCGTGCTCACACATAGGGAAAAAAATGTTTTCCTACATGTGTTCGGGAGATTCCTCTTTTCATATAAACTTCAACAAGTACTCAGGCTTCTGATACTAATTCAGCTCTGAGATTAGCTCACACAAACCTTTTATTTCCCTCTCCTCTCTGCACTGGGCTTAACTTTGTGAAGGTAAACCCTGAAAACTAAATTTGGGGAAATTCGCAGATCACAACATAACGACTAGATTACAGCAGCTAAAAACTGGGGTTTTGTCTCTTCTCCAAGGATCAAAAGCACTCACTCAAGAGCCCTTTGGGAAAACGAATGGTTGGCATTTTAGTTCAACTTCCCCAGGTTAATTGAGCAGTTACTTTTGGTATTTACTGTATTATCAGCAGGTAAGGTTATTTGTCATGAAACGCTAAGGATAATAAAATATTTCACATGCACTTAAGTAGTTTTTATTTATTTATTTTTGCAAAAGTGAGGAATATCTTTCTTTTCCACCCTTAGATTTGGGTTTAACGTATACTTAAAACTTCTTATCCATTTTCAGAGTGAGTCATATTTTCAGTGTTGCTTGTGAAAGGGAAACGCATTGTTCTTTCTCCACAAAACTTCATTAAAAAGGAAGTCCTGGCACATGCTACACAAATGAACCTCGAGGACACAATACTAAGTGAAATAAGCCAGGCATGAAAGGACAAATACTGTATGATTCTATTTATATGAGGTATCTAAAGTAGTCAAATTCATAGAAACAGAAAGTAGAATGGTGGTTGCCAGGGCTAGGGGGTAGGGTAAATGAGGAGTTGTTTAATGAGTACAGAGTTTCAATTTCACTATATGAAAATGTTCTGGAGATCTGTTGCAAAACAATGTGAATGCACACTTAAAAATGGCTAAGAACTGTGCATTGAAAAATGGTTAGGATGGTAAATGTTATATGCTTTTTAATTATTATTTATTTATTTATTTATTTATTTATTTATTTTTTCCTCTTAACTTTATTTTTTTAACTTATCTTTATTGTTGAATGTATTACAGATGTCCCCCCCCCCTTTTCCTTCCATTTTAATCATAATTTTAAAATACATACATGTATAAGTATATAAAGTGGGTCAGAGGACCAGGGCTTTAAATGAAAAGAAGTTTTAGAAATACTTTAATCAATTTCTGCTTTTATTTTTTTATGTATACACAAGTGTGATTTAAAAAAAAAAATCCATGCTTAAATATGTCTAAGTAGGTTTTAATAAGTATAAAATAAAACTCCTAGGTAATAAAAACAACTTAATTCCATCACTCAGTTCTCAAGCAAACAGGGCTTGGTTCAGCCCTGTCCAGAACTCTTGTCTTGAAAAAGAAGTGGATCTACTTCTAGCATTTCAGTTAATACTATTATTCTCAGCTAATTTAAGCAGAAAAAGGAATTTATTAAAAGGATGACAGAACTTCTGTTAAAGGGACAGCAGAGGTGAACATGTCCACTTTTAAGGGATTAAAAAATACTTTGTTAATCTGCAAGGATAAAGAGAATTAGATAGATGCCAACATAATTTTGGAATCTACGGCATGAGAATGAGTTAAACTGACTTTACAGTAAAGCGCCCACAAAGGTTGGGGAACACATTTTTCAAACTTCAGAGTCCCAAAAGTCTCGGTAATCAAACCAGTGATTGTACCAGGCAACTCTGAAGGACAAGGTGAGTATGGGTGGAGCTGAAAACAGGATGACTAGTTACAAGCTGTAAGAAGTTAAACTATTAAATTCCATTTCTCATGCCAGGGCAGCCAGGAGACAGCCTTTTCCCCACCCTAGCAAAAGATAGAAAGTTTCTTTTCAGCACAGGTTGAATTCAGAGACACTGGTCATGTTTCCAGTACCTTATTGGACAGGGGGTTAGGGAAAGTCTGTATGTTGAACCATGAGAGCCCTCCCCATTCCCTTTCCAGGTCTTCTCAGAACACAGTGGGGACTAAGCTTAACCATCCTCTTCCACCACCCAGTAGAGGTTTATGACAGACACCTATCTGGGAAAACCGATCAGCCTAAGAGAAAAGACCTACAGATATTAACTGCTGAGAGTCCCTCAGTTAAATGAATCTGTCTCTGTAAGACTGTTGACAAATCCTGTGTATATACACACAGCTCCTAATATAATGCCAAATTCTGTATACACTTGAAGACCTGTCTGGTGTCCCAAGGTAACAGGAAGTGGACAGAGACCAGTGTTCAGTGCAGGATCTTAGGTGTAGGCAGTGCCCTCCTGGCTTCCCCACAACCCCTGCCATTTATTCCCTGGTATCTTCACGCAGCCATGCATCCCTCATTATGCAGTGAATTATCATGGAGGATGTAATAACAAGCCTGCCGTGGGACCTTCAATCCTGTTTTGGTTTGTCGGGCCTCAGTTGTTTCCTGCAGTGAACTTGTCTCTTTATCGACATAAGGAACATAAGTTGTAACATAAGGAACCTATCCATTTGAGCTCAAAAAATCCGCAAATGGTTCAGATGTGCTCAACATTTTCCTAACCTGGATATCACCTTCCCTATGCCCAGCATCCGCAGAACACCAAGTCTCACACAAAATCCTGAGGATCGGAGATCTTTCTAGACATATTCTGATCATGAAAGCAGCCTAAGAGAAAGAAAACATAAAGAAAATTAGAACTGTAAATGCACTGTCCGATTAGTCACAGAAAATAATATAGGCCCAGACAGGTTTGAAACATCTACCCTCCTCTGGTCCTCACTCTGGATGCTCAGTGTAGCTCATCCTAATTCTATGATTTATCCTCCCTTTTAAACCTCAGAACAGTCAGGAGCAAACTGCTTTATAGAGAAACTTAATGAGACATGGTTGGTGCCCAATAAGTATAGTTTGAGTGAATACACTCCACCTTCCTGCCCCAATTTTGCTGCATCTCTATCTGAATACCTGTTCTCATGATGGTTGCTACAAGGGAAGGTAGCTTGGAGAACTGGCCACTGGTTGTTAAATGTTTCTGCTTGGGAGTAACAGGCATCATTTCCACTACCATTTTGTTGACCAAAGCAAGTCATGAGGCCACCTACATTCAAAGGGTGACCCAGGAAGGGGAACAGAACTGCAAGCACCAGTCTGCTGCAGACCTCTTACCCAAGAAGCTGACCTAAACATTAATGTTGGGTTGGGGGAAGTACTGACTATTCTATAACTAGTGACTGGAGTTTTACTTCTTAAAGCAAGTACATTCTATCCTTTGCTCTGAGGCATATTTTCCCCATTTCACTTTTATTGTGATGTTCTCTACTGGCTAATGTGCATTCTTGGCAGTCCCCAGCTCAGGGCTTTACCAGAAATGTCCCTGTGAAAAGGAACTTTAGGTCAATAGCAGAATTTGCTTACTCAAACTGGCTCGTCATCTATTCATTGCCTTAATGAGGACAAGCAGACTGCGTCCCTTTGTTACACATGCATGATGGGTATGCATGATGGGTATGCATGATGGGTTGCTGTTGCCCTCGTTCACTTGCCTTGAAATTAGCTGCTCTTGGAGCTCTGCAGAATGGGGCTGCACCCACCGTCAACCACACACTTACTCAACATCTGCTACCTGTAATTCCTTCACCAGGTTAATGAGTGCAAAGAGATATGATTGTGGCCCTTATCCTCAAGGAAATAACCTTCCAGCTGAGGAAACAAGTTGTAAACCCACCAAATGGTACCGAAATTCATGACCGTGTATGTTTCCATGCAGGACTGATGGTCAGGCGATAAAAGAATTTCAGAGGCAAGAAAGTTCCACCAAAGTGGTCGTGCAGTCAGGGTCTTTGAAGAATGTGGAGGGTGAGCTGGGCTTGGGGGGCCGCGGGGGGGACAGGGGTCTCAAGGGGTGTGGATCTCCCTCCTAGGCCTTGGCGTCTCTAAGGAGAGCTTGAGAGAGGAGGAAAGGGTGGAACAAGATCAGCAGCAGTGATGGAGGAGAGAGAGCATGGATGGATGTAGGGAGGATACTGCTGAAGCGGTGGGTCCAGTCATCTCAGTCTGACTTCCAAGTCGTCCCCAGGTCACAGTTGCACCTGGGATTCCAGAAATTCTACCTCTTCTAGGAAGTCTAGTATTTGGATTAACACCGGAATTCCATTCCATGTTAGACATCTTTGTGTCCCATCGGACATCCTTATAATTTAATAGACTATTTTAGAGATCTTTTTATATCTGTCCAAGTTTTAAAATAATATCCACTATACAGAATATCATAATTTATATGATCCGTTCTCTATTTATTCATATAACTACTTCAATGAACATCTTTCTGAGTGTCCATTGCCTCTTTTCCCAACCTGCCCTAAATCTTCCTTTTGATGTGATTTCTCCTGACAAATGTTGGGAGGAACATCCTAGCCTGTCCTTTGTAAGGCTAGGCCAGGATTGATGGACTTCAGGCAGCAAAGCTGAGCTGGTAGGGGTGTTTGCAGGACACACAGATGTGCGTTTACACCTGTGGGTATAACTGAGAAGGTAGGAGAAGCAGTCCACATAGAGACTGCCCTCGGTGCTTGATTCAGCAGCACATACACTAACATTGGAACAATACAGAAGTTAGCAAGGCCCCTGTGCAAGGGTGACATGCAAATTTGCGAAGAGGTCCATATTTTTATTTTCTTTCAAAGTACATTTTAGCAGATAAGTAGGCATAACAGTCTGAGAATCAAGAGTTTTGTGCCATAGTAAAACCACTTTAGCCCTGGCTGGTTTGGCTCAGCGATTAGAGCGTCAGCCCGCAGACCAGAGAGTTCCGGGTTCAGTTCCCACTAAGGGCACGTACCTCAGTTGCGGTTTGTCCCGGCCCTGGTTGGGGTTGTGTGGGTGGCAGCCACTCTATGTGAGAGAGACACATTGATGTTTCCCCTTTTCTCTCTCTCCCTCCCACTCTATCTCAAGATAAATGAAAAAAAAAAAAAAGTCCTCGGGCGAGGATAAAAAATACAAAAACATTTTAGAGAATCTATTTAAAATTAATCGTTCTGATAATAAAGCTTTAAATCTCCAAAAGGAGAAAGAAGGGAGAGAGGAAGAGAGGGAGAGAGAGACGAAGTGGCGTGAAGAGAGACTCCTCTTACTTCTGACATCAGTTGCAAGTTCAGGGTTCCGAAGACCACTTTTAGGTTTGATTATTTCCTAGAACAATGCACAGAACTCACTGGCAGTGTTTACACCGTGGTTATGTGTTAAGACAGCTAAAGGACACAGATCAGGATCAGGCAAGGGAAGAAGTGCATGGGCAGGGCCTAAGAAAGTACGAGATGCTGAGCTTCTATTTCCCTCTCCCTGTGGTCATAACACTCACGTTCTTGGCATTGAAGTGTGACAATATGCATTCAGTATCGCCAACCATGGCATTGACCCAAGCCTTGGTGTCCAGAGTCTTCACTGGGGCCTCTTCCAGGAGGTGATCTCAGCCCCTCAGGAGGTCAACTCTACTAGGTGACTCAGAACCCAGAGCCCATATCACAGTCACTATCTGACCGATCCAAGACCCCCGGCCAACAGAAACACTCCTATCAGGAAGCCGGGGACAAAGGCCAGACCTCTTTTTGTACTAAAGCTTCGATTCTTTACTACACAATACCAAAAACTTAATCAATTTCATCAGATTTTTCTAGGGAAACATCTCATTATTAACATCCAGTGTCTTTCCTGAGAGTTATTTAATCACACAAAATGGGGGAAGACATTGATCGGCTCGATAGCAAAAAGCGTCCTTGACCTCAACTGGCTGAATTCTTTAGACCCAAAGTTCTGTCCCACCAGTTCCAGTAAGTTCCTCAGCACACGCTCCTGTCTCCTGCGCGCCACTCACAGGAGGAAAGGGCGCAGGGACGAGTGGAACTGGGCGATCGGACCACTCCGCAGTGTGGGGAAGGAGGGATTTTGTCCTCAGGACTTCGCTCTGGTGGCTCAAGGTCTCCCCCAGAGTAGAGATTTGGGGCCAACGAAAACCCTTTCACTGAGGTCCTTGAAGTGAAAACAATTTCCTAACAGTGAAAAGATGTTATCTGTGTCGTGCGCGCTCAGATCCTCGTGACTGGACAGGGGAGTTCTCCAGAGGCTACGTGACACCTGGTGCCGCAACAGGTGCAATGAAGCAGCTAGGAGGACACAGCCAGACATTACGGAGATGGGCAAAAATGGAAACAACCCCATTCTTCTCACTAAAAGTTATTGTTAAAATATAGTTTTCCTAAAAATATATTATTTCTATTAACATGCAATGAGTTCATTATTTTAAAAATTAGTTGATATAGTTTTTTTCTTTTTATCCTCACCCGAGGATATTTTTCCATTTTTTGTACAGAGTGGGAGGGAGAGAGAGGAAGAGAGAGAGAGAGAAACATCGATGTGAAAGGGACACATCGAGTGGCTGCCACCCGCACGACCAACCAGGGCCGGGGACAAACTGCAACCGAAGTACGTGCCCTTAGCGGGAACCGAACCCAGGTCTCTCTGGACCGCAGGCGGACGCTCTAACCACTGAGCAAAACCGGCCAGGGAAGTTGATATAGTTTTTAAATTCTGGGCTTTAATCTCTAATACATTAAATGTTCATATACAAAGGTGTTTTGAGGCACTTAAGAGCAAAATGAATCCTGAGACCAAAAGAGTTTGAGAATCGCTGGTGTAAGGGAAAACAGCAATGATTTAGGACTGAGACATCTCTACCATGCTGGCCTCCTCTCCAGACACACACACACACACACACACACACACACACACTCATACACACCCGCAAGCTCTCTTTATCTCCTGCTTAAGGAAAAAAGAAGTTTAATTCAATAAGTAAATATAAAGTGACTCAACAAAACAATTAAAAGAAAAACAAATTCCCCAACTAAATAATGAAAATGGAGGAAACTAGAATATGTCTCTTTGAGATAAAATTATTTTGAGCTGAAGGCAATTAAGAAACAGCAAACACAGGAAAAGCTCTTTTCACACTTCGCTTTTTCTGTATAAAAGCAGGACGTAAATTCCCTTTTACTGGAGATGATTCTAGACTCTTATCAGCCCAGAAATGGCAGCATAGGAATTTGCAAACAAACCTTACTTCATTAGTTCCCTCCCATATGTGTCCCTTCCCACAGTGTGCTGCCATTGGAAACCTAAAACTGCTTTTCTTCACCCTGCCTTTCCCTACACATTGATTGTTCTTTGTTGAAAATGCTACATCAGCAGGAGTTCTAAACCACCTTTTCTAGTTGCTCTTTCTCTTCCCCTGAGGCCCTCTTATGCTTTAGGAGATAAACATGCTAACAAACTTCTCTGTATTTTTCTCTTATCTGTCTTTTTACAGGGGCCCCAGCAGAGAACACAGCAGGGTAGAAAGAGATTTTTTTTCCTTTCCTGTAAACATACTTAGTTTTGATGTGGGAACAAGGAAAGAAACACACAAAGTAAGAACTAAATGCAAATGATTTTTAGATTATTTTTATATTATTCTGTTTGCATGCACACTCAAAATAACTGTATTTGAACATTTTAAAATTTTAGTTTTCTATTAGCTTATTTTGGGTGCTTTAATCTTTTTGTTTTAAATAAATACAATTCTTTTATTTTTTTCTTCTTCAATTTTATTAAGGTATATTTTATTATAATAAACTGCACAGATTTAGAATGCATTGTTTGATGAGTTTTGACACATGTATACACATGAGTTTTGACACATGTATATACACATGTGAAACTATCAAAAGATAATAAACATATTTATCATCCCCCCAAAAGGTTCCTCCTGCCCTTTTGTGATTCACCTCCATACCCGCACTTCCATCCTCAAACACTAATCTGCTCTCTGTTCATAATAGTTTCCATTTTCTAGACTTTTACATAAAGAAATGATACAGTATATACTCTTTTACATTATTTTGAAATTTATCCAATTTGCATTTATTATTAGTTTATTACTGACTAGTATTCTATTGTATAGATTTACCAAAACTTGTTTATTCATTCACTTGTTGATGGACACTGGGTTGTTCCCAGGTTTTGGCTATTGCAAATAAAGCTATGTACGTTTGTGTACAAGTCAGGATGAATATCTATTTTCATTTCATTTCATTTCAATCATATGTCAGATATGTGTTTACTTTATAAATTGTCAAACTGCCAAACTGGTCTCAAACATGATGACACCATTTTATATTCTTATCAGCAGTGTATGAGAGAGTTCTAGTCATTCCACATCCTTGCTAACGCTCAGCATGGTCAGTCTCTTAAGTTTTAGCCAATGATAAGTATGTAGTGTTAACCTGTTATTTTTTCTCTATCCCCTGACAGCCCTATAACACCACTGTTTTCCTAATGTTCTAAATATTATTCATCATTCAAGACCAAGCACAACATGGTATGTTTTTCAATAAAGTATTAAGCATTTGTAAATAAATAAATGAGTCCTTGATTTGTGCTGATATGGAAAATCTCTGAGATATATTAAGTCAAAATGGTAACGTCCAACATATATTACAGTGTTTTCTATAGGCCAGACACTTTCTAAGCATTTAATATAGATTAGCTCATTTAATCCTTACAACAAACTTAAGAGGCAGGTACTCATATTTTCCTCCATTTTAGAGGTCAGAAAACAGCCTTAGTGACTCGTGTCCCTGGTCACACTGGTAATAAGACGGGAACACAGGCTCCAGAGTCTCAGCTGTTAATAGCTCTACAAGACCATGGTAGAGAGCGGCTACCATTTGTAGTTCTCAAGAGGGAGGAAATATCTATTCACATTTATTTACATATGCATAAAATATCTCGGAAAAAATATACAAAAAGGCAGTAACATTGATTGCCATTGTGGAGGAAAGTTGGAGTTGAAGGACGGGGAGGAAAGAAGACCTTTGGAATTTTGAACCTTGGGAATATATTATTTTTTACCCAAAATGTAAAATAAAATGTAAGTAATAAAAATAGAACCCATGAGTTCAACTTCTTGGTCCAACTTCTTTCCAAAGTCCTTCCCAGATACTCAATTCCGGATCCATGTTGCCCAACAACTGACATTTGGCTGTTGCCTCTTTTTTTATGTAAGTCATCCTTCTCTATCAGATTATACATTCCTTGAATCAAATACCCACTTCATACTTAAAAGTCGTGGAGCCACTCAGCACTCAGTACTCAGCACAGTCCTGGGCATTAGCAAATGCTTCATAATAACTTGTTTATTAACTGGTAAACCTGTTCCCGAGGGACTGGAGTCCTGGCACTGAGCCACCTTTATGTAACAAGTTGTCTCTTGTGAAGAACACATGTGGGACTGGGTCAGCCACCCTGGAAGACTGGGCACAAGCTGATCCACATAAACAGAAGAACCAAAAACCATTAAAAAATTATATTTGAAAAAAATTGAAGTAGTCATCATGGGAAATATAAATCCTTTGCTAGATTCTCTACAAGAATTTTACAGTTTGGAATTTTTACTTGTTTACATAACAGCAAGAGCCCTGTCATCTTTTCAAGGCCCCGGGTGTCTAAGAACTGAACCCAGCTGGGAAATCAGAAGGAAGGGGAAATTGTTTCATGATGTATGGCGTCCCAAGGTGTTTTATGAATGAAGCGGTAAGGGTAGTGGGTTAATATCACATGCTGAAGAGCCAGAC